ATCGAGCTCGACATCTGATCAAGATTGCTAAGAAATGTCTTGAACCTATCCCTCAGACGGACACCGATACGGAGGTACATAAACGTACTATCCTCAAACAACCTCTAGGGGTTATAGCGTATGTCCACATATTCCCAATCTCCACAATCCGATATTCTCGACATTCCGCCAGAAACCCTATTCATCGTCTTGCTCACCTTGACCATCCTTCCCTCCCCTTGACGGAGAGTGGATCAAACATGCGAGGTTCAAGTGTAACTAACTTTTAGCGTCATAACCCCCTGGAACTATCCTCATTTATGTACAGTCAATTCTGTATTACCCGCTATCCTCTCCGGCAACGCCGTAATAATCAAACCCGCCCCTCAAACTCCAGTCCCGGCCGAACGGGTCCTCTCCACCATGTTATCAGCCGGTCTTCCCCCGAATGTACTCCAAGTTGTCCATTTGTCACAAGAAACCACCCTGAAGTATCTATGTACCGACCCGAGAGTGGAACTAGTGGCATTTACCGGGAGCGTGGCTGGAGGAAGGGCGGTCCAACAGGCTGCTGCGGGTGGGAAAGGGTTCAAAGCTGTTAATCTGGAGCTTGGAGGGAAAGATCCAGCTTATGTGAGACATGATGTTGACGTTGCTTGGACGGCGGAACAGCTTGTGGATGGTAGGTCCATTCTTATCACCATCATTTTTGCCCGACGTCACCTTCTTTCCCCTATGTCTTACGAGCGGACCTCAGAATTAAGAGGAGATTTTTGATTCGATACAATGTGTGCAAAAACTGATATCCAGGCGCAATGTTCAATTCTGGACAATCATGTGAGTTCCACTCTGACAGAATAGTCAGGAAGCTGATGTAAGGTTGCGCCGTAGAAAGAATATACGTTCATTCGTCTGTCTACCAAGAATTCGTGGATAAGTTTGTGGAAGTTGCCAAGGGATACAAAGTTGGTGATCCATTAGATCCAGAGACGACATTAGGACCGGTCGTATCTCTGGCGGCTGCAGAGAGGATTCGGAAACAAGTCAAAGATGCTGGTGAGTTATAAGCTTGTATCCACCTAAATATCACTTTCGAGATCCCTCTTCGGGTTGAATCGAAAAAAAACTCCATATCCTTTTGAACACAAACTGACATGACAGTCGCCGCCGGGGCACAGTTAGTACTGGACGAATCTCATTTTTCCGCTGCCAAAGAAGGTACAACTCTTGTTGGTCCACAAGTGCTCATCAATGTCGATCATTGTGAGTTACATGATACATCTCACCCTTCTTTCCCTCCCTGTACTCTTCATCTGTCAATTCTGTAAAGTGTCGAATGTGACTGATGTTAGCTATGGAGATAATGATGGAAGAAACTTTCGGACCTGTTGTAGGGATCATGAAGGTTGAAAGTGATGAAGAAGCTTTAGGATTGATGAATGATTCTCCTTATGGTCTGGTGAGTTGTTTCTCCTCTGTATGATCTTTCTTCACTATTACCAAATATCAACTCTTTTCAACTTTTCTAAAGAAGAGTCACATCTTTCACTAGTGAAAGGAACCATTATGGAGCTCCGCAAATTGACCTCGACTAACACTCAGACCGCATCCATTTGGACATCTCCCACTGACCCTACCTCCCTCTCCGCGTTCCAACAACTATCCGAAGAACTAGAATGCGGTACTGTTTATCTTAACAGATGTGACGCTCTCGATCCTGCATTACCATGGAGTGGATGGAAAGATTCAGGAAGAGGTATCAGTCTTTCTACTTTTGGTTATGATCATGTCACTAGGACTAAAGCTATCATGATGCGTGTTAAACTTTAGTCTATCTCAACATTCATCCATCTCTTGTAAATGAATTGAATGTACAACAACAAGATTTTTCATGTCTATGAATTTATCATGTTTCTGACCATTTCTCATACAATTGAACATTAACACGAGGTACCATTACTTCATCTTTCATCTCCCATTTTTCTCTATTATCACTTATGATCCAATTCGATACGACATTCCCTGAACCTTCCACATCCAAAAGTCTTTCGACATCTTGACCCTCTGCTAATTGCGCCGCTCGAAGATACAATTGTAGATCTTTCTCTTCTCCTATGGTATGAGACGAAACAAGTTCGTCAGCGTGATAATGTGTATACCAATCGTATTCCTGAGCACGTTGATCGATATCAGGTGGATCGAGTAGAGATGATATGAGTGTTTCGATAGGATGAGGATCTGATTTAATTTCAGAAGAATTGGGTTTGTTGTCAGTTTCAGAGCGTCGAGGTCTAATATCAGTTCATCCTCAGTATCAAATACTTGTGAAGAGAATGGTGAATGGTACGTACTCTGGTATGGAAGAAGTATCATCCATCGCTGTCGTTGATCGAAGAGGTCGGTTACGTGAAGTGAATGGACTATTTCCATGATCACCTTTTGACCGTCTATCTCGTCAATATCTCAACACTATTCCTCAAAAGACATACGCGTGAAACCTGTTGGTAGAGTTCATGGTGCTGATCATCAGCTATACTCACTTGATGTGAGAAATGACTTACAATGCGTACAATCTATCCAACTGAGAGAGTATATGAGGTTTGTAATACTCTTTAAATACCTCATTGACAGGTTCGAGCACTTCCACCTTTGGTGGATCAAGATGAGAGGGTGTGAACCATTGTCGATAATGTGGTCTGTCCGCTTTATAAACAGGTGCAGAAGGTTCCACACCGAGCTAAAAGTCAATCCCTGTGGGTTTAAAAGCTGAAAGACTGACGAAAAGGTTGATAGCTGCTTGTTTATCGGCGTCAAGCATAGAGTTGGTATAAAACCTTCTGATATTTTCTAAGTGTCAATTTGAATCATCGGAGTATGAAACAAAGAGATACCTAGTAAATCTCTAGAATGTGATGTCCATTGAGTAGCTTTTGTTCTTCGATATGTATCTACTCTATTCACCAATGCACTTCCAGTATATTGCCATGCTAGAGTATCACCGTGATCATGATACATCTACAAACTCAGCTCGTTGAACAATGAATCACTAGCTCACCTCTGTCAAAACGTCCACGGCATCACAGTTGAAAGGTAATTTATCCGGTGCAGAGAGGAAACCGAGTGAAAAGAGTTGATGTCCCAAAGCACGTTTAGCAATAGCGAATTGAGCTGCGTTTGTACGATCCAAACAATCTACGCAATTGGTACGTAGAATACCTTGTTGTAATAATGGACCAACACGTCGTTGTTGCTCTCTTCTTGTCAGATAATGTCAATTGGGTGATTTAACTCACCCTTGTTGACTACGACTTGAACCACCGTGAAAGAAATTCGTAGCTGCTAGACTTTCTTCACAAATGTCTTCTAAAACACCCATGATGTCTTGATGACCACTGTCAATCAGCATTTGCATGATAGAAAGATGAAACGTACTTTTTGGTTGCTTGTGCCATATCCCATGCGATGTAAACCATCTTCTTCCCCTCTGGTAAGAATTGATTAAGATATTGGACACATTGACCGTACTCATATAACAATTTACTTTCTCTCGGAACTGACTCGCGACTTTTGACGAGATTCAGAATATATATAGGAGCACCGTATCTGCCTAACAGATCATCAAAGTGTTTCGCCGCTGGAGTGTAGAACGGATCTTTGATAGTGACTAAAATTAGTCAAAGTCATTTGTTTATACAAGCACTCACTCTCGATCGGTGGTCTTGGGGTCATTTGATTCGATTCTTGGTGCCACATAACAGGAATAGAACCTCTATATTGAACGAAAGATGTGTAACCGCCATATGCCGCTTTATTCGCTTTACCATGTTCTATACCAAAACCAGTAGCGAGTGGTTCAGAGACACTGAATTTAGCGAAATCCTCTTGATACACACTCACATTTGCTCGGTCTCCACTTCATTTGCCACATGTCCCTATCGTCAGCTCCAAAAATCATGTTTGACTTACATTCTCATTGACACCTCTGGTGAGATATCTAGCCCCAGCGTAAAATCTCGATCGTCTAGCCAGTAAAGTAAGATATATGGTCCGAGTGAAGACCTGGATTTCTGATATCAGCAGAAACTATAGTGAATGAACTCACTGGCTTGATCCACAAAACCTCGGATCATGGGCAGTATCCATCTACTTTGTCCTCTTGGAGCGTCCAAGTCAAAGGCGGGGGTAAGGAGACGGTGGTTCCACATGAAACGAGAGTTCCATTTCCGATCAGCGTCAGAGATCGTGAGGTTGGTCTGGAGCGTGTTGGTGATGTCGTAAGAATAGCTAGTTGTCAGCGAGGCTTGGTCGGTGATTAGTGGTCGGTGGACTAACGAAAAGTAGAAATTTTTGGTAAGATCCACAGTTTGGAAAGTGGCCAGTAACCTGAGGTGAGTGAAGTCAATAGTAATTAACTGATTTCTCACTTGGTCTCTTGAGAGCTACGATCGGGTTTGGTGGGTATTGGCAAAACAGCCGTTTCGTCGCAGTGGTAAACTAGTGATCAGCTAGAAAACATACCCGAGAACTCACTATAATGACCCCCGAGAAGCCCAACAACGGATCGTTTGGCTATACCTATCAAATACCATCCAGCGGTGAACCTAACGAAACCGATCAATCCACTACGGTCAGCTCTCACACTGGTTCTTAAGACTCACTAGAAATCCATGACCTTCTCCAGCCCACCCTGACTCTTGTTACCATCTTTTATCATCAACAGGAGTTGTTCCAGCTCTCTGTGAGTGTATGTGGTGGGATCTTGAACGACGCTGAGACCTGTGGGGTCGGTACGATCTATCTTCAAGACTTTGTGGACGTCCCCGCTGCTGGCGGCGATGATAAGCCGGCTGGTCGTCAGCGATCAGCGGACGAGTTGATCTCACCAACCCTTTTGTCTCATACAAAGTATACTTTGACAGAGTAGTATGATCGTCATGATCCATACGACCGACCTTGCTGCCTTCCATGTCGTCGTCAATATCGTCGTTAACGTTGGTCATGGCAACATGCACGATGTGGATGGTGTGGAAGACGACGTCGTTTCCGACGGAAGTGGAAACTTTGACACAGCGTGGTTCCTTTTTCCTTGTACTCGACCTCTCTCTCACTTTGTGCATACTCAACTTTCATCAATCGACATGGTCAATAGCAGCCGTTATGCCGAGTGAAAACCATGCGGCTTGATCATCAGACACCGGACTTCCTTTGACTCCCTTTATCCTCCAACATTATCGGCTGGAATCTTCTTCTCCTTACACCATCATGGGGAAGAGCGATAGGCCTCTCCAGATCAGGCTCACAGAGCCTGTCATCTTTCTCCGTGGCCCTTCCACCGGTCTGGACTTTCGAGGTCGACCTCAGGTGATCCGAGACGCTCAACCTGCCATGTTGCGGGGTCTCTTGACTCTGAAACTGCATAAATCTATGAGGATCAAGAGTATTTACATCAAGCTGGACGGTAGAGCGAGGACGGAGTGGCCAGAGGGTGAGTTTAATCTGGTGTACTCTACTGACTCGTAGGCATAGGTCCTCGACGTGTGGACACGTTCGAAGAGCACGAATTGCTCACTGCTCAAACCACGTTCTTCTCCGCACAACCGGATCCCACCGGACGATCGGGATCGGGGAGGAGAGCGGCGTCAGTCGGACCGGGTGTAGCCCTACCTCAATGGGAAGTGGAAGATGAGGTTGTTGAGGATGAAGAGGATGAGGTGGATATTAGTAGAGGGAGAGATAGGATGCGACCGGAATTGAGAAGCGCAAGTGTCATACCTTCTCAACCTTCAGGTTCGACACATGGGATAGGTCAGAATGATTTCTCAAGAAGGGCCAGTGGAAGGGACGGTGAAATTCCACTCATTCCACGTTTAGAAGAATTGGTCATTCAAGAAAGAGGACCTTCACCCGCCTATACGTCCATGGCGGATCATCTTCCCATTCGAGCGGATTCCTTACCTGCAAGCTTTCGACCTCCGGCTCTAACCCACGAATCCGTCTTATCACCCATAGCTTCCGCCGCCCCCTCTCGTTCACCTTCTCAACCTCCTGGAGGTCCTGGTGCTTTGATACATGATTTGACCAACCAGACCGTGGTCGAAGATAGCGTTTGGACGCCTCAACGGACAGAGCCTAGGTGTAATCGTCGTCCTGCCCCAGACCTCCCTCCAGCCCGCGCTGCTCTCCCTACGGAAGATTCGAGCAGTGAAGATTTGCTCCAACCAGATGGACAGGATGCCCACGTCAGTAGAGCGGCTTCTATCCGAACTATGGACTCGTCACTCACAACGTCCACCACTTCTTTATCCGGCGGATCATCACACGAACAGAATCTCGATCGCCACCCGGTATTATCTGCCATTCAGCCGATTTCCCGCTCATCCACCCCTCTTCGCGGATCTCCCATACCATCTCTACCCTCTTCTATCAATCAGAATTCTAACGAGGCCTTACCTGAGACTACTTCTCAACTCCACGGAAGATCTAGGCTATCTCGGGGATCTCGCCCCGCTCCATCGTCCACCTCTGACCGATCATCGATCAATCTCGCCGAAGTCCGCGATAACAGCTCATCCACCATCGTAGAACATGGACCTTCGGGATCGTCACGTTCCACCTCTGGTCAAGCAATAAACCCACCTCCACAACCCCCCGTAGAACATCGAGGTCGGAAATCCCACAGCTTCAGCCTCTCTGCCGTGCTCAGAGGTCTCAGTCAAGATGTGAAAGACAGAGTCAATCGGCAACCTTCCAAAAGTCGAAGCAGGGCAGGCACCACGATAGGAAGGTCTCGCACTCCCAGCGGCGTGGATGTCAGCGGTAGCGGGTTCTCCATGCGCAGTGGCACCGCCGTTCCCTCCCGCATGTTGGATGGGGGATCTCTCCGCTCTCGAGCCGGATCTTCAGGTCAGGAAGATTTTGTCCCACCTTTCGGTCGGGGTGGTGCAGGGAGACGAAGTCGATCTCGTGAGCGCAGAGAAGGTAGTCCAGCGGTCAGGGAGAGAAGTGACTCTCGGGGTCGAGGTAGACATATGGGTATTAAAGGTCTCACCGAAGCTCTCGGAATTGGTCACGACGAGGCAGAAGATATCGTTCATTGGCAAGAATTCAGGAAGGGCACGTACAACTATCCAATCTCCTTCCCGATCCCTACCAACACTCCTCCCACCGTCCATGGCGACTTTGGTACGGTGATATACAAGCTCAAAGCGGTCGTGGTGCGAGCTGGGGCATTGTCGCCAAACCTGATCGAGGAGATGGAAGTGACGATGATTGCCACTCCGCAGGAGGATGACTTGGAAGAGACGGAGAATGTGTTGGTGGAGAGGCAGTGGGAGGAGCAGATGCGATATCAAATAGCACTCGGTGGAAAAGCTTTCCCTGTCGGAGGACTTATGTGAGTGACGAAGATGTGACTGTGCTGAAGTCAGACCCATGGGAATACGTCTCATGCCTTTGGCAAAGTGCAAGATACATCGTATAACCGTGGCTTTAGAGGGTAAGTCAGTGATCTGTTCCCGCTGACATGTAGAAAAAGCAGATTATTACGCACAAAAACGTCAAGTCGCCCGTCACGAAAACCCACGTAGGTTCGTCCTTGCCTTTTATAGACAAAACGAGAAGAAAGAACGTGATCCTCTTTTGCCGATAATCTCGGAAGATCCAGATGCCGCACGTAACTCGCCCTTGGCCCCCCTGGCCCTTCACGCTGCTCGAAGCGACGCACCGGGTGGGTCAAGTCTGAATAGGATGGAAGAGGACGATATGTATGCCTCTTTAATGGATCCACTTGGACCTTGGCACCTAGAGACCGATCTCAAGATACCCGATTGTCGTACCAAAATCCGCTTCACAGCTCGACACGAGCGAACAAATATTAATATATCGCATTCGTTAAAAGTCACCATCAGGGTGGAGAGAGGGGACGAGGCAGATGAAGGGAAAGGAAGAAAGAAGCAATTTGACATTATAATGTGAGTTTTGATCATGTCTTCGTAACATGAGCTAATCTTAGTGAAACACCTATAAAGATATTGGACTGTCGGGTAAATACCCAATGGAATTCCCTCCCCACTTACGCCGCTGTCAACCCAACCACTGGCATACCTCCCATTACCGGATGTACCGTTCACTCCCGTATCCCAATCCCTCGCTTAGCAGCAGATCCGATCGTATCTTCCACTCCACAATTTCGCAACATTTCTCTAGCCCCTATGACATTACATCACAGGCGAGATTCTTCCGCTTCTAGATCCTCTTCCGTCCCTCGAGTCGAAGAAGATACCCTGCTGGAGAGGAATATAGTTTACGATCGTTTGATGTCGGGACAGATCACTGAAACTGGGGAAGTCCCTCCTTCTTACGGCGAAGCCATGGCAAGTACGAGACGTAGGACATCCAGTAGCGTGTCGAGACTTGGAAGAGGAATGAGTCCTAGTCCATTAGGGTTGGGAAGAGCGAGGAGTAGAGCAGGATCTTTGTTGTCGGAGATAGATACTAGATAGGATGTTATGTTGTTGATTCTTGATCTAAATCCGATTCTCCTTCGAAAGCGTCAGGAGGTACGCGGCCTTGTCTAGGGATCAGCGACACTGGTGCGGATGTAAAAGTAGCTAGAGTAGCTTACAGTTCCGTCATGGCACCTTTCAAAACGTATAAGAATGGTGCACTTCCAGGAGGAGGAGGGGTAACCTGATAAGCCACTGTTGATCAACTCTACTCAACCACTGTCGACAAATAAAGCTAGAGTCAAGATAGACTTACCCGTCGACTTGCATCTACCACATAGAAACGGTTGTCGCATTTCGTAATTCTCACCATCTTTTCTTCCTGTCAGCTTCTCCACGACTCATACCAATCAACTGATAGCTCGAAACTTAAGACCAACTCCTACTTCTTCTCCCTCCAACTGTACAAGGGAAAGGGGGACTCACCTCCGCAACAAATACTTCTGTCCAGGCTCAGCGTTTAGTTTGAACTTTCTCGCCGGTTGATCACTACCAGATTGCGAACGGATGATATAAGCATGATCGGTTCTTCCTCATCAACACCTCATAACGTCTGAAAGAAAGAAAGAGCTCACTGTCGTTGAGGAAGTCGGTCTAATTTACCCTGTATGACTAAGACGAAATCTCCGCAGAGACAGTAGTAAGATCGAAGAACGGCACGAGAACTGGGAGGAGGTATAGAAGTGGTTTGCATGACGAGGAAGAAGGTTGACGGATTAAAAAGACAAGTTTCGCTGGCGAGTAAAGCGGAGAATCAGCCGCATTTTCCCAATTTACTCCCGACGTGGCGCTGCACGCCAGCATAGTAGCCCAGATGTGTCAGACTCGGGCCGTTCGGCGAGCAACAATACCTTTCATACACAATAATATCTACAAAAGGTGACATTAGAGTAAATAAGCTAACACAGTAGCCAGAGAAGCAGCATCAAAGTATACCAGATGGACGCCGAGATGATCGTGAGAGGCTTCTGCAACGATCAGCAATTCTCCTTTAACGGCTTATGAAACGCGTCATGTAGTGTTGTTACCTTTCTTCCCCGGTTCACGCCTATCAGTTGGGTCGGTTTGGCGTGTCCCCATGGATAGCATTCCATCCGGATCCCGCAACAGAGTTGTGGATTGAGCTGGGAATTTCTTCCGTCGTTGCCGAGTAGTTCGTGTCTTTGATTCCGGGGGCGGACGCAGAGCTAAAGGTTTTACAACTTGGGGATGAGGAAGTACTCGTACTGAGGTCTCGTTCGTAGGTCGCAAAGCTGTGGATACCAGAGGCAGAGGAGATGATAAAAGTATTATGCTAGGACTGTCATCGCTCGAAACATATTGGACATCTGACAACTGGGCGGATATGTTATCGCTCTCCTTCCTTGCTTTTTTTCTAGGTGAAACCTCCTCATTGGCTGATTCATTTGAATTTTCGAGTATCGGCGGCTCAGATGGTTGACATGCATCGGATTCGGTGGTCGCGGCTGCTTTCTTCCTTTCGTCGCGCATCGCTTCTTTGGCTCGTCTACGTTTTTGGTTCGGGAACAACGATGTGACGGTCGGAGGAGGCAGCTGTTCTAAATCAAGATAGAATGGGGCACCTCTGCTTTTATCCGCGGCTATCGTGAGACTCACAGGGGCGTTATCACCACCCTTTCTGGCCCTGCGGCTGACACCAGTGTGGTACACCAACCCAACAGTTTTTTCCATTCGAAGAGCAAGGTCGGGAATTTTCATATCAGGAGACGGTCCAGCGTCTCTTTTTGAAACCTTGAACTCTCGTAGGGTCGTCCATCCTACTACAGGTCTGCATTTTGGCTTTGGCCCGCTCCCCAAGATTGTCGCCTTACACCACAAGCAGTATCGATTGGTCACGTTGAGTTGCACCTCGGAGTTACTAGAAGAGAACCGAGAATCCACAGAGGAAGAAACTGATGATGACTTGCGACAGGTTGAACGAACATAAAGTAACCCTGCTTGACACCACCACATCTCGATGGCGGAATACCCGGCAGATGAAGCTTTCGACACACGATACCATTCAGCGATGGTGAACATCTGACCCGGCAATCCATCTGTCCTTGTATTCGCCGATGTCGCACCTATGCCGTCGCAATCAACCTCGTTCCAGCGGAAAAATCCTCCATCTTCTTGTAGCACAGCTGAGACCACTTTACCAGTCTCGAGTTCACTTTCGGCGGTACGTCTCCCGATTGCTTCACATCTAGGTTTCGCTGCTCTAGCCCTCACCTCGGGTGTGACCTTGCTGAGTGCTTTCAGCCCTCGAGCTCGTGCTTCCGGACCTCGGCGTCGATCGTCTGGTCGAAGTACTCTGGGACCTTGTCTCTGACGTTCTGCTCGGGCAAGTTGTTCACGACGAGCATCTTCTATTACCTCCGCTTCAGTCCGCATCGCGAGATTTGCTTTCCGTGTGGCGTGTGCTTGTGCTACCCGGCTGTTCTTGACTTCCTTCGGGACCAAGTCACTCTCCCTTCGGCGCAACGCACTCAGAACGGTAAAGAGGAAAGTGTGCCCAATTGTGAGATCCACTGGTAATAACTCCAAACATTGGGCGTCAATCCAAGAAAGCAGTCGGGGAGAAAGGTTGTCCTTGTCTACCACGTCTCCTGACGTTATCTCTCGACCTCTCTGCTTGATGAGTTCTTCGTTCATTTGGCGAAACGATATCTCCCCCGTCGGCCATGAAGAGGTCGTGTAGAGCCAATACTCGTCTCCCGGGACTTTCACATTCTGTAATGACATGGCATAATTCACCGCCATGTCGAGTGCGTAGCCGCGAATGGCTGAGTCTGGAGAGCCGTGCCCGATGGCGTACCAGCCCTGCGAGCCGTGAGAGATGAAGAGAAAAACGCCACGAAGTGTTTGGTGCGGGGAAGAACTGTCGAGGGAATTGTGGACAGATTTGTCGAGGGAATTTACACTTGTGTAAAAGGCGACCCCTCGGACGAGCGCACAATCGTTCGGGTTGGTGTGAGAGATGAACGATGCTGGGAACTTAAGGCAAAAGTCGTGTTTTCTGAGTTCCCGATTGGTAAGACCGGCCAATGCCAGAAGAACTGACTCTTTGGCAAATGTCCCTTGTGCGATGGTCAAAGAGGGCTTGGATGTCCGCGAGGTAGATACCTCTTTGACCCGTTGTAGCGAGGTTTCGAACATTTCCGACAATGCTTCAAGGTGCGCCGGGCTCCGTTGGGCGAAGGGAAAGGTCGTCGCCATTGCTCGCACGGGTCTTCGCCAAGCAGGAAGCTTCTGGTGATCAATCCCCGGCTGTTTCACCTCCAAAGCTTCTAAAGAGTAGCCTTGATGACCCTTCCGGATCAGACATCGGGGAGTCCATTTGGCGGTTGTCAGGACACGGGGATGCGGATGGTGAGGGGGCCAGCAAAGCAGCATAGCGATGCCATCTTGATCGGAGCCGTTGGGTCTGTCGTTGTCAGCTGAAGCAAGAGTGTCTGCCAGAAAGGTCTGCTCACCTGGCCATGCCTGGATAATCCACCCCATGCTTGCGACAGCTGGCAAGATACCTCTGCTCTCTCTCATCCGCCACTGCATCTTCCAAAACCAGATCAGCAGCAGAGCTTTTTGAAGCTCTCACTGCATCCTCCCACTTCCCCACAACGGAATCAGCGCTACCGTGAAATACAGGCCGTAGTGCTTCCACCAATGCTGAAGTAAAGGAGGGACAACAATGATCGGCCATTTTCTCTACAGGCGACATTGTCGGAGTAACCAAAGCGGCCGACAGTGATTTGGCTGACTTGGAGGGACCAGTCTTCGTAGGAGCCGGACGAGTCTTCGTAGGGGCGGGACGAGTCTTCGTAGGAGCGGGATGAGTCTTCGTAGGAGCGGGACGAGTCTTGGCAGGAGCAGGGACAGTGAGGGACTCCTTCGGCACTTCTGGACATGATGGAAGCGGCTTCGGGGGGGCGGGGACAGTGGAGGACGATGTGGAGGGAAGGGACCCGGAAGGCAATGAGGTTGGATCCCTTTTGACCCATGCTATGGCCACTAAAGCCCCTTCTGGTTGGCCGTGGATTGGCTTTGGCTGGTGTTGGTCGTCCAGCAACCAACAACTCTCTCCACTGCCTTCGAAAGGGGATTTCACGTGGGTTACGAAATGCCCAGCCCCGCGGTCCTCTCCCAGGTGGTAAATTCCGCCGTGTGGGACATAAGTGATCTGTTCATTCAGCAACATTCTCCTCTAAGGATCTTAGACTTACCACCTCGTCCCCACAGGTAAAACTCACAGCCGGTGGCAGTTGAGCCTGCGGGTGTCCACACAGGGAGAAAAGGACATCCGGAGCGGTCACCATGACAGCAACGTCGGATCGACAATCCGGGCAACTGCTCTGGTCAGCACGATTATTCACAGAGTTGACAAAGTTACACACCACTGTTGAACGTTGGCTGCGGCGCCATGGGACCACGAAACAACACCTGTCCCCGAAAGAATGGGACATGCAACCGGCCAGGGGTCAGGGTGACGGGGGCACTGTAGGTCCATTGACCATTCCCCAACCAAAGAAACGTGGGAGCTGGACTGTCAGTGACGGTCTTGTGGAGTTCACGGCATTTTGACTGACTCGTTGTTCCGTAGGTCCCGGTCTAGGTGGCCAACCATGGCCGGGAGGACCTCCATGATGTCCAACTGCTCTCCAAGTTGTACGTCGACACCCTCGTTTTGCAGGACTGTTCATTAGTGAGTTTCATGAACATGTGAGAGGGACAACTAACGAGGGTAGATGTCCTGTACCAATTTGGAGGACATCGGACGATCTCTATCCCCTCCGAACGAGTGTTGTCGGATGGTAGCCAGCTGCTCGAACAGGCTTTCATGTCCTGAGTTTATCAGACTCAGCAACACAGTCGAGAGAAACTCACCCCCAGCCACATGGTTCCGGATCGCCGAATGAATCGGAGGGAGGTGGAGGAGGAGCTGGACAACGGAGATGATACAGCAGGTTTGGGCATCGTTGACAATACCCCTGCCCCAACCATGACAGATCTGCTTGATAGTCAGCCATGTTGAAAACAATTACTGGGGAGGTGAAACCACGTGGCATGCGGCCAGTCCCGCAAAACCGAAGCGAGACGACAAAAGTGAGGACAAAAGAGGTCAAAAAAGTGGCGGTGGCGGTTGATGTGGCGATGACAGTGACAGTAGGAGGGAGACGATAAGAGACGGATTGGGGTGAGGGGAGCAGATGAAGAGCAGGTAAGACGAGGGTTCAAGGCTTCAAGAGTTCAAAGCGGTGCATGAGGATGAGATGAGACAGAGACACCACAGGTTCACAGATTCAAGTGGAGCAGCAAGATGTGGAATAGGCTTAGACTCACAGGGGTCTGCGGGATCACCAAGCCGGAGAGGTAACCTCCTCCGAAACCTGTAACCGTGAGACCACTATCGATTCTTTACGGTCGGACTTACAAGTTCTCCTGCTGCCGCTTCTCCTGGCGAGCACGGAATCCTCATCGTCCCAGCGGAGTCTCTGATAACGTCTCAGTTCAAGTCGCCCCTGTAGAAGAAGCACTTACAGAATTTGGACCGACAATTGATCCTTCCCCCGAGTGAACCCCTCTCTCGGGTACTGTGGCAAATCAGCACGGCAAAGCAAATGCTGGAAAACTCACACTTGGCCAATTCAAGATCGGAGTGGTGAAGCCCGACCGCTCGTGGCAAGATTGTCGAGCCGACACTCGATGTCCTGATGGGTGATTTCAGGAGACCGGGGGTTGGGATCACTGAGAATTCCTTCTGCGTCAGCTTCAAGCAATATGAATGAAGAATGGGATGCTCACGTCAGTGTTCTCCTGGTTCCAGTGGGAAAACATTTTGGTTTGTCAAAGCTTGGATGGAAGGGAATTGAAGATGGTGTGGGAGGATTGTTGGAAGTGAAGTTATGGGGATATCAGTCTTTATACTTAGAGAGAGTATCCTAAATTTTCTTCTGACTAGCTCCATGGATCTTGGATCCATCCCCACAGATCTCGTCCAGATCGTCAAGAGGGTAACATTCCGCTTCGAAAAACTCTAGAATCGCAGATCCCAAACGTTCCTGAAGCTTGTGACGTGATCCGTGCGCGAGGATCGGCAGGTCACTTTTCTCTTTTTCTCACATTCCATCGGTGAACAGCCTACCTCATGCTGCATGCTGAACACACGGCCTAGCACCATCTTGGGCATTGAGAAGCTAGAGAATCAATACTTGAATTGGGTGGTAGAGTGAAAGTATGTGTACAGGTGTTGAGCTTGGCCAGCTGGGGTCAATGTGCACCTGCGTGCTTCAATGATCGCCGCCCCATGATTCCTCTACAGCCTCTCACATGTCGTGAGAAATTTCGAGCACGTTCATATCACGGAATGTCAGAAATTTGAATCGTAAGCTTCCGGGTTCTGTTAAACGCCCTAAAGAACCCTCGGGTCTGATCCGAGGATCCCCAGCGGCGTTTCGAATTTGGTAAAAGAAATTTGGCAATCTCCCGAACATGGGCTCGATTAATGATCAGCGGCCCAAGCTGCACGCTGCGATATGGCAAGAGCTTCTTCACATGTGAGATTCCGAGGATTTGTCCCTCCCCACTCTCCACGATCCTTAGGCCTCGGGCCTCCTGCATCCCTCTACCAATTTCTGTGACAAGTAGCCAGCCGTCAGGGCTGGGGGAAATCTTCTGCCCAACGACCACTGGAATGTTCCTCTGTCAGCGATTCGATCGGCATTAGGGTGATCGGCCACCAATCTTCCTGAAACACTATCACCTTCGGGTGGTTTGTCGTCATGGACGGCCTTCTTAGTTCCAAATTCCCAACTATAGCTTCTTTCGTGATCGTGCCAATCTTCCTGAAACACTATCACCTTCGGGTGGTTTGTCGTCATGGACGGCCTTCTTAGTTCCAAATTCCCACCTATAGCTTCTTTCGTGATCGTGGATCGTGGAACCGGCGTGGGTCAATCACAGCTATAACGCTTGGTAGTGAAATTCTGATTGATTCCCACTGTGTCGGGTGTTTGATCGCCATGGACGGGCTTGTCCAAACTCTGACCTTCTGACAATCGTCTTCTTTGATGATCGTAGAACCGGCGTGGGTCAATCGCGGCTATACCGCTGGCCGCTGGGAAGTACCATTTCTCTGTCTGATCTCTGCTCGATTGCCGTTGCCCGTTGATCGGACAGAACTCAGTCGATCAGTCGTTTGTGACTGGTCTTGTCATCTTCGTCTCTTTCCGATCGTCCGAAACACGAGTGTTGATAAGCCTATCATATTGGCAGGACCATGGTACCATGGCTTGCCTCTGGGGTAGGATGGCTGAATCTATGAACCTATGGATCCATATATCGCACACACTCTCTCTCACTTTCTACTCTTACCCTCGCGGAGCTTTGGACAGGCTGTTCTGTTTCACTTCCTTTCTTCGGCTTCGACTCCGCAGGTTGCCCCGCTCAGAACGTGGTTTGTCTCGACGTCTCAGACGCTTGTGCCTGCTAGCCCTGCTTCCGCGGATCGTATCTTATGTCATGGACTAGTTCCTCAATATGAAGTTCGCTTGACTTCATGGTAGTACGCCGTAGACGCACGAACCCCCCGAAATCGTCTACTTGTAAGCTAATTCATCATTGTAGTGATCGCGATCGCCTACCCCAGCTCATTCACACGGCCCACGGTGGCGTGCAAGCCAGCATACGCATGTTCATTGTGGAATCAGATGACGAACATCTTAGAAAGCCCGATATAGCGTCCTGATCGTCCCACGTCCTGAGCTCTTTATGACCATGATAGTAACTGATCCCGGATTACATACTGAAACATAAAATCGGGGTCAGTCAGGGCTGTATCTTCCCTCATCGTTCGGCACACTTAACCTTTCGTCTCCCACTTACCCTGACCCACTTGCACTTGTGTGTGTAGTACGTAACATAAAGGGCTACATTCTCCACTCAACCCTGATCGCGCGGATCCGAGAGATGTGGCACTGAAACATGTCAAAAAGTTCCCGAGTGCCACATGCCACATCCATCGGTGTTGGACGGAGTATTGCATACAGTCGGATCTGTGATAAGGAATACCGAATACCTATCAAACGTCATACACTTTGATATATCATACCTTAGGAGTCGAGCAAACTTGTTTCTACTATATCTTCAACAACCTCAGATATTACACACCCTGATAAATCATGAGCCTGCTTGCCACGCAAGCGTATGCCGTATCACGGTTTGGACTGTATAGGTAAGTTTGGTCACCTGTCTCCCCTTTGACCCTATTCTGAATCCGATTCCCGGCCGCCCGGTTTATCCACGCCATACGACATTTGGTTGCTATCATCTCTGACCTCTCTGTTGCTATCCCGCTCCCTTGCTGACTATAGAGCCAAAATGACTGGACGCCATGGACTTGAAGTGACTGGACACCACACGCCACTGTCTGGTGAGTACACAACTCCTGCCTGTAGAGTCCCTTCACTGACACGACAGCCAGTGGAGCCATGGAGCAAGAGGCCGTTGAGTACCGCGCCGGGGTCGAACGATCACAGGCAGAGCCGAGCCTCGAGCTGAGGCTGAGGCCATGGCTATCGAGCAGAATGGTCAGCGCTTGGAGTCCAGGGAGCCGATGCGTCCCAAGCAAGGAGAAGCCAGCTCGAGTGAGGCTGGAGGGGGTAGCGACCGTTTGAATGTCCGGACGATGATCAAGCCATGGACGGACAATTCATGTCGAGGAGAACGTCACATCGGGTCCACTCGACATCATGCATCATGACGTTTCACCGTTTCGAGGTGACATGCCCATTGTCGCATATTCGTGAGCCATCTGTTCCACCCCCAATCTCACAACTCGCTCACATAGCATCATGACTCAGCCTACAGACCACTTCTTCACCGCTTCCCTTTCCATCAACCAGCACCTGTCTCGCATCGACTTTGACCCTCGACTTTCATATGATCAAGACAGGGATCCGTCAGAATCCCAGCGCCGGATTACGAAGACCGGTCTGCTCATCGTTCAACGGACCTGGCCCCGTCTGGAAGATCTTCCCATTCTCCATGTGGGAGATCCATCTCAGCTGCAGTCGGCCACGCACTCGTGAGGATCGAGGATTCACGAGCGACCGGTCAGGTGTCGCCCGCCCCGGATTTTTGACCCGTAGAGCATGCAATCCAATGCATGTCCGTTGCAAATACATACAAGGCATAGTGACAACAGCTATGCAAAAGTGGGAATCCCCAATTGCCTCCGTGCTGGTTGTCTTATATCCAACACTCTCCTTCAAGCAGTACGGATGCTACGTCGATCAGCCTCCACATCCCTTGGGATCCTAGCTCCGACCACAGTGTCATCAGCGTCGGTAGAAAGACTTGTACTGAGACGAGCTCTCCGACGTGAACCTATCCGTCCAACATGTAAACACAATCTGCGGTCCTTCTGACGTGTCACTTTTGTCGAGCTCCAGCTTGTGCAGCTGTTGTTCGGCAAGGAATCCAACGGCGTCTCCCGGCTTGATCCTCAATGTGTAACCGAGCTGGGGGAGGTGGAGCAAGGCCGCACGGCCGAGGACGGTGATGACAGTGTAGCGGTTGCCTATCTGTCAGCGGCTACCAATATATCACTTCGTATAAGTAATATCGTGTGGAAAAGCTCGTCAGGGGCCGGTGTGTGTTGGGAAGTTCCAGTTCAAACAAAAATCCGATCCGGTCGCTTAATTGCTCACTTCGCCTCCATCCAGACGGCCACCGAGCTGGCGAAGTTGTCTAGTAAATTGTACACTCACCGCTATCCCTTCGGTCATAGTGCCAATCGGTCCCTTCTCCCCATGAAACCGCCATCATCGTCCCAATCCCACCCATTCGGAACGACAGATTGTGACGGTGTGTCGTCGCCAGGGCCTTCGACGTCCCGGAAAAAGATTTGAGGAATTGTTTGTGGGTCTCGGCGAAGGCAGTGAAGGTCGGCCGTTTCTTGCCACTTTTCAAGCACGCAAGGACGTATTTTGAGAACGACTGCATCGTCCTCTTGGTCTTGGCAATCCCGGCAGCCGACTTCGCGGATATCCGTGGCCGACGAGTTTGGGGTCGGGGGTCAATTTGCATCTTCATGCGAAAGACTTTGTCGAGGAGACGGAGGTACTGAGCGTGGTCACGATGCTGGTAAGCCATGCGAACAGCAGTGGGGCGGTCGATCTGGCGGATCCTGGGACGTAGGCAACCGCCGAAGATAGAGTCATACTGTTTGAGAAGGGATTGGATCTGTTTGGTGACCTTGGGATGACGAGTGTCGCCGCTGAGGATAGAATGCGCCGCGTAACGACACCAGACGCCGAACCACCACTGATGAAAGTCGTCTCCGTGGGCGACGGTGTGATGGGGGCGGAGAGGTGACTGACGGTCAGCGTGAGGCAGATGACATGGGAAGGGATGAAGTTGGACGGCGGCGGACTCACATCCTTCAGCTTCAACACGCCTTCTTCCAACACCTGCCTGTCCTCCTCCCTCACACATCCTGTGAACCGGAAAGCCGCAAACCTGGCGGTTGAATCTCCATCGTACAAGGGGTTGACCACCGCAATGTTTCCCGAAGGAGCGATCTTTTTCTCTTGGGAAAACTTTGCGACCAGTTCCGTGCGATTGCTTTCAACGTAGCGAGCTTGCTCGACGGTGTATGGAGGGGACAGGAGAGTAAGAGGGGGTCGAGAGAAAAGACGGAAGGGAAGGGATTGTCTGGCAGTCTCCGACTTGACCCGTCGCGATTCCTTCAACCTCCTGCAAGTCATCTGAAGTGTGCAGTCGCCTGGGCAGATGCACTTCCGGCTTTGCTCATTCAAAGACAACCTGCGGCGATGTCAGGGACGGCGTGTCGTGATCGAACGAGATGGGAATGGGAGGTGTGGTAAGTGTGCAGGTGAGTGAGTGAATGAGTGAGTGAATGAGTGGGTGATCGAGTGAGTGATCGAGTGAGTGAAAGAGTGGGTGATCGAGTGAGTGAATGAGTGCGTGAATGAGTGGGTGAATGAGTGAAGAAAGGGGAAGAGGTGTTGAGGGCGTCAAATGTCGCGGAGTTACAAGCGGAGCAACAGATGTGGCTTAGGAGGGGTTCGCCGATGTGATTCGGGTGACTGTTCACTCCACGTCCGACGATGACGGAAATGACCTCTGGTCGCCGATCGCCGGTTCGCGGTTCGACGTATTTCGCTGACGTATATGTGCATCGTGCCATCTACAATTTCCTTCTCACTTCCAGATCGACCCGTCCGCTTAGTACCTTCCTATCGCGTTTAAGACATGAATTATGTTACAGTATGACATTAGAGTGAAATAACATATCGTTTCTCCCCATCGTATTGAGACCGGCGGTTACTGCCTAAGTCAGCAGCAATTCATCCGGATGTTAGTCATCACAACAGCAACTGAGGGGGATGGATGGGAGGAGGAAGATCGTATGCAATGTCAGGAAGATCGAGAGGGAAAAGTCTTCCTGAGACGTCTGCAGAGTCGTACGCATATCCCAGTGAAAAAGCCGGTATGAAAGTCTCTCCTATGGAAATCAGCTCAAACGTTGCAATCAGAGACGATCCTCACCAGGGTGATTCTTTTGGTAGAGATGGAGTTGCTTTTTCCTACTCTTCCCAGCTGCCAAACTATCATCAACATCCTCAATATCTAATCCTTCCATTCCATCTGTCAAAAGCATCAGATGCAATTGATCCGCCGTAAATCCACTCAGCACCTTCAGAATACCCGACACGCTTTCGGTTTCAGACTCTTGTATTCGTGCTTGTTCTCCTTGGTGGATTTCGGTTTGAGGCTCTTGTATTCGTGCATGTTGTCCTCGGTAAACCGAGTCCCACATGGCCTCGACATCCTCGCGGCTTGCCCATTCCGTCCTATCGACTGTCGTATGAAGGGCGCATGACTTTAGTCGACCTATTAACTCGTCTTCCCAGCTCCAGTAAGTTTTGTATCGATAGAAGAAGCCATCAATACGCTGCTGTACTGCTGGAACAGAGAGTCGTGAGGCGGAAAAGCGACGGATATTCTCCATGAACTGGGGGTCGGATCGGTCGTTTGGGTCGTGGTCGTCGAAAGCTTCTTGACGTCTTGATGGTCCAATGTTTTGCCGGACACCAGGTACGAGTTGGTCGGGACAGTCTTCCAGTTGATTCCATGGAAGGAATGTCAGCTCTTCCACAAGAGGTAGGGAATGGTCGGTAGCACCACCACGAGTGATCTCAAGCTGACGAGCGAACGCCACTGACAAAGCAGGCTTCTTGTGTGTCGCATATCTGTGTGAACATTCAGCCTGCTGGCGAGGCATCACGAACTGAGATCAGTTTGGATCGTCTGAAAGAGATAGTTTGTTGAACAACTCACCCAAGCGTGGTTTTTGCTGAGGAGATGAGGCCGGACTGTCATGTTTTGAGTGGTATCTCCCATCTGGAATGCCTCTCGATCCTATAAGGTCAGCTTGAGTATTAGATGCCCCGAGGACGTTGATGTCATGTGGGACTCGGTCTATCGATGTCAGAAGCAGACTCACCTTGAACAAAGCCCTCCTGCATCCATCCATATCCACGAAGTGCACGTCGACACGTCTTCTCCTCGGTGCATGATCTTGACTGTGCAGATGAATGGCAAGCTGATGTCAGCCGCGCTAGCTGAATCCTGAAATCACTGACAATATCACCGCATGGTCGGAAGATATCCCACACCCAAGATCTGATGGCCTCGTTTGACTGACCGTTACCCTCGATATTGCCGACCACAGCGGTATAGACATCCACGGCTTTTTCCTCCAGCCTGTGCGTTAGGTGATTGCTCACCCGTCTAAATCCAACGAGTTGTCTTTTCAGAATCTTATCGACGTGGACGAGTGTATCAGGATTATCGACGTGGACGAGTGTATCAGGATTAAGCTGGGGAACACTGGGTTTTTTTTCGATCCGTTGATGTTTACGGGGAACATCCGTTGTGTCTGCCACTTAACACTGTCTTTGACTAAGACTAAGAGCACTCACCTTCGAAGGGACGCTTTTTCGTGGCAGGAATAGCCTGTTCTGAGAGCTCCTCTGCATCCATTCGCAACGCCTGTACCACCCATTCCGGTCTCACGGCATACGCTTGGTCCATCGTTCGCCGTTCTGTAGCGGAGTTGAATTTGAGCTTTTTGTCAGTTGACAACAATGATAATCTGAAGGGAATTTCTCACCGAGGTGTAGACCAGGAAAGGTGGGGCATCGGAACTCATCAGGCGGCCATGATAGAGGTGCATGTCCTCCGATAGACGTTGATGTGCCTGTTCTCCTCGCTCCTTTAACTTCTTATAGACCGTCACGCTTTTTTGTTTAGGCTTTGCAGGAGGGGTGTATCTTTTGCTCAGGTTTGTCATATAAGCGTGACACAGGTGAAGGCCCATCTGGCTGTGCCAGTGTGCATCATGAGGGGGCGAGGGAGGTAAAGTTGGGAATTTTCTATCTTCCCACATCGAAACCAATTCTTCAATTCTCTCCTCGATAGACACACAAGCTTCCCAACTGACATAAGCGGACCTGGCAAATCTGACACTTTCGTCGGTACGCTGATGAGCTAGCCAGGCGTTGAAGATGTTGAGACGGGATAGGGGGTCACCTCTTGGATCGATAAAGTCTTTCCACCGACCACTAGCTGAGACCTGCTCTTCTGCAGGGCTGTGCAGAAGATCGAATTGTTCCAGAACCGCGATCAGAGTAAGAAGATCTCGTCCTACCGGGGAGCCTTGCGCTTGGAGGAATAGGCGAGCAAGAGGTAGAGACAAGTCAAGATTGGAGGCAAGTTGACCTTTCTTGTTCAGCTTCATTTCTCCCTTCTCCATGAACCCAGTGGTTGTTAGCTGATCTGCAGCGCGCAAAATCTGAGCAGGATGAGGACGTGTTGGCCAAGGAAAAGACCATGCCGAGCCTGTAGGAAGATTGAGCGCAAGAAGTTTCAGCAGGGTTTGGGAGAGATCGGTTCGTCTGAGTGGACATCTTTGATGATCCATCATCTTGTTCAGCTCGCTCTTCTCATACAGGTGATATGCATAGCCGTCTTGGGTGCGGCCTACTCGACCGCAGCGCTGATGTGTCTGCGCACGAGAGTTGGGGACTTCGAGGAGCTCTTGAGCGTCGATGACGGCGGAATACACTGGCATCCTGTTGAAGCCACAGTCAAGCAGGTACACAAGGTGGGGGAAGGTTAATGAGGTTTCAGCGATGTTGGTTGAGACGATGATCTTTCGATATCGTTGACATCCGCTGGCGGCGTTGCAGATGTGTTCTTCGACATTACTGCATATCATTGAATCGGCCATGACTTTGTCTTGTTCGATTTTCGGTAAGGTTCGGTATAACTTTAGCACCTTGAATTTTGCCATCTCGGGAACAGCGTCATACAGGAATTCAAGATCGTCACATAGTTGGTGTATTTCCCCTTCCCCAGGGCAGAAGATCAGCATGTCTCCGGGAGGGTACGTCTTATTGATATTGGTGACGATCTGTCGAACGGTTTGGAAAGCGGACTCCATCCAACTGCGAGGGGTTGATAGCAGAAAGTGATGATGGATAGTTTTAGCAACACCGGGTATCACCACCAGCTCGGGACGGAAAGGGGCAAAGTGTTCGAGGAGGGTTGCGTTATCGCCCGTGGCGGACATACAGATAACGCGAAGGTCTGGACGAGTAGGGATGAGCTGGGCATCAGCTTGATTCATTGATAACACACTAGACACTGCTACACCGGTTGGTGATAGGACGAAGAAGGTTGGGTCACGCGACCGTAAGATATCAGACCACTCACAAGGCGCAGGAAACCGAGGAGGATGTCGATATTTACGCCTCTCTCGTGAACTTCATCCACGATGACTACCCCACAGTCACTCAACAGCGGGTCCCGTGATAGCTTGGCGATGAGGAATCCGTCCGTGAACACCTGGATTCTGGCCTTGGTCGAGTCTTTGGGCATGACGGATAGACCCTTCATTTGCAGCCCGACCATCCCTCCGAGCCGATCTTGAATGTTAGCCTAAATTCAGTTCTCTTTGATGTGCAAGGCTCACCGTCCATCTCCTCAGCCAACCTCTCCGCAACGCTCCTAGCAGCCAGGCGACGTGGTTGGGTGATAAACACCTTCCCAGCACATCCCGAGCCCTCTAAAAGGTGGGCGCATGCTTGGGGGAGTCTAACGTCAGCCATGAGCTACGCAGCAGGCTATAGAGCCTTCGTTGACTCACTGGGTGGACTTGCCGCTTCCGGTCTCCGCGGACACAATGACCACTTGGGATTTTTCGAACTGAAACATTGAGCTCGATCTCCACAGGCCACAGTATTCGCTCTCACAGCTTCAAAAAACCGAGACACCCCCTGCCAAGCCGGCAGCTGTTGACGTCGGTCATTGAGGGCCGGGTACGACTCGCTGAACTGTCTCACACCGTTTGTTGGATCCTGTGAGTCAGACCACACTACTTCGTCAAAGGTAAGAATTTACTTGTATCGCGCGTAGTTGTTCTTGGGTAAAACTCAGCTTCACGGTGCAGGGGATAGGGTGAGACATGGTATAAGGAAGGGTTAGGAATGAAATCGCGGGCAAGAAAAGTTTCGAGCTCGATCCCAATCGTATCGCCGCTGCAGATCGTACATGTCAGACAGTGGCAGCATGCAGCATAGCGCTAGCGAAATCGACAGGGGTAATATATGACATGGAGCCCCGTCGCATGATCGTAGTCTACGCTTTAGCGAATCCCCCAAACGGCAGGAACACACCTACTTGGAGCCCTTCACCAGCCATCGTATGGATCATTCTCCGCAGGCGCGCAGGCTTCTCCACCACCACCTCCACCACGGGCGAGGCAGGCGCTCCCGAGCCGCGCAGCAGGCAAATTGTCGCCCCGGGAGCCCATTTGACGATTGATGACTGCAGGGAGTAGGCCAGCCGGAGCCCATTTGACGATTGGTGACTGCAGGGAGTAGGCCAGCCGGAGCCCATTTGACGATTGGTGACTGCAGGGACCCTGTAGTCTTGTACATAATCACGACAGTGTTTGACAGGGTGTGCTAGGAACAATCAGCATGGGCTATTTCTGCTGATTGGATACGGGTTCAGTATGGAAAGGTGAGAGTCAGTATGGTTGTCAAAGGTAGAGGTCCTTTGGTCGTAATTGGGTGAGAGAATATAAATGGATGAAAACCGACCCTTTCATGGTAATTGGAAAACTAAGTTCCGCAGTGTAGGGAGCGAAGCTTGGGGTAATTGTAGGCGAAACGTCGAAAGTCAGGTCTCAAAGATGATCCCTGACGAGCTCGAACAGTAGGACAATGTCAAGTGCTGCTAGGTGTTTGGGCGCAAAAGTGCCACACTCACTTTCCTCAGGTCGCCATTTAGAAAAGAATTGATCTTGCACGGACTTGAACCGTGGACCTCCGCATCACTATCAGTACGGCGCTGCTACCTTGCTGAGCTACAAGATCTTCTGTGCCACTTTGAATCTCTTTGGTATTGCATTCAGCTTGCTACCCATTTACCCTTTTGCGTCACCATAGCCAATCTATCCACGGGTCCACGGAGTCGGCTCGAGAGGCGAGAGACGGGCCTGTCAATCTGACCGGTTGGCCAACACTCGGTTCAAATAGTCGAGATGGTACTAAAATGATAAACGAACAGAAGTAAGAACAAACTCACATTCCTTTTTCTCCTTGAGAACCACCTTTACCCCAAGCTTGTTCTAATTGCGTGCGTCAGTTGGGTGCGTCAGGCACGCAAATGTTATGGGGGTGAACCCGGAATTTGAAGAAGATTCCCAGTAGCTGATTGGTTCATGCCCATCATCCATCCGAACTCGCGAGCCTAGACGCTAACGTTCTCCATCGCATGCCTATAGGGCAGGCGATCCGGCAGATGCCTAGTCTACCTACTGCAGACCGGAGATCATCTTGAACAGGTCGGTTCAAACTTGCTTTATCTCGAGCGTTATGAAGAGTGTGTTCGTGTGTCGACACGGGACCCACGGTCGAGGAATTTTTCACCATAGGGTACACTTCAAGAAGATCAGCGTGGAAGGGGGATACAAGGAAATCGACTCGGGAGGCGATGTGAATCTAAGCTTACCTAAAGTCCCTGTTTTGACCAATTTTCCAGTCAGTTACGTTGAAATTCGGGTCAATCCGATGCCTCGGTAAGTGGTTGCCGCAGCTCCGCCGACATGGCGGGCACTTGGTCGGTGACTGGTGCTGCCGGCACTTGCATGAAGTGGTGGGCAAGGGACCCATCATCATGCGCAGATGGTCTGTAAGGAATATTGGAGTGTCGAGGTTGAATAGGAGGAACTTCGCCACGCTCTTCAGGGGCTTCCTCGAGGTTGAACAGGAGGAATTTCACCACGCTCTTCAGGGGCTTCCTCGAGGTTGAACAGGAGGAATTTCGCCACGCTCTTCAGGGGCTTCCTCGAGGTTGAACAGGAGCAATTTCGCCACGCTCTTCAGGGGCTTCCTGGTCTATTATTATTATAGATAGATAGATAGATAGATTGATAGGGCAAGCGAGGGAAAAGGGAGAGACAAACTCACCAAAGTATTTACAAATATTGCACTGTCGAGGTTGAATAGGAGGAACTTCGTCACGCTCTTCAGGCGCTTCCTGGACTATCATTATTATAGATAGATAGATAAATAGATAGATAGATAGATTGATAGGGCAAGCGAGGGAAAAGGGGGAGACAAACTCACCAAAGTATTTACACAACAAGCAAGATATTCTCCCTTATGAAAAGAATTTTCGAGCGTGACGAGTACTACCAATGTAAGCGTAACACGGAATGAAACAACAGTGGTTTTGGACCGACCGTGTCACGGTCCTGTCCTTGACAGACCTCGATGGATCGAAGACAGGTGGACTGCAACTGTTTAGTTAGCTTGGACAACGATGGTTAGTATGTTGTCCGTAGACTTGTGATATGATTGGACAACTAACTGACTTGCGAAGGATCCGGGCAGGTCGAGATGATGATGACGGCATCTGTGATGGTGTTGACAGAGGTAATGATGAGGGTTGGTTCGAAGTAAGTAATATGTCAAGAAGAGGTCTTTGGTGAAGTGGCAAATAATATTTTGATCCTTGAGAAGAAGAGAACTACAAAGTAAATGTGCTCTTTATATAGTCTACCTAGAGATAGCAAACCTATCCATGATATAGCTCACATAGGTAATTCTCGAGGCAAAACTACCTACTTATCCCTTGAGTTACCTATTCTGCCTATTAACTAACCTATCCCCTGTCATGAATGCAGTAAGGGACCTGCATCATAACGTCCTCACTAAAAGGCTCAATACTCAACATCTTCCTGGAAGATGTCGAGTTCCCTTATAAGGGGTACTCAGTTCCTGACACTCGCCCCCTCTTCTTTCAGGGTCGGCGACCTCGACGACGTAGTTGCACACTGCAGACCCGACCCGCCGGAGTTACGTCTTCTAACGCGGCAACTTTTTGAAATCCGCGGGCTGACTGTTTATATTGCGGCTCACCACACCGCACGAGTACCCTTCTGAACCTGAAACCTTGTCGGCCATACTCCCCGAGTACCGGAGGGTTTCCAAGCCAAGCACGCACATTACTCCATAGTTAAACCCTTTTTCCCTGGGTAACCTCCAGCGGTAGTAATCGAACGTCTGACCCGAAAATGTCGAGTGTACTGTCACGTTCGCATTCGCGGCTCTCACTCTATGTGAGGTGCTGGCTGCAGGTGTCAGCACCGTTTGTCCTCAGGTTTCGCCCTGAGGGGTTGGTTTGGGGGTTGCCAACCATCCGAGGGTCCTATGTGACCATCCCATGGTCGAATCTTCCGATTCGACGTTCCTAGTTCCTAGTTCCGAGAGCGTGGATACCTGCTGAGCGCATGTGACTTGGAAACCCACAGGCCTCGCGCCTGCCACGGTTTCAGGTTCAGAAGTACTGCTGTTGAGACGCCAGCTTCCCTGAAGGGGGGGAATATGTCACGACCAGTACTTATAGCGAGATCAACTCTCACTAGCAGAGTTGATATTGAGCCTTTCAGGACATTTTATGGTCACGGGCTCGCTACCCGGTCATGACATCCCCCGTCTTAAATTACCTATTTCCTATTCGATAACCTATTTGGCTTGTCAAGTAACCTATCTAATATGGCCAATCACCTATTTGATATGACTGATTACCTATTTAATATGAGTAATCATCTACTTGATAGGAATGATCCTCTACTTGATAGGATTCATTCTCTACTGGATAGGATTGATCATCTACTTGATAGGATCAATCATCTATTTAGTCGCCAAACAGCCTATCATGGCTTGATCACCTATCGTAGTGATTTGAATAGGTTATTTACCATAGAGATGAGATATGGGGCACGACTGAGCCATAATATCCCTGTCGTGACAGACTGGTTTTTTCATTGCAAGGCTTCACATCATGCAAGTTGAAAGTGTGCATGGTCGATCGATCTGTTTATACTTGATCTTGAAGTTTCACGTTGACCTTGAATCTTTCACAGTGACGATTACTCTGTCCTCTGATCTTTTATCTTTATGGTGAGGTTTTCGGTTCTACGTTGTTGGAAAAGGAGAGGACGAAAAAGTCTAACCGTCGGTCATTTGTTTGTTTGTTTGTTTTGTCTAGGCCGAAGCGAGACGATAGAGGTGGGGGGAGTTGGCACACTAGTGAGTACATATTGTTTTATTATCACTGCTTCCACCCATGCCACCGCAGACTTCTGCATCAAGTTAGTACGGCGCTCTAACCAAACTGAGCTACAAGATCACCATGTGAAAGAGCAGACTTTGTTACCCCAATTCAGTTTTTGTGTCTTGCGATGTTGCGATGATGAGTTGAGATGTAGAGGCAGATCAATGAGTGACTCCGCGTTTCTGCGCGTTTTGTGGCCATTCGTGGCATCGCCACTCCCTCGCGGCGCGGACGACTGCCACATGCTACAGCCACTCGCCACCCAATTACCCTTTCAACTCACCTTAGCCCATGAGCAATGAGACTTCAACATATTGTAAGTTCCTCAACTGCTTCTACTCATTGCGCCGCAGACTTCTTCATCAAGGATTCATGAGCCCTCCTCAGAAGACTCTCTATTCGTGTGACTACGTCATTGACTATCAACCGCATGATGTACCGTCAAAAGAAAGAGATTCGCCTCCTTCGCCTCCTTTCTTCATTTACGCCCGTTCGTCCGCTCGTCCGCGCTCATCGGGCAGCTTATCTCTTCATTCCTCCTCTCTTCGTCATACCTCCCCACATTACTCTTCATCAGTGGTATAGCTTAATAACTTGCCCTCTCTGTACGACTGAACTCACCTCAACATCACTCAATTCATAGCAAATCGGTTACAAACAGACACTTCAGCATGCCAGGAGCGCAAGTACATATCTCAAGGCATCCCTTGATTCTCTCAAAACTCACCCAGTTGAGGCTACATGATCTCCCAGCTAAGGATTTCCGAGAAGGAATCAAAGTCATTGGGTGAGTATCTACATTATCTCACTCAGCTGACTCCTCCTCTCATCCACAGAGGTCCCCCCTGATTGACATATACTTACTCCCCTTCACCCCTCCGTCCTGCCTCAGCCTGTCTGACTGACGATTAGATCAATGTTGGTATACGAAGCCTCTAGAGGATTACCATTGATCGATGTACCCAATGTGAGTCACGACACCCGTTCACCTCACATTTCACTACCCCACTGCTGAGCTATTTGATCTTTTGTGTGGTAGCAGTCTCTCCTGAGATCATAGAAATTGGCGGAAGAAGTTGCTAAGGGTCAGCTACAAAGTCCCATAGCGGCATTCACTGGGCAGGCTATACCTTTGCGTATTGGTCTTTCACCCATTCTTCGAGCTGGAACGGGCTTCGTTGATGGTGCGTTGATCATTCCTCCTTATCAATCCTGACTTGTAGCGATATATTGATTCTTGATTCAAAAGGGACTAGGAGTTGGTCAGCTGAATCTTAGCGGCACTGGAACTCTTCCCCGACGCTACCGTCCTCCATCTTGGTCTGTTCAGAGACAAAGTCACCCTTCAGGCCATCGAGTGAGCGGATCTGTCTGTGTAATGACAAGAGCTAAAATACGTAGATACTACTCAAAGCTCCCCACCGAGGTCACCGCAGATCTGGTCTTTGTCTTGGATCGTGAGTACCTTCTCCTCTACATCTGCCTGGAGGTTTCCCTTTATCACTCGACGAGCGAAGTGGAATTCTCACTTGGAACACGACGCTAACACTCAGCACTCATCGCTACGGGAGGGACGGCAATTGCCGCACTAGGCATGCTGACCGACTGGGGATTAAGGCAAGATCAAATCAAGATCGTATCTGTACTAGGAAGCAGGCAAGGTGTCAGACACGTCTCGGAAGAGTTTCCCGACGTCGAGGTAAGCTATACTCGTATCCGTCTCGAACCAAGAGCTGATCCCCAGATCTTCATCGGCGCCATTGATGATGAGCTCACTGAACGAGGATACATATCCCCAGGTCTGGGTGATGCGGTGAGACCATATTTGACGCTAAGAATGGAAGCTGATGAGACAGGGAGACCGACTTTTCAACACGCACAATAAATGACATGCATCGTGAGAGAGAAGGGTCGTACATATGTAGTATCGTTCATTTCCATTCGCATGATTACATTGATGAAGGATTTTGTTCCTTTTCTATAGCTTCCAACCTAGCTATTTGTCTGAGTGTCAGCCGGGGTCGTGATAAACACCCATATCTCCTCGACGAACCGACTTCCGTCAAGGAATCAAGGGTCATCTCAAACTGTCAACTTACTGATCCCGTTGAGCCTGTCTCCATCTTGCCAATCTCGCCTCCTCATGCACCCTAAACCCAAATAATCTCGGTTGATAAGTATCCGCCTTCAGGGCCACATTGGCCGTACTCCCCAGAGTTCCCACGCCTCCAACACCACTGACGATACCACCCTCTCTGACAGCTTGAACCCCTCGTAGATCCATCAAACCGCCAGTGGTGGCACCCACAGGTTGCCCCTTCGTAGGTATAGCCTGAGGGTAGACCATCAATAGCATGTGTGGGAAGGTGGTACCGAAGAAAGCTCCATCGATAGTTCCATGCCGATTAGACTTTGGAGAGTAGATATCTTCACACCGCGGACAGTAAAGCTTGACGGCTTTTTGGTCTGGGATGTCTGAGAGGCCGACGGGGAGAAGTGGTTGGGAATAGCAGTAGACACGAGGACAACGACCAAAGTCTGCTTTACGGAATTTGTCGAGCTGATGTCAGTGGACATCCCCATGATGCGTCCCTTCGGCCCTCATGTTCTTGAGAGATATCTTGACCGAGACTTTCGAGAATAAGTTACGGTAAGTGGAGGGAGAGATGTATTGAAAGCAAGAATGGGAAGGAATCCACTCACCATTTTGGCTAAACCACGGGATGTCACAATGTATCTCGCGTGAATGAGGCCATATAAGAATCGAGCGGAATGTTCGATAGTTTCTCGAGTATCATCATCTAAAGCTTCGTCGTCTATTCGTCAGCGTTCGTCTCACTTGATCTCTCCCCAGGATGAGACTTGATCACAACGCCTGCCGGGAGCCATACCTTTGAACACACCATGTCTATTTGCGAGACATCGTTGGTTCACGGGAATGGGAGTGTGGATTGAATGGTCAGACAAAAGGGACAAACCCAAAGAATCAGTAATCAAATCCAATGCTTTAGGATACTCGGCCACTACGTCGCTGTTCAAACCAGTCAGGTTGAATCTATCAAATATGTAATCTTCGTCCACTTCCGCAAAGTATTCCTACTTGTCAGCCTTCCGCTAGCTTGACCGGAGTTGGTGGTTATTACGACTGACATTTCCTTTGGTCGATAGAAACCAAGATATCCACCTGTTCATGAGCATATGTCAGATGGCATATAGGGAAAGACATACGAGTCGGCGTAATCGCTCTCTTCAGTAGACATCTCTTCCATCTTGTTTGCTATGTCTTCCTCCGGGTGTGGTGTCGGTAGGCGGTCTTTGAGGAGTCAAATTGCTGGGCAGCGTAGTAAACTTTGGATGCAGCAAGTAGGAGCAACAAGCTGTCGTGACTTTAAAGGTGTCACAGGGTATCAGGAAGACAAGAGAAGAATACAGGTCGGGTTTATGAGGGAGAAGGCTGCGTGAGGAGAGGTTATAGGAGAGCGGCGTTCGCCGCCTTCCCTCAACATCCTCTGCGGTGGGGTCTAGATCTACTTAAGCATGATGAATGACTTACTGTACTCCTCGTAGTGTACACATATCGCTCCCACTCGAATTCTCCAGTCAAACTGAGTGCTAAGTGATCATGGCGACAAACACAGCTGGTCCCTCTCGTCCCTTCAGAACCCCCGCTTCTCTACTCAACACCCCTCCACCACCCTCCACGTCTGGAGATTCAGAGAGCACCAACCAACTTCCCACCGAGAAACCCCTCAACCTGCAGATCCTTTCCGACTTGGCCAAAAGCGCTCTGGTTGAGTCTCTCAATGAGGTAATGCCTATTCACCGATCATTTGCCATAGCTGATGGGAAGATACAAGGTGCCAAGACCCTTATCCTAGACCCTGGTCTCGCCGGACCTCTAGGACTGGTCACTGATGTCGCCCTTTTGAAGGTCATTTTATACTCTTAATGGGCTTCAGAGGCTGATATCATAGCATCAAGCGGTGGACAAGATCTTTTGGCTAGAACCAGGACCTCTGAATGTGTCTACGAGGAATGTCGTTTGGCTCTGTCGACCGAAGATGAGTCACATGAAGACCATAGCCGGTATGTCATTCGACGTCATAACACCTTTGCTAACTCGAAGAACAGATCAAAGCGCAACAGAGTACTGTCTCTTCGAATGGACCTCTGGTTTATACACTGTTACTGGTACCCCGAGCCACTGAGCTGTGTAAAAAGGTGTTAGAGGATGAAGGAGTAGCTGGAGATCTCACCATCGGAGAGGTGAGCGCCGAGAATTGTTTATCTACCAGGTTGACAAGCAGTATAAATTGGAATTTATACCAGTCGAAGAAGACCTCATATCTTTGGAGCTGGATAACGTCGCAAAGGACATCTTTATGGTGTGTCAACTAACTGAACATCTTGGAGCTGACAGGTAGAACGGAGATGATACACCGTTATATTATTCTTCATCAGCTCTCATGAATTTTCAAAGAGCGTTCGGAATGTTTCCTCGTATAATGGGCAAAGGAGATGCAGCGAAAGTGAGTTACCTCTACAGGTGAGTTGTTGATTGAGCTGATGAGCCAGAGATTGACAAACCTCCTTCAGCGTCATTGTCAATCGGGAGAAGAACATTATAGTGATTTGGAATTATCCACCGAAGTCGATGGATTGATCATCATTGATCGATCTGTGGACTGGGTCACGCCTATGTGTACTCAACTCACTTACGAGGGTATGCTCGATGAGTTTATAGGGATACGAAATGGTTAGTCTTTCCTGCCTTTGGACAAACGGATAAATTCGGTCATTTCACATGATATACCGGGAACTTGTACTGATTTCAGCTCATATAGAAGTCGATCCAGTTTTGATAGACCCTCAAAACACATCCAATACCACGACCGGTCAACCTCCGCAGAAGAAACGCAAGCATCACCTGAATGGACAGAAAGACAAGCTGTTGGGGGAAATACGAGATCTAAACTTTGCCGTCGTGGGTACCCGTTTGAGCAAAGTAGCACGTCGATTAGAAGGTGATTATGGTGGTGCGAAGAATCTCAAGAGTGTATCTCAGATGAAAGCGTTTGTGGGGAAATTGGGAGGGTTACAAGGAGAACAACAAAGTTTGAAATTACGTGAGTATCTCTCATCTTGCTCCTCAACTTTCCCTTCAAGCCATGTGATTTCTATAATGCGAAAGGGAAACAAAGCTGATATCAGATACCGGTCTCACCGAAATACTCATGCCTATCACTCGGACGGAAGAGTTTAACAAATCACTCGAAGCTCAACAAAATCTCGTGGCGGGATACGACCTCCCTTCTCAACTCAACACGATTGACGATTTGATGGCTCAACAAGCTCCTTGGGCTACAGTCTTACGTTCTCTGGTGCTCATGTCCATAGTTTCAGGTGGGATCAAGCCGAAAATACTCGAAAGTGTCAAAAAGGATTTCCTTCAGGTTCATGGATATCATCATCTCCCTTTATTGATCTCCCTCGAGAAGCTAGGCTTACTGGTTAAATCACCGTCATTATCCTCCCAACCGTTCCCGACACTGAGGAAGAGTCTCCGACTGGTGGTCGATGATGTGGACGATACGAAACCGAATGACATCAGTTATGTCTATAGCGGATATGCCCCCATCAGCGTGAGGTTGGTACAATGTGCTGTTCAAAAGAATGCAGTACTCAGTACGGGTATGGGTGTAGATGGCGACGAGGGGAAGAGGGAAATACAAAAAGCTCATCCGTTGGTAGGTTGGAGAGGGTTCGAAGATGTTTTAGGGAGTATACCAGGAGCGACTGTTGATATACGTCAAAGGTTGGAAGGAAGCAGACATGAAATATGTTAGTTACTTTTTGTCCATTTCCAATGGCTCCATCTAATCTCCAGCACGAGAAAAAGAAACGATTACGACTGTTGTGTTCTTCCTTGGAGGATGCACTTACACCGAGATATCCGCATTGAGATGGATGGCGAAACAAGTCAAAGGGAGAAAGTTCGTCATTGCCACTACTGGCATGATCAATGGTACCACGGTACGTCAAACTTATTCGGATGTTTCTCCCAAACTGATGTGTAGTTATTGGAAAGTTTTGGAGATCCTGAACCTGTCCCATTGATATCACATCAAAGATGATGCATCATCGGACGGCTGGGGAAAGACCTCCTTCAGCTAAGATATTCTGTGTCTGACCACCCCTTTCTTCTTTGACTAGCCAAGATGTCAATACGCCATTGAAGTCTAGTCGAAGTAATACTATTCATCAACTTGGTCGTAAGCGAACATACCAACTCACATTGCTCTATATGTCTACTCATGTTTGAATCAGCATCTGCTGTGTCTTCTTTACCCGCCGTCGTCGGACCGGTCTTGTTCTTCGAAACTCCCTTGAAACTGGTATGTCGCGACAAGATCCGAGAAGCATGAGTGAGGTTGATCTTACTTGCATTCGTCCGTGACGTCCCGCTTGTCGATGTATCACCCAGGGAGGGGTTTTGACTTTCCACTAACATTCTGAAAAATTCCGTCAATTGATCTCGCAATGTCTTCACGTCAGTCAAATGTCTACCTTTGGAAGGAAACTCACATTGGCCACTTCTTGCACTGCCATTTGACGTTCTTTCAAAAGCTTAGTCACTTCTTCCGCCGAACCTTCCACGAGAAGCTCAGGGAGGACATCCCCACCCCATCGATCTACCAAAGCTGTGAACCTTCTACAGCTCATCAAGATATCTCTGATTAACGCGGCAGAGGTTCTATCGGCAATGAGTAACCCCTCTCGGAGAAAGGCCAGATGTCTCGAGTGCATTTGTCTACAACATCAGTCCTCCCTTGATATATCAGAAGAACTCACCTGAGAGTGAGAAAGTCAAGATGAGCTGTTTGAGATTTTCCAGGCGTAGGAGGAGCTCGAGATGTTGATCCTCTTTCCCATTGAGTATGAAAAGATCCTGGTGAACCTGGTCTTCCCATTGGATCAGGTGAAGATGTCGTGGGGGTATTTCTTCGATCTATAGGAGAACGTGGTCGAGTCATTGAACCACGTAAAGATCCAGTCTCTGAAGATGTTTTATGAGAATTGATCCCTTCTAATTGACTCAATAATTGACGATGTTGAACATCTATAATATCCACAAAGAAATGACCCAACATCTGATCTAAAAAGAATAACATGATACGTAAAACTCCCCAAGCCGAACGAACTAACTGTTGTCTCTCTTTCGCTTCAAGAGGAGAACCACCTTCTGTACTACCTGTCCATTTCCTTCTTTGACGTTGAGAAGAACTAAGAAAAGTCCAACATTCCAATACTTTCATATGTGTTTCACGAAAAGCGAAAAGATACGTATGTATATCGGTATAATTATTCATAGATGATGGAGAAAGGAATAAATCTAAAGGCCAGGAAACGCGTGTTTCTAATATGAGAGGAGAACCTAGTGGAAAGGTAGAAAAGAGATCTCTGATGGGTATTTCGGACAAGTATGGATTAGGAATAGAATTTGATATAGGTATTACGGACATGAGAGGACGTATAGGTCCTTGTGGGAGATGTAAATGAAGTTTATCTAAGAATTTATCGTATTCCGCCAAAGTGGATATACTCGCTTTCGTTAAACAATGTGAAAGATCTTGATCTTTAATTACGGAAGATGATGAATGTGGGTTGGAAGTGATCAATTTTCGTACACGTAGTAGAGAGATTTGACGAATGAGGTTATGTGTGAATGGACCATTACGGGTGAGAAAGTAATCTCCGCTGTGGATTCAGCGATTTTAAGTCATACTTTCTCCTCTATCTCTCTCTCTCTCTCTCTGCTCCACGTTCCAGTGGACCTTCCTCTGATCTCTCTGGAGGAAATCTCCATGCTTGACCACTTCTACTTGTTCTCCGTGATCTTCATCGAAAGGACACACATGCCCAAGGCGGGAGATAGGTTTCCCTGCACTGAAGAGAAGCAAGGAGACGGAAGGTTGGAGATGAGAGATTGGAAGATTAGAAGATTGGAAGATGCAATGAAAAAGATCAAAATGAGAAAACTACTCACAATGCTTGTAAAGCATCTATGACATGATTACCGGTCAAAACATGTTTCCATAACCATTCACCAACTTCCAATCTTGCTTTCCCAATAGTTTTCTCCAAACCTCCTCCTTCTTCCAAATTCGAGACATTCATAATTTCATCCCTCAATTCATCCAGAACCAATTTAGGTAAACTCTTTCCTTCTCTTTTCAAAGTAGCAGTGACTCTCCCAACATATAAAATCCCTTCTCTAGTTGTTTTCCCAATTTTACGAGGTATGACATCTTCATTAAGAACATATAAACGATATTGTGGTGAAAGAGGATCTGATCCTTTATCCAAAGCTACAACAGGTGATTGAGAAGTTGATACGCTTGGAGCTATCCCATATAATAGAAAAACGGTTAAATGGGTTAAGAATAAATGTTTCAATCCTTGGAATAAAATCTTGTATATTTCTTCTAATTGAGGATTTCCAGTGAGACTCGAAGTATATATAAGTTCTATCAATTCGCTAGGTGTATGAGGATGTTGTGATAGTTTATCGATCAAAGAAGAAAGGTTGGAAAGTGGGTTGAACCATTTTGATAAAGAAGCTTGAATGAGTGAAAGTGGTACGTAACCTGATTCATCTTGTACTGTTGAAGTATCACAAGAAAGTATTTTATCTTCTATTTCCACTAGAGATTGTTGGTACGTTTTGAGGAAATCAAGTATTCCACCGGCTAATGTGGATAGGTATTGATCAGGTATTTGAGAGGTAGGAAGGTGTTTGGATGTAGGGTGGGTTTTGATGGAGATATTGAAAATGGATTCTAATCCAATAAGTTGGGTCGTTTTTGCCCATTGATGGATTTTGGAGTATTGGAATGCTAGATGAGCGAGAGAGTTGAGAGTGGAGATCTCGCCGGGGTGGAGGTATTGTGAGAGGGAAGGAGCGACGACGAGTGTGAAAGGTGACGAAGGTGGGGAAGGTGATGGTACGAAGAAGGAAGATGGATGTCCAGAGAGGACCAGGAATAGTTCTGCGAGCATGTCAAAGATGGTTTTCAAGATGTATAGTTCAAGATGGATGGTATGGCGGAAGAGTGATTTTGATCGAGAACGCGAATTCAAATCTCACCCACGCGTCGAAGTACAGTGATCACTTTATCATTCCCAAGCAAGTCCTCAATCATCATCGGAACCTGGTCGAAATCGTACAAGGTATTCACGAAGATGTCATGCAGTATACAGCACCTAGCATCTAGCAAGATCATACAGTCCCATCCCCCAGCCCAGACTCCACTTTCACAGTCAACAATTCCATCTTCCTCATCAATCTCCTGATCTCCTCTGACCGACTGCTCAACGCCATTTCCAGAGGTTTGATCTGCCTACTCCCATATCCCATCCCCGTCAAATCTTCTTCCTCTTTTCTTCTCGGCTTCAGAGCCTCAATCTGTTGTTTCACCTACATATCAGCATACAATCCACATCCGATCCACACTCACATTTTGTACTCTCGCTGTCAACCCCCTATTACCCGCCACTCGTGACCTTAATCTATCCAGCTCTTCGAACCACTTTTTCTCCGCTTCGCCCACTTGCGGTCTATACTCAACCGCCAAACGAGAAATGAGTGATGTCAACCGATCTGACATGACTTCCTGAGCTCGTAACAATTCTTCGACCCTTTTCCTCCGAGATTGAGAGTGTAGTTCAGATATCCGCATTTGACACTCTTTAAGAAGTTTCAATTGACGTTGATACTCCTTTATCTGCACGTCTACTCGGTGTTCCAACTCGTCTGACGCATCTTGTATAGCCTGTAATCGAGTTTGAAACGCTTCCGAGACGGTACCAAACCCTTTCAGATGTTCAGGAGAGATCATCTGAAGTGGGACGTTATAGTCGGGTATTTTTCGAAGTAGGGGGTAAGGATTGAAAGGTTGAGCCGATCGGACAAGGGAGGAAACGAGATTATCAAAGTCGAACCGGTCCAATAGAGATTGAGGATCTTCAGATTGGGTTGCGGCAGGAATCACCTTGACAGACTTCGTAGGAGACAATGACATATCGGTCGAGCTAGAAGGTTGAAAGTCGAGCTCGACAGTGGCGAGCTGTCCAGAGGATCCCAAAGCAATCAAGCAATACCCGAGAGAGATGTTACACAGAGGTACTGTGCCGATGATATTGACGTCGGAAGACCTAGAGGTCAATACACATCAACACCAATGACAAGTCTCACGATGTAGACTCTACGAGTCTTGTCACGGATGACTGAGCCAGTCGACCTTGGTCCGATTGAAACAGCTTCGACACCAAAGGCGCCACATTGACAGAGTCCACTCCTCTTTCATGTTGCACGTAGAAGGTTTCGGGGAAGAGTGGATCAAGAATGATCTCCACCGAGCTTTGTACGGATAATCTCTCTTCGCCCGACAGTCGGATGATTTCCACAGTGTTAGCTTGGATTTCCAAATCTTCAGGATCCTTTCATGTCAGCTTTTGCAAGTTGTTATACACTCACCCTTGAGCTGACCCATCGAGGTTCAGGTCGATCTAACAATACCCCCACGTCCAAAGTTCCGCTTGCCCATCCAACGGCGACCACCTGAAAGTCGTTGACTGCCTTCTTCTCGTCATCTCCCGGTGCGGGGAGAATGAAGGCAAGATCGAGAGCAATGTCTTCATCAAACTCATCCCCATCTCTAGGTCTAGGGGTGAAAACGATAGGGCCCTGTCGTAATATTGGTCGATGTATTCCTGGTGCTGGTCCTCCTGACTCGCTCAGATGAGGGGGTCGAACCACAACCTTACCCGGCGGAGGTGAAGATGACGGTATTTCTGAGCTAGCACGTATACTTCGTATCTTCGTTGGAGTCTCTTCCCTTTTCTTAGAATCTTCAGCAGTTTTGGCTTGTTTGATCAGACTCTCCACCCATTGATGCTGCATCAACACCCTGGCATGCACTTGCGAAGCTTCACCAAACACATCACCTTCGGCTCGATCGAGTCTTGCGTCGGTGTATGCTCTCATATTCCGCAAAGAAATGATGGGAAACTCCGCGTGAAAGGGCATGACAGGACCCATCGTGTAAATGTCCCCGCTGGCCACTAACACATGTACCATGAGACCATAAAGACCTTCTTCTGCTGCTGGCGAGAAACAAAATGAGGTGGCGTAGATTTCGAAAGGGTCGATGGCGGTAAAACGGGAGGTAGAGGGTTTGGAGTATTCAGGAAGGAAAGAAAATGTTTGTGTTGGGTCTTCGGGCTGTCGAACATCATACTCTCTACCTGATCAGTATAGCCCTGGAGGGGTGAAGGGAGGGACGAGACTAACCGAAGTTGTCCGTCCGAAGTGAGTATCCAAAGAGAGTTACCACCTTCTCCCAGGGTATGCCAAATGACTTTACTGATTTTACTCGAGGAAGTTGATGAAAATTGATACTCGTCAATCGCAAAGGATCTATCATGAGGGAAGACTACCGCGTAGAGATGGAACAGCTTACTTGCAATGCACCTCGCCAGAAGACATGCCGCCTTTCGGGAGTACCAACACGACTATTTGCGTTTGCCCAATCACAGCCAGTAGTCGACCAGTTGGATTGGGCACGATCTGGTGGATCGAAAAAGAAAGAAGAGAACTGGATAGCGTCTTACATTCAGCGAGGTAATAGCAGCATGGGACTAGCTCACCTTGTAGTTCCCTACCGCCCCTTCCAGCGCATCAAACCCCTCTGCTGGAAGAGAGGTCATTCGGATCTCTCTGCCCATGACCACGAATAGATCCCTGTCTGATATGGCAAGTTTACTCGAACGGGAAGGGATTGAAGGCTCCCCTGGTCGAGAGAGGACCTCCCATTCTTCTTCGCCAGAGGTAGAGATGTGAGGGGGAGGGATGAAGATGGAGTGTTGGCGTAGGGATGGGAGAGAAAGGGGGATGGTCGATAACATTTTGAAAGCCAACCAAGATGATTGGCAGGAAGGTGTAGGGTATGAAGATAGAGTTGTTTTGTTATGCAAGGAGCGAATTGAATGTAAGGTAGTGGTGGCGAGGAGGAGTGTGGCACTTCTCCCAAAGGCCGCCGGACGTGGTGTGCAGAAACAACTCGGTAGCTAGTCGGTAGCTATAGCCCGGTAGCCTAAAGCTGCCTGAACACAATAGCCAGAAGAGTCTCAAGTCAGGGTATACAACAGCAGAAGCCTGATCAGCCTGAGAGTATACACACACCTAGCTACATCTTTGACCCCTCAGATCCCAACTGTCCTTCCGAAACCACCTTCCCTTCCAACTCTTTTACAACCTCCTGCCCTAGCTCTCTGACCCTTTCCACATCATGTCCGATCAAACTGACATGTACACCCCGCTGTAAGAAAGGATACGATCCCACTCTGATACCCTCTTTCTTGACTCTCACTTGTAGCTCGGTGAGAAAAGGTGCGATAATGGATTCGGGTTTGCTAGTGTATATCAGATGACGGAAAGGTTTAGCCGATGCAGGGGGTAAGGGTATGTATGGAGTGAGACCAAGAAGGAGTTGTTGAAATAAGCTCGGTATCCCAGGGAAGATACATAACTAAAGTTTCAGTGTGTTCACTCAGACTGATGATACAAACTCACTTTGCCAGCTAAGCGAACCACGGGAACCCATTTGTCCGAGTTGACAAACAAGACTTCACTCCTCGCTCCACCTTGACCATTCCCTCCGTGTCCTCCTTTCGCAGTGGGGAAAAGGGCCATCCTATTCCTAGCTTCTACTTGAGCTGGTGTGGCTTTAGCCAATTCTTCCCTTCTTGACGCAGAAGACAATTCCCACATTCGTCTCTTGGTTTCGGAGTCGTACTCCAGAGGAAGATCGAATGCTTTGGCAAGAGAAGGGTAGGTGATATCTACCATGAGTTTATGATGATTTCGTGAACTCACCATCATGAGTGGGACCGATACCTCCAGAGGTCACTACAAAGTCGTAGTTCTTAGTCATACGACGAGCGGCTTCCACTCTGGTAATCAGTTTCTGAGATCATGACGTTGAACCCACATCTCGTCTTCATCATCGGCGATAACCTCGATCCGCTTTCTGTTGGTCAACTAGGTATCCCAGTATAGAATAAATAGAACGGACAGCTCAATGCCAAGGTCAAAGCAGTATTGTGCGAAAAAGCTACTGATGAGCTTGAGAAATCAGCGGTGGGAGTGATCGCACTTGCTATTGGTGTCCTTCGTCTTCCCATTCAGCACCTCATCTCTAGGCGTCAACGAACGTCACGAGGGGTTAAATTAGACACACCCAATGATGATACACCCGGCAGTCCTGAAGTCAGTATTGGAATGACTTCTGCCGCATGCTCACTTTACATAGTTGCCTTGGCCCAGTGGATTTGAAACAGTTTTCGGGTCTGTCACTGGTAGCTTGTCCTCCTTCTCCACGTCCAGGGGGGCGGACATGGCAAAAAAACGTCTGGTGGTTGGTAAAAAGTGAGCAGTTCCAGTCCTCCACTGTCGTAGGGTATATACACAATATGGGGGATTTGCGACTCGACCTACTGTCCTGATTGCGAGCATACTTTGATGAACGAGCAGATGGGTGACGTTGAGGAACAGCGTTAGATGAGGGGATGGGATAGGTTTCAGCTGTGCCTGAAATACAACCGAGGAAAACCTTCAAAACAGTCCAATTCGAGGTTTAGCGATATTCAGCATTCCTCAATCTCTGACCCGTCCGATTGAACAGCCATCTGATTTGCAGAGCCAGCTCTGGACCCTCATCCCAACGAATCGTGAAGATACCAAAATTAGCGACAAGTTTGACTTCATCGGCGATAAGGATTCTCCCCCCTCACAACTCCGCTTTCCACGATCTCACCCAAAGTTGCGTCCACCCAACATGATCGACGACCATCAACAACTGCCCCAGCATTCACAGGATGACTCACAACGTGCAGAAAGAGATTCACCACTCGGACTCGAAGGTGATCTGGACGCTGCGACCCTTGCCGACCTCGCCGCTCTGTCACGTTTAAGTGAGGAGCATAGAAACGAAAATCGATCAACAGAGCCAGAACAGCAAGAACAACAAGATGATGTGGTGCAGGATATCGTCCGAAGACTGCAGCAACCTCCTGGTGATGGTCGCGAAAGAGAAGGGACCCCTCTTCGAGCTCATGATTCTCCCGAGCGGACGGAAGAGGTGGGAAGTGAAAGTGAGGACGAGCGATCTGAGAACGATGATAGTTATGCAGAGGACAAAGAGACTGTCAAAGGTTCCAAAACAAAGCGGAAAAGAGCCAGACCCGTACTGTAAGCTAATATTTACCTGATTTATTCAGCTAACAGTCGTAGGAGCTGTACCGGTATGTCTCGTCAAGTTTGCTATGATGAAAGCTGATGTATCTTCATTCAAGAATGTCATCGAAGAGTGAGTCGAAAATATGTTTGTCATCGCTGACTTTTAGAAACGTATGTCAAGTATTGATCAGTTGGGGAGTCGCTGACGCTTTCTTTTTTCACGTTATAGAACAAGTGAGTCACCCACTCATTTCAGACAGAGCTAACAAGCAGTGCGACAGACGAGTCCCGTGCGATAAATGGTATGTCACTTGGTTACTTGTGTCTTCATCGCCTAACGGACAGTATCAAACGAGGCGTACCAAGTTTATGTAGGATGGAAGTGCCCGAAATACCTCCCCGCAAGAAACGCAAGTGCGTATCAGAGTGTTTCTTCTACTCAAACTGAATTTCTAGACATCCTCAACACTTCGGTCTCGACCTCGGACTACATATCCAAGCTCTTCAAACTCTCATCTCGTCAGGATCGAGTCTGGAGGGAGAACAAGCTGCTGCTGCCGCGAGGGACACTATACGACAAGCCACTCGTGCTGCCAGTTCGGGTTCTAGAGAAGCCACTGATGCGTTGGCAAAACTCACTCAGAGCGCGACGGAGGGTGCTGGATTGGCGGACATGTCACAAGATGCCCAGGCAGTCCTATTGAATGAGGTGTTACAACAGGTATGTTCAAGTCTTTAGACTCAGCTGATTCGTAGCTATCCACAGCGAATACCAATCTGTCCAGAGGTGATGTGGAGATTGAGGATGAGGTATTGACAGGAACACCAGACACGTAAGTTGGCACTGAGCTTGTCTCTCTTAGCAACGATACGAGTTGACGTCCAGTCTTGCCCAGGTCTCCGCTGCATTTCAGAAAGACACACATCTTGATAAGATGAACTTCTCCCTGCTCGGTGTACGAGGTGACGACGGAAAACTGTTCATACCCCCTTCTGTGCAAAAAATGCGCAAAACTTTATGGACCGACGAGATGTTTGGTCAGGATCCTTTGCCAATACATGGACATGCTGGATTTGTGGAAAGCGGTCTGACGTTGGCATACGGTGCTGAAAGTAGTGTCATCAGACATAATCGCGTTCGTCGTTTTATCTATGGTTGTGTAGAAGTCTTCCCTGACTCGCAGATAAGTGCTGTTCAAGCACCATCGTTGACGACTGCTTTGCGAATTGCAGCAACTTTCATAGCACATTATCCTGGTCAAATATTACAAAACCCTATCTATCACCCTAATATCACCACCAGAGAGACGGTTACGACACTTCGTGAGAGCGGGTTGGAGCTGAGATCATACACTTTCATTGACAGAAAAACAGTGCAAGTGGACTGGGATAGTATGAGACAAGAGCTCCAAGTGAGAATAATCCATCATGATTGATACTGTTACTGATTATATCAGGATACATCACCAGGATCGGCGGTCTTGTTATACGCTGGTGGCTTCGAACCTACCGGGATGGACTTGACGGATGTTCAGTGGAAATCGCTAACAACTATCCTTTCAGTCAGTCGATCTTATCCTACTCGAATTCAATTTCAACTGATAAATAGAAACGTCAATTATTACCATTGGTCATTATGCCTGATCAGGGTATGGCAAGTGGAGATCCTGAAACTGATGCGAGACACTTGCGATATCTGGCTAAACAAAACCTTCCCGTGATTTCAGTTCAAGGCTTTGATTCTGTCAGTTTCATATCTACACCACACACTTACTAAGCTAACGTACAGATTTTGGGTTTATACTCTGACAATCCGGCAATAGTTTCAATCATCACTGAAACCCCGACTCAAAAGAAACGATTTGATGTTCAATTACAAAAGATCGCTCGAGGGTTATACGATCATCCTTCTCCTTGGGGTGCTTCCATAGCTCATGGAGTATTATCTGATAAATATTATCTATCCGCTTGGTAAGTCCACCCTTCTTTTCTACGCTGACAATAGGAACAAAGAAATAAAAGCTATGGCTACCAGAATTCAAAGAGCTCGTTCCATTTTATTCGAGATGCTCAATACTAAACTCAAAACTCCCTCTCCTGGAGAAGATTGGAGTTTTATAACACGTTCCACTGGTCTATATTGGTAAGTCCTACTCTCGAAAAAAAAGAAAATTGTCTGATGATCAGTATGATCCTACCTAATCCTTCGGATTCTTCGACACTTCTCAAACATCACATTTATCTTTTACCTGACGGTTGTGTTTCTCTCGGTTGTTTAACAGCTACAAAAGTCGAAATATTGGCAAAAGCCATCGATACGGTGGTTAGAGAAGGTATCAGAGAACGTGAAGAAGCACAAGCACAGGAAATGGCTATGCAATTAGCTTTGGATGCTGCTCGTGAACAAGCTGCAAGGGAAGAAGCTGAAGCTGCTGCTTTGGCAGAAGCCGCAGCTGAAGAAGCAGCTAGAGAAGAGGATAACATGTTGATGGAAAGAAGTATTTTAGACGCTATGGAAGCTGCTAGACATTTACAAGAAGCAGAGAGAAGAAGGGAAGAAGAACAGAAACAAATGGAAGATGCTATTCAAAAAGCTACGGAGAGGGAAGAAATGTTAAAACAGAGTGAAGCGATTTTAGCTACTATAAGGAATTGGTAATTGGTAATTGGTTACGGTATTTGGTAATTGGTATCACGGAAGGGATGTTGTACAAATGTATGCGATCTATTTCGACTACTGATTATCACAATCTCTTTTAGTCCAACACATGTTCCAGTACAATCCGACCTGGTAATTGACACAGAAGGAAGAAAGATGAATACGATTGAGGGATTGAAAACAAACACCATGACATGATCATCGACATATATATACTTTATTTCCAACCTAAATAACCAGAGCTACAAAAACCCCATGAAAGATATTCTCCTAACTCATATTCTATCCATCTCTTCATTCCTCACAAAGACATCATAATCAATTCCTAATTGTTTAATTGTAATTTACTTTTTCAAAACTTCCCATTTCCTAAAATGCCTTAAAACGTTTCAAACCCTATTACTAGGATCATAACCATATTTCTCCTTTTCATACCCTTCATCAACATCGAAATGTACCACACCCATAGTATCAGTTAAACTTTTCGGTTCTTGTCCCATTGTTCCCGTCGTTCCTAATTGACCAACTTCATTCCTAGTATCTAAACCTACTAAATCCGTTTCTGTACCAATTTCTGAATTCCCAAAACTAGATCCGCTAGTTCTCACGGCGGCAGTACCAGGACCGAAAGTTTGTGAAGCGTATGCGGCGTTTATACCATCTACATCACGAGTTTTCCATGAGTTTGTAACTCTTTGCATCGATAATGGGATGGGTAAATTACGACTTGATGCGACTTGAGCTTTGGTGGTTTTGGTACGGTTTCGTGCTAGGTCTCTAGGGAGTGAAAGAGCGAAAAGGAGACTACAACTGTAGAATTTGCTAATGAATATTTGAGGGAAATCTGCCCATGCTGTGTTTCTGAATGTCAGCTAGGTTTTAGTTCTGGAGAACGACCTTTGACAGAGGTATGGCTTGAGAGAAATTGTTCGTTTCGTTAGAATGCAACATCAGGGATTTGAATACTAGTGAGAGGGTGAGGAAAGACAAAGTGAGATATGACACGAGAATTCAGGAGAACACATCACGAGAATTAGAGAAGAAATGATATGACATGAAAGAGGGAATCGTTGAAGAGAACTTACGATCTAAGATAAGCGATCAAAGTAGCTATTTGTAAAGCAGTGATCATGATTCCACTTTGTAATGCCAATTGTGCCATGGCGGATATCATATCGCTCCCGGCTGCTTTTTGACGATTCTTAAGCTTACCATTAGTCTTCATCTCAACAATTTGATACAAAACTCACATCTGCTCGTCGGAGAGAAAAGATGATCAAGATCGATAAGAAAATGTCAGTTGCCTAAATTATAAATTCCCATTCTACTTTCGGATCCTACGTACTCACCGCCGAAGCACTTAACCAAGTAACGGTTGTCCTTGCGAAAGAAGAATGTGCCGATATACCTCTATAAGCATATAGACTTATCATCAGCTTGGACCATTTGAATTTCATATGAACAAACTAGTTTGGAAGTTTCTATCCATCAGCGTCATTCTGGAGTCATAAAAGATCAGGACTCACACTGAAAGTTACAACCTCCCCGATCCCGGCGCCGAGAGTTAGTAGGACTCCAAAGGCTAGGACAGTAGCTGCCGTCCATATTCCCGCACTGTACCGCAGAGTTCCACGTTTGGCCGGAGGGACGCTGAGTTTTGCGTATTGAAGAAATCGGAATAGGAAGAAGAATTGAACGATGGCGCAAATGACTACGGATAGTGAGGGACTGATTATCTCCTCTGGTCTTGAATGTAGTGATAAGAACTGAGGGTAAGTGGTTGAATAACGTTGTATGATGGATTGGACCAAACATGGAAAAGGGCGGACTGGAAGAATGTGGGGAAGAGGGAAACGATGAAGGAAGGAAGGAGAGAGAATGATACTGACGTAGATAAGATCGGCAGGGTGAAGAACGAGAATTTTGACCATACGAGAACAATCGCTAGCACTTTGAGCAATGTTGAGTGCTAAAAGTACCTATTTGTCAGGACCTCGAATTCTCACTACAGAACTATTCCCATCCAGGAATTGGAGGACAAATAAGGAGATAAAACCCACGGCCAACTGTCATAATTATCAGTCATACAACATCCAACAAGTGTAGAGTATCACTCACAGCTAGTTTATGCCATAATTGATCATTTGGGAAATCAGTGAGATATCTTCCCACTTGCATCTTTCTCATCAGCCCGTTCTACTTCAGATCCCTCCCTTCTCGTAGTTCCGCTTTGGTATTGAGAAATGAAGAGACTTACGCAGAAGATACCACAACCAAAAACACTAAGAATGACACCAATACATACTGGGCCGTACTGTACATCAGCATTCTCCCTTTCATTACAACATTCCTAGTACTACCCAATGAAGATGAAAAACTTACCAAATCAAAAGTACTGAAATTGTAATCGGTAGGGGAGATTCCAACGGGTATGGAAGATATAGACGTCATCGTTACCCGTTTCCCTCTTCTTTTATTTCGTTTTTCGATGGACCTCTAGACCGGGATGGAAGTTGGAGCGTGTTTTTATGATATTACTCGATAGTCGAGAAACGATGAGGAATGCTGAGATACAAATATTCTATTTCTCACGACTGACGAAGACAGAGTCAAGGAACCACCGACTGATCCCGAAAGTGAGCCTCGGCAAATCGATTAGAACTTTCTGAAGGGAAAGATATTCACGTTGCCCTTTGAACGATCGGAGGTAATTTGTTCCTACTGCATACCCTATTCCCCTGTGGTCTGACGACTTTTGGGGGGGAAAAAAGCCGACCAGCTTCCCTGGAAAAAGCTTGACGCCGCCGAACGTAGAGGCGTAAGGAGAAGGCGTTATTCCGTCTTTCCCGACTTCACAAGGCCAAAGTGGGAAGGGGATAGAAGATGAGGACTAATTCACAGTTCACACTGCACAGGGGTGTGATATACGGATACAAGCAGCAAGCAGCATGGCAGCAAGTACATTTATATATTGTAGCAGGATAGAATACCCGGTCCAAGGATTGCCCCTAACGGGAATCGGAAATCAATTTACGGGGCTTGGCCGACTGCACGGACCCCAAGGCCTAGGACGGGCCGGAAATGACCGTGCACGGTGGCGTCAGGATCATTCAAAGGACGTGCAGGTTGGGAACCTTAAAAACGGGTTATAATGACGCCATGCGCCCTTCTTCCTTACCCCTTCTCCTTCTGGGACTCAACTCACACCCAGTTGAACACATCTGCATAGATCATCACAATCATCAAAATGGTATCATGTCTTTCGTTTCCCCCACCGGTCTATGATCATGCTGAATGATCAAATTGGGTGGTGAAACACAAGACCGCCGGCGACCAAGGTCCACACTAACCCTTGCCAGCCCGGCGGATGCGTATGGGGCCATCAGAAGACGTGAATATAATTACACAGCATCAACAATTTCATACGACCATCATGGATCATTCATGTTCATCAAAAAGTTTGCTGATGCTCATTGCGGCTTCTTTACTCCCACCACTGACCCAACTCACCCGCATCAATTCTTTCAACTCCGAAATTTTCATTCTATACTTGTCACCCTCCTCACCTCGCATACGCGTCCAAGCGTCGGCTAATTGGGTCCTCATGGCTTCTTCTGTACCTTCGACATATTCACCCAGCCCTGTAGTACGACCCACGAGACCGGTGAGTAGCTGGGTGAGTTGAATCCCGATGGGATTGATGTGCGTGACTGGGATCAGCACATGATGGCGATCAGAGTCATGAACGACGGGCGTTGGGCGTCGGGCGTTTGGGTGTCACCCGCGGAGATCAGCAGATGAATTGGTGACGAGATAAAATTGGATAGATTTGATGTTGACTCACAATGAGCAGAAAGAGCAGGTTGGTCAGCAGCGAAAGGAAGAGCCAAAATGGGGACACCACAGACGATAGTTTCGGTAAGAGAAGTACATCCGCAATGTGTCTCACATTCAGTAAAATTCCATGGATCGGAAGAAGGAATCAGAACTCACTAAGAACATGCCAACAGCTGGATGACTTAGAACTTGGACTTGAGGTGCCCAATCCACTATGAGACCTCTTCCGCTTTGATGGACCTTGTCAATGACCTTTTGAGTGATCTTCCCTCTAGAAGCGGTAGCGAAAATGAACGGAATGGGAGGTTCCGCAAGAAGCAAAGAGTCGATTATGATCTCGATTAGATCTGGACGGTTGTTGGGCCAGAAACTGGTACCGAAGCTGAGGTCATAAGTCAGGATTCCCATGGGAAGGAGAATCTACCTTATGTAAGCGGCACAGTTTTCCCCTTGTTCTTTGTGCGCCTTGTTGAGGAATGAAATGATGTGATTGTCATCTCGTTGAGCGTCAGAGGGGTGGGTGTGTTCTACCACATTCCATATTGTTTCGTTGAACTGAGGCCTGACCATTAGCTCATTCCGCCCACATCCTCCTGTATCCCAGTTATACGCCCGCTTCAGGTCAAATCAGATTTCTAACTATTCGAACCAGAGAATCAATGGGAGGGCAGCGAGAATTCAGTGCGGATTGTGTTCATTGAGTAAAGAGAGTAAACTCGACACGCTCGCTCACCCTACCGCATACACAGGCTTACCGAGCGACTTTTCGATTTCCTTCAAAGCCATCGTGTCTAGTTCCGGGATGGAAGTACAGATGTACCCATCAAGATCATGAAAAGTTGTGTAGATCATATGATGGAACAAAAGGTAATTCGAGTCGACTGTGATTGTCTCGCCTTGACTAGCTGATATTCAGGACCTTATGAAATGGAGAGAGTGTGGTAATGACTCACTCCATTCGTCTACACGTTAGCATCCTCCCTGCTGGATAGGCTGGTCAGGGTTCAGAGAAACGAATAACCCACAGTCGTACATCGGTGGGAGATCGGGCCATTCGAGGAGTTTACCTTGGATGAAGCGTATCGCCTAGAATAAGCACAAGGAGTGCGGTATGAACTCGCAAAGGAAAAGTCTTGCAGACATACGAGAAGATGAGGAGAGCGGAAAGACCCACCTTGTTAGCAGCTCTGAGCTCTTCCATTCCTTCCGCTTTGTACATTTCATAACGATCCAAGAGCTTTTCTCCGATCCCGTATTCCTCATCAGAGAAACAAAACCTGTGCTCAGTATTTTGTAAATCACAATGAAGTGGATGAGGGATACTTCATGTTCTTTTGCGTGATGCGGCAGAATTTTATGAAGGCAGTGAGGAAAGTCTTCTCTCACTCACCGATAAATTCCCATAGCCATCGTGGGACATATTCGAAGACAAGGTATCTTGGGTAAACCCATTTGTTGAGTGATCTCAATGATCATACCCCTCGCTCCTGCTCTGCAGATCTTTTCATGAGCAAATCACAACCATAGACTTTATATTCTATCGACCTCATCTCCACATGTCTATAACCCACATCCCACACTTTCATGATCACATCGTCCCTTCTATCTCTCGTGGCTTCTTCGATCTCCTCATATTATCATACAACTTCAATGGAAAAAGGACGCAAAGTAGATGTTTGAGCGAAATTAGAGTCCACAAGCGTTGATAAACTCACATCGATGATAAAAGCACAAGGTCTCTTCCCCCATTTCCCTTCCTCATCACCCCTTATCAATCCCTCCACCCTCTCTCTCCCTTTTTCCAAGAAAACAGAATTCTCGAGCAAGGTATTCCCGGCATCGTCCAACCCATCAGGAACCATCACCACTCTATACCTGTCCCTCACAGCGTCCAATGTCTGCTTGGGGTGAAGAGCGAACTCTTGATCCAATCTCTTGTTGTAGACCTCAAGAGATAACAAGGTGATGATGAGAGACGGATGAAGGTTGAGGAGGTTGATCATGAGTTGTAGCATGGTCCGAAGATGAGATATGGAGACGGGTATGAAGACCATATGGTTGGCGGGCATTTTGTTAGGTTATTTCGTGGTAAGAGCTGAAAGAATTGATGATGCTTCTCCGCCTGGTGAAATTTACTGGGATCATGTCGAGGAGGGTTGGGGAAGCACATGGTCACCTGGAGGGAAGCTGGACTAGCTGGAAGGAAGCAAAGTGATCAAAGCGACCGAATGGCCGAAGTTGGGGCCACGAGGGGGTGGTAGGTTCCCCGGAATCCTTATCTTTGATCAGACGTGGGGCTCCAATATCCACTGATAAACGTATGCTGAGCAGTGACAGGGATTCATGCTACATATGGTCAGAGATAAACCGCTACAACACCTTTAGCTCTCATCCTCCTTCCTCCATGAAAAGTATCAAGTTCCACCACCGTCCTAGGGTCCAGATTTATCCACACAGCACCATCAAAGCTCTTGACATATCTCGAACGTCTAGACTTCCTCCCCTCCACCTCGTCTCTTACCGGGAAGGGTAGGAGGTCAAATACACCGCTCCACGTATCTTTTCTTGCAAAATCATGTCGAGGAAGCAGAGAAGCTCCTTGTAACAATTCCCGCGTGATTCCCACCTGTTCAGAGGAGGAAATGATGTTTATGTTGGACAATCCTGTGAGGGCGTAAGAGATTGAGTGAGAGGTATATTCTAAGGTCATCTTTTCGCATCTTGGACTACCATCTCCTATCTTGAGTTCATTCGGAGAACCTGGTGTGGAGTTATCAAGCTCGGATACGGAGAAAAGGGGAGATGTTGGTGTTGTGGGATTTGAAGATAAGGTGGGTGAAGTAGGGCTTGTCTTGCCGAGGTTGAGGTTGAAAGTCAAAAGGGATTTCAATATGGTTAGCATCTGTGAACGCGTCGTTGTGATGGGGAGGAAGGTGAGGAATGGAATGATATGAAATGAAATCTTGGGAAGATCTATATGATCTATGTGACCCACGGGGGACGTCCTCAGCTATGAAAGGATATCAAAAACCCCTCGACCCCCTCCGTCCGTATGTGACACGTTGGAGATCATGCTCGTGTTTGAGATGATAGATACCGCACTGAGATACAGTATCTCGCTTAGCTGTGCTAGCAGACAACAACAAGCCCATCACATACCTGAAGACAGATACGACAGATGCATCATCAACAAATCAAGCGTCAAAACTCCATACTTTCATCATTTCATTCCCTTCTCCCATACGCACCAACCCGACGATTTTCTGCTCATCAAATGCCAACCTCCGTATAGCTGGACGTCTCTCCTCGTTATCTTCCATTGGCGGTCGAGGCAAGAAAAGACTTCTGGCAGCTGCGGAGATACTAGCGGGATGAGGTAAACCTTCTTGATCTTCCGCCAAAGTTGAGGTTAGAGAAGGGCCTGAAGCACCTTTCCAGGTTTTTCTTCCACCTCTTCGAACTTCCACATAACCAATCGTTCTTCCTACTCTCGCTTCGTCCTCCTCAGCGTCTAGTTCCCACACTAGTACTCTCCCATCTTGTCCACCAGATACACACCGTCCTCCGACCAAAGAAAGGGAAGTGACCGAAGAACTGTGAGCAAGCAGAGTCTGAGCGTGCCTGATAGGTTCTGGAGGTCGTTCTTTCGTAGATGGAGGTGGAGATGGGGAAGGGGTAGGTAATGAATAAACTTGAATTTGATTATCATTACCTGCCAGCACTGCCCATCGACCGTCCGACCCCACACCTACAGCACGCCGTCCTTTGATACCTATCACAGGATCGACCTTTTTAGGCCATATGAAAGGATCCATTGATATCGAGTTCCGACCTACATGCCAACATTCACCTCGCCATACCAAAGGCGTTTTGGAAAGAGATGACGGCAGGTCGATGCCGAATTCTTGCACTGCTACGGTCCACGAAGATGGGTATAGGGGCGTACAGTAAGTGAGGGACGCTCGAAAGTTCTGTGGTCGTTCCTCATTTACAGGACCATTTAAGGACTCAGGAGTATGAGGGAATACGGACAAGGTAGCTGGATGAAATGATACATCCGAGTGCATCGTAGACACATGTAGCGGGCGGGTAGGCTCGTTGGCGATTGGAGGAAGCAGGGCGTAGAAGGAGAGATGGAAGTCGAGTGTGCCAGTGAGTAACAGGGGATAGTGCATAGTGGCCAGAACAACAGGATCGCCTTCTAGCGGAGTGAAAGTCGTCGCACGTCGTCGAACAGATCGAGGTCGTTGTTGAGGAGGATGTATTGATTCCCTCTTCCAATTAAGACGCGCAGTCGGGAAAGAATGACGAACGCTGAGAACGACAAAACCGCCAGATTGATAAAAAATTGCTATCCTAGCGGGCAAAGCAGATTCATCTTCTTCAGCTGGTGCAACAGATTCGTCCGCACAGATAGCAGTCACATTATCTGGTCTAGTTGGTGAGGACCATCCAGGAGGGGGAGGGATGATACCTATTGGAGCCGCGGTGGTGGTGGCTGAAAAGGAGGTCGATGATCGATAAACGTTGACAAGAGGTGATGCGGGATTACAAGTGAAGATAAAGGAAGGGCACAAGGCTATGTGTTGAGGGTTGTAAGGTGCAGATTGAGGACGCGGTGGAGGCGGAACAATCTCAGAAGTCGCTGATGGCGATGGAGAAGGTGGTAAGGGGATATCTGCCTCAGCCGATACATTGCCATTTGACCTACACAAGTCAACATGTTATGTGCAGCTGTCGACGGGAGAACTGACCAATTTGTGTTGAGACGCATCATCATTTTCCAATCTAAACCATCATTCCTCACACCGTGGCCTATACCATCTACGTCAACAGTTTCCCGATTGGTCAACGATTTTGCTTGTCCAACACCTGGGTATCTCTCAATCTGATGTGTAGAAGCTGATGAGGCAGACGCAGGAGGTCCCATAGACTGCACCGATGGCGATCTCGACGGCGAGGGAGGAGGAAATGCCCTCGAGGGCAACCTGGCGATGGGTCGCTTGGATGGCGTCTTGGGCGCATCGACATAAATGAGTCTTGAGTGATGTGGATGTGGATAACGTGCTACCTGTCAGTCTACACTGAAAGTGACATCAGTTGTGGAGAACTTACCGAGATACAGCCCCTTCCAAAGCTATCGAGGGAAGAATGTTCAGCATCACTGCTCACTGCTATATCGGCCACGGACGGACAAAGGGAGGGTAGCAACGCACCTGTGGATCCAGACTCATCTTGGCGAAATGCGAATTGACAGCTTGTATCCTAGCGAGATCCGACACAGGGAGGAAGGATAGGACGCGGAGGAAGATCTCTTGAAAGTGGAATAGGTCGGCGAGGGTGTGTTTGGGAGGAGTGGGGGTGGGTGTCGAGGCCGCATTTCGGACACTCTTCGATGTGGAAGCCTCAGAATGTGACGATGTCATTCTACTTTGGTAGTCGATGTGCCAGACGAACCAAGAGCGATCTACGATCTGAGGGGGAGTAGTAGACTTGGCATAGGCGATGTAGGAGAAGTGAGGGAAGAACCCACGCCACCCATCTTACCTCCACCGCCACTTACGGCCCCACCTGATGAAATCCCGCGGGATTATGTGGACCGCATATCGCGAAACTCGTCCCTCTCTTTTCCTTTAGCACCACATCATGCCTCCCGCTCAAGTCAAAAGTAAGGCTCAGAAGGCCGCCGCTGCCGCCGCTGGTGGAAAAGCTGGGTAAGTAATGCTCCCCTATCACTTCTTTGAATCCATGCTGATCCAACAGAAAGAAGAAGAAGTGGTCAAAGGGTAAAGTCAAGGACAAGGCCAACAACGCCGTCGTTCTCGACAAACCTCTTTTGTGAGTTTTCATCCTACCTGACCCAACATGAGTTGACATAATTCTCCTCTTTCAAACCGTTCCCAATTATGACCGACACAAAATGGCACTGTTCACTCTCCTCTCCAACCGTATGTTCCCCTCCCAGCGACCGTATCGTAAAGGAAGTCCCAACGTATCGAGTCATCACCGTCTCCACCCTTATCGATCGTATGAAAGTCAACGGTTCTCTTGCCCGCCGAGCCATCGCCTATCTCGAGGAAGAAGGTCTCATCAAACCTGTCGTCGTCCACCGAGCCCAGGTCGTGTACACCCGTGCTATCGTCAAGGATTAGATATGGGATGGCAATGTAGGATATGAATGAATTGCATCAACCTCAACATCATGATGTTATTTTGAAGATCATCCTCTAACTCCTGCGATAGATGATGTTCGACCGGCTACAAACTTCCACACTTGACTCGCCACTCCTTTCACCACAGCTCTAACCTCTTCGCCCTCGGGTGAACTCTGTACCATGATCGGACGTCCTAGATCTCCTCCGTCGCTCACTGACGATACTAATGGCAGCTTTCCTGGTCGTCAGCGAGACAATGTTAAAATCACTCACCCAATACAGGTAAATCCAGTTCTTTGGCCGTCTTGGAGAAACTTTCGGAACTGCCAAATAATTCATGCGGTGTCGAACAAGCCGCACAGGTATAGTGCGACATGTTGAGCAACAGTCCTATGATCTATGTCTATCAGGTAGAGAACGGATCGACGATGATCAACATACAGGTATAGAGACTTTGTTGAACATTGCTACCCCTTTTCGAGCGTCCACCAAAGCCACGTCTTGAGGTGTGGATACGATCACGGCTCCTACAGCTAAGCAACGCTGGATCATTGCAGCTATCGTGACTCACCATCCACATCAACAAGCTGTCCTAGACTGAGCTGCACGTCTCCCGTACCTGGTGGCATATCTACCACCAACACATCCAAGTCGTCTTTACCAGTCTGCGTGGAGTCCGTCCAGTCCACGTCGAACAGAAGTTGCTGAACGGCTTTCATAACCATCATACCTCTCCACACTACAGGCGTGTCATTTGCAGGATTCGGTGCTGTTCTCAGCTGTAGCTCGTGGAGGCGGCGATGTTCGTACGTAGTAGGTAGCCAATGGACATGGTCTTGATCCCATGATTACGCAGAGGGAGTAGCTTGTTCTCTATTCATCAGCATCAAAACCCCCTTCTTGCACTGTCTTTCAGAGACCGAATACGCGATGTGTCAGACGTACCTGTAGATAATTCTGGTTCGCCGGCATTCTCCAACCCCATAAGTTTTGGCACACTGGGACCGAAAATGTCCAGATCCAACAACCCCACCCTGGCCTGTCTACCCAGAGGTGAAGTGGACAACATTGAGACAGCGAGGTTGGCTGTATGTCAGGCATTACTTCTACATATAAGACACTCACCCGCTACCGTAGACTTGCCCACACCTCCTTTACCAGAAGCGACAACAATGACATGTTTGACCCCACTTATTCTGGACTTTTGAGGAGGACCCCCTTTCCGAGGTAACGTTGGTGGTGGGTTGACTTGTCTACGTGGGATGCCCTAATGTTAACACTGGGCGCTTAAGACGAAATGATACATACAAGGGGATTCTCATGAGAAGCATAAGTACGGCCGTGTGATAACGGCCGCGGAAGATGAACTCGGCCGGTGTTGAGAAGGCGAGAAGAGGTCGCGATAGCAGGCATGGTATAGCCTTTTTAGTGCAATGGAGTTGATGTTATCACTTGGTCTACACTACGCTTCTCACTCTAGAGCAAAAGAATGTGCATCGGGCATAGCCCGGAGTATGAGTGAAGGAGGAGGTAAGAAAGAAGGAATGTAAAAGATCATAAAAGATGATGACGTCGTGGTCACACTTTCACTTCATCTTTCTTTCACCCTCACTACTTATTTTGATCCTGTCTCTGTATTACATTCCACTTGCACCTGTCACCTTCTATTTGATCTTCCCGAACACTGGAGACGTCTATACGCTGTGCATCGGTACGATCAGAGCTACCCCATTCCTGATATCGAACGACCCATTGCGAGTGCGCCGCCACCGTCGTCATAGGTAAGCTACCCCTTCCAACAGTCGACCTTCCACGCCAATTGCCACCACTAAACCACGACTACAACACCTTTACGATAACATTACCTCCTACAGCATATCACAACTGTCCACAACGTTCCTCTACATTATCATCGCCACTGTCATTTCCACAAAAACCTGATAATGGGAACTCCGCCACCTGCACGAAAGCCAGGAGGGGCTCGACCTTTACCACCAGGTCACAAAGGCCCCCTTCCTCCCAAATTATCCATCCCAGAGGATAACGTCCGTGAGCCCCTTTACCCTTTACTTTCTCCATTCATCATGAGTTACAAACTGTGCTGATGTTACAGCTGGTATAAACGTTGATCAAGTCGGTGTACATGGTTGGCATACCCCTACTTCTCTCCCTTCCTTAGCTCTCAAACCTCGACGACCTTCACCCTCATTATCACCCAACCCGAATAGACCAAAATTAGTCATCTCTGCTCTTTCTTCGCCTACCGTTTCACCGCTACCACAAACAATGCCACTTCCCCGTCCACAGCTCCTGAATGCGTCCAGTTCACCGCTTCCCAATGGTCGGAATGGCGCTCAAACACCATCATTGAGACTCTGTATACCAGGAAGTAGCGGACTCTCTTCCGGGTTTTCATCAGGTCAAGAATATCCTTCGGCCGGTGCGGAAGGTTTAGATTCTCCTTCATTCACTTTGAAAACTCCTATGGCAGGAGCGGAAGATCCCAATCCGACCTTGAGACCAAGAGGGACGGATGAAGATGGTGTATCGTCTTACGGCTTTGGAAGGCCATCTGGGCTTGAAGTGGATCAGATGAGTGCAATGACCGAGGACATACGACAAGCACTTTCGAGATCAAGATTTGATGCTTCACCAAGTTTCGCCAATGGACAACTGAATCGGTCGAGAGCGAATTCGACTACTGATTCGAATGTCAGTCATGCCACATCGAGTAGGAGATCGAGCAATGATGGGGATGAAGTGACACTTAAGGCTTTGAGCATTTCGGGATATGATAGAAATTCTTCTAGGACCAGTCTGGATGAGATGACCAGAAGGGTGGACGACGAGGAGAAACATAGTCCTATTTTCGACCCTTCCCAGTTGATCTTCTTACGACGTCTAGGGGAGGGGACTGGTGGACAGGTGGATTTAGTCAAGGATAAACAGACTGGGAGACTCATGGCGAAGAAGGTGAGTTTGAAATGATCATGAGTTACACAAAGTCTTGAGTTAAGTGCGAGATTCATTGATGCGAGCTGATCCATAGGTCATTGCGCGTACTCCCAATCCTAAAATGCACAAACAGCTGTTATTGGAATTGGAAATCCTTAATGGTTGTCACTCTCCTCATATCGTGGAACACTACGGTTCTTTCCTTGCCGAACGAGATAGTCAAATTGGTATCCTCATGGAATATTGTGAAGCGGGTAGTCTGGATTCGTTGTTAGGAAAAATGAAGAAGACGGGTATGAGATGTTCTGAACATGTACTGGGGAGGATTGCTGCATCGGTAAGCGATCTTGCTCATGGTCAAAACCAACGAAACTGATTGTAGGTTCTCAAAGGGCTTGATTATTTACACCAACGTCGTATCATTCACAGAGATATAAAGCCTTCCAACATTCTTCTCACTCGGGAAGGCGTAGTTAAGCTATGCGATTTTGGCGTGTCTGGGGAACTGATAGACTCTGTCGCTGGGACCTTTACAGGAACGAGTTATTATATGGCTGTAAGTCAGCCCCCCTCTGTTCTCCCATCTTTGCCATACATGTAGCTCACAAGTGGAAGGATACAGCTGATATATAGCCCGAACGTATCCAAGGAAAACCCTATTCAATCAAAGCAGATGTTTGGTCCCTCGGTGTATCATTACACGAGGTAGCTCATCTTCGTTTTCCGTTTCCTCCAGAAGGGGAAAACCAGTCAGTGGCGCCTATCGAGCTCCTCAGCTATATCGTCACGGCGCCAGTACCGGTCATGATTGATGACCCGTCAGTGGGGAGGATCTGGAGCGAGCCGATCAAAGATTTCATGGCTGCTTGGTGAGTTTTTACATCATCACTATAGAGTACTCTTATTTGAATATCTTGTACGAGCTAAGAGTGAACTTCAGTAAATGAAGATAGTTCAGTAGCTGACATTTAGTCTCATACGATCTGGAACTGACCGTCCTTACCCTTGGCAACTACTTCAACATCCCTTCATCCTTACAAGCGAGGCGAAAAAGGTCAACATGGCCAAATGGGTTGCAGCTTTATGTGATTGGTCAGAGGAATGATCTTTCCTATAATCCTTTTCAATCCCACAATCCCCTTTTCCAGCACCCATCAACGATACAACTTTCCCACATCCTCTGCATGTCAACGCGCAGTGTTCACAATAATGTTAGTCACGGACAATAAATGATAAATCTTACGAATGATGAATTGCATCGAATGAAGAAATGGGGTACATACTTGATAAAGTCTGTACCAACAGTATTGTGCATATGCATATCATGTAGATTCCTTACTGTGAACTGCATGGTGCATACTCTAACGTTATGTCATTTGCTATTATCCCTAATTTCTCTCTTGTCTTTTAGGTATGGTTAGTGATAAGTCTGAGATTGGGAAATGCCACGTGCAAAGAGAATATCGAAAAGTTGGCATACGACCTCAAACTCTGCTTTCTTGACATTTGCTCAAAATTACCTCAACCTTGGACCAGCTCTTCAACAGGTAAACTTTGTTCTGGTTGGGACAGGAGTCTATAAGAGGTAAGAGGAGAATAGATAAGAAGTGAAAGAGAGAGAATCATGTCGCTCGCTTCTACCTCTTCAACATCATCCGTCCGATGTCTTCTCAACAGTTCACGGTTATTACCTACTTCATCTCATGAATCTTCTCGTGAGTTTCTACCATTTCTTCATGTTCCCTAGTCCTCTATCTCCTTCATTATCATCCTATGAGCTGTGTATCCTATGATCACCCTTATTTACTCCTCGCGATGTCATAAAGTTCTTAACCTAACACCCCCCACACAGGTCAAGTTGACTTTCTCCTCATCTCTTGTACTCTACAACATTATCATCACCCCTTCTCTCCAACCCGATGAATTCACATCTTTTGCTTCCATGACTTAACGTCATTTGGTAGCTCATTTATACATACTAACCCCCAGGTCGTCATCTCGCCGCTGCAGCAAGAGCATACATCGATCCTGAAACTGATACCCCTCTGCATCAACCATCTTCCCCTCGTCGGCCTATCCGATCACCGCAAGAACCTCTTTTAACCCCTCTTCAAGCCCAAGCATTTCTCTCCAACATATTATCTCTCCCTCTTTCACATCAATTATCACCCGAGCTTTCTCTACAAATATTAACACATAAATCATTCCGATACGCACATTTCATTCGTCCTCACGGTCCGAACTCTTTCGTCTCACGATCTCACACACGTCAAAATATACGAGCACGTGGAGATATAGAATTCCAAAGAGATTTCGTAGATGAAAGTGATCCGACCAGATCAAATGTCGTACTTGGTGAACAAGGGGAAGATCACGATTCGAACTTGGGCCCTACTCTTGTTTCACATAATGCTAGATTATCTTTCTTAGGAAGAAGAGCTATATCTTCTTATTTAACTTTATTCGTTCATTCTGCTTTACCTACCAGTGGTTCATTGAGAAATGTTGATTTTCTCAGAGGAGAAACTTTAGATAAAAAATTGGATAATATGAGACATGTTAATAATCTCGGTAGGACAGTTGGTGATCATTGGCATGTTGGGGAAGTTATGAGATGGGATAAGAATCCTGTGAGCTATCCTTCTCACTTTTTTCCTATCAATTCTCTATATCATCTGTTCATCTATTTCACTTTATTATACAATCTCATCATACCATCAAATATAACCCCACATTTGTCATCCAACGTCAAGTGTGTACCAACAAATCTTAAACATACACCCCGCGTGTACCAACAAATCTTAAACATACATCTAGCGTGTACCAACAAGTATCTCAAAAAGACATTCATGAGATGGTTGGGACTTGAAATGGGGAAGCAAAAGATCTGACAATAGACATCACTCGAATCGGATCACGCAAAAATAAAAGGTATGGTAGTAGAAGCTACTCTAGGAGGAGTGTACACCACGTTCGGTTCACCAGCGGCACATCGAGCATTTCATCTTCTCGTCTTACCTCGTTTAGCTCATCAACTGCGAGATCCTGGATTGATAGAACTCGCTAATAAAATGGCTGAAGGTGTGAGGAGGGATTTTGGAGGGGTTTTGAGGGTATAATGTGGTGATGAAGAAGTGACAAGGAGGGGGAGGAATCATAACAACTCGCATGACGCATGAAAAACTTGCACTAGTCTCTTGACTGTCGTACTCTCTCACGCTGTGTTGTTCAATCACGTACGGGCATTACTGGGAGAGGTTTCTGAGTGAGATTCTTGCCTTGTCTCTCAAAAGAGAAGGGGAAGGGGGTGAATTCCGTGTCTGGAAATATGAACCAAACGGACTATAATTCTGTTGATTCCCGATTTACAGAGCGAGAGTTGTGAACGACCCCGCCTCACTTCAGTCGACTCGCTTTGACCATCACATGCATCTCTATAAACCACTATCCAACAATAATCTTCTCCTCGTCATCGTTGAACGCGTACTGGGGGATCTCCAAATTGAGAGGAGCAGGACCTCTCCTGATTCGTCCGGAAATATCATAATGCGAACCGTGGCAGGGACAGAACCAACCACCATAATCACCCGCTTCTCCGATAGGCACACAACCGAGATGGGTACAAACGCCGAGCATGACGAGCCTGTGATGTAAGTGTGATTCGTCACTTGGTGATGCCCACAAGGAGAGAAAAAGTAAGATTTGTTGATTCATAATTGATATAGACATCATGTCGTGGGCAAAAGGAAAGGTGTGAAAGAAAAGACTTGACAACATACCATTCTGGACGTTGAGTCCTATCTTCATCTTTTTGAGGATCACGCAACGTTTTAATATCAACCGCACGGGCTTCCTCAACTTCATCATCGGTGCGGTGTCTGATGAACACGGGTTTCCCACGCCATTTGACGATGAGGTTTTTGCCTGAGGGTCAGTCGAGTTTTCTTCGATCATCCCCTGGGAGCGGGCGAGTAAACCCATAAAAGATCCAGTGAAGGGTAAGAATGAAGCAGTAGATCAGGCACAGGTTTTGGGGTAGAAAGAGGTGAAACAGCAAGAGCGAAAATCAGGCTCACCCTCTGGAATAGCTCCCATCTCAACTTCAATCTTGGCCAAAGCCAAAACATCTGCACTTGCCGACAAGTTACTCAACAAATCCGTGACGGTACTCTTTGCTCCACTAGCAGCCAACACACCCAAAGATCCCACCATGAAGTACGACAAAGTCTTGTTGGACTCGGGGGATGAAGCTCTGTAAGGTGAAAAATCTGGGATGGAAGTTGTATCTGGATGTTCTGCTAGTGATTTGGAAGAAGTGGAGAGGAACCGTTTTATGAATATTCCATTTGGGAGGGCTGAGAGTGAGCTCAAACTACCCTTGTCTCTATCTTTCCGTCTACTGTAGTAAACTATGGGATATTCCACATGAAGTCAGTTGACACGTTGATATTCTGCAATGCAAGGGAGGGTCATGAGGGGATGTAATAAGAGAGGAGATAATGTAGTGGGCTGCAAAAAGAGTAACTGCCTAGGAGACGTGAAAAGAGTCTGATGAGATATGATAGAGATGGAAAGATAACTCACCATTGACCCGAGTAACATTCGAAACCCCACTTGACCTTCCAGCCCACAGGGCAGGTTGGTCGCTCCTCGGTCCAGGACCATGATCGTGTCCATGGTTCTGAGGAGGCATCCTGAGTAATAATTTGGGAGCATGAGGTACCCCACTTGCTAATGTACGGGAGGTGGGGAGAAGGTTGATACGTGTGGATAAGAGTGCCATGGTTGTTGAACCTGTTTTGGGGGGTGGTGTGGGATGGTGAGAGGGATCCAAACTGGAGAAAGCCGATTGGCAGATGTCTCTAGTTCCTGCTGCCTCCGATGGTGCGGGTTTTGGAAAACGCCGTGACTGTAGTTAACACCAGTTGAAAGTGGCACTTTTGGGCGTGGCAGCTATGCTAACTTGTCTTGTACTTTGCGCAAAGCCAGCAAGGTATACCGGGACGAAGAGACAAGGAGGGAGTATCAGTAGGAAGTGTCCAAACGACAAATACTATATGCATATGCAAAGATGATTAATGATGTCTACAATATCTACAAATCTAATGCATCCATTTTCCCCACACTAAACCACCCACCAAACTAGGTCGTTCTACTCTCCCATCCCCTCTTCTCCACATACCAGCCTTTGTCAATCCATCGACAAACCATCCCGCAGTCCAACCTATCCATACCCAAGTCCACACAAATCCAACGAGTCTTTCCAAGAATGTCAGCCATTGCGGACTTTCCATACCAATATTTGATTTCAAAAACCATCTTCGTTTCACTCCTCTATATAACGTCTTGATCACCGCTTCCACCACCAAACCTAAAGGTTGAATAGCGAAGAACGGAGTGAGAACAAGTACTTCTCTCCAATGAGGATTACTGTTTCTTTCTGTGAAAAGTAAAATGTACGTTCCGACATCATGTATCAATCCTGAGAGGGAAAACACGATGATTGATTTTAACAGATTGGCTAGGACCATCTTGGTTGATAGTCGACGAGGAGCGAGGGGTTTAGCAGTTGGGAGTGGGTGATAAGGTGTCGATCGACCTGATGATTGTGCCGGACTGGATGTCTCAGAAGTTGTAGGAGGGATAGAAGATTGAGACATGAAATGAGAATGGGGAGATGGACCAGAATGAGGAAGATGTAGGATATCTTCACTAATGAGTTTCACACCGAAGATCCATAACCAACGTCGGAAATATCCTTGCCATGTCTGTATATTAGCACCGACGTACGAGAGGTTTTTCCTTGAATGTGGGTTGGGTGATACTAAGCGGCGGGGATATGAACCAAAGATTACATGTGAGAAATAGGCAGAGACGGATCGGATGAGCTCACCCTCGACCAAGTGTTTGATAGTCCCGAACTCCTCCACACTTCTCCTAATGTCCCAAATAAAGGCGGCCAACCCCAAGGACTCCAGATTTCACCTTCCCATCCCATCATCCCTCCTATCAACACGAAAACCGAACTGACTAGACAGTGCGACTTTTCGCACCCAAAGATAATACGTAAAGCTACACATGCACTGTACACTCCTCTTTCCCATTGACTGAGATCGCTGTACAAGGGAGCTACACCTGGTCGACCTGAAAAGTACGCAGAGGCGGAGGAAAGGTTCATAAAACTTCGTAAGACATCGAAGAGTAGCCACCAAATGAGATAAAATTGTAGTCGGGCCAACAGGTATGAACGTCTGGATGAGGATCGGGTGTAAGGATGAATTCGAGAGGAATGAGGAAGAGGACAGCAATAATTCCATCCTACACCACGAAGTGACCACCAGAGGGAGCTTGCCCAATAAAATTTGGCCAAGGTGAAAGGTGCAGGTATAGGTTCAGGTAGAACTTCGTCTTCATGTCCCTTAACTTTCTCGGACTCTTTCCCCTCTCCGAGATCGTGATGTTCGATCCCGTTGTGCCCCTTACCATTCATAGATTTGATGGTGGGCTTCGAAGTTCGAAGACGAAAAACATTTTCCTCCGGAGGGAAAAAGACTAATAATTCGAGTGTTCTAGGCAAAGCGAAGTATGCTTGTGTGTCAGTCATTCCAGCTTGTTTTGAGGGACGGACGTTTTTTTAGTGAGGATTTGAAGTAGGTTCAAGACTCACTCATGAGTATAGCAGTACCCCATAGATCATCATCGTTGATTTGATGGACACCAAATGCACACCACAACCATCCGATAGAGATGAACGGAGTGATTGTTATTCTGAACATCTTCCATCCCGCCGTATGAGGTGTGACAAGGGCTAGGCATGTGGAGTAGATCAGACCAAAGCCGAAAACCCAATGAAGAACGTTCATCTCCGGTTTATAGGGCGGGAAGGGTGGAGGAAGGGGGGAAGGAAACCGGGTGTCGGTGGCGAAGAATGACATGCTCATCTTGCTGCGGCCTGTGGGAACGTTCAAGTGAGTTTTGTTAGGATTGAGAGGGGTGTGGAAGGAAAAGAAGGATCATGGTGAGATAGGTTGAAATGTCCACCATCATTTCGACTTCGGTTTGTCGGCCTCTGCCCGCACAGGAAGCATTTTGGCCGAGGCCGAAGAGCCGAAGGAAGGACCATCTTGACGTCAGAGTCGGGTGAGAGAGAATGTGTGGTTGATACGAAGTACCTGCTACCAAGGGATCATCCCAATAGTGACGGGAAGATCAATGTCAGGCAACAAGTATATGCAAGATGGTGTCAAGTATGGAAGCACAAGTGCAACAATCATCTAGGGATAACGGCAAGAGGAATTGAAAACCGAAATTGTTCAACCAGTCCTCCTCTATCGTCACAGGACCTAACCCCGACTCAATCATCTCTCCACGCAACCTCACCCCTGGACCACCTCTCCGTCCACATAGCACGCTTGTGATACGTCTTCCTAGCCGCTTTGAAATCGTTGATAAAGTCATCTATGGCCTTGTTCTGACTCTGTTATTGTCAGCGGAGTCCACACCACGAAACAAGACTCACTCTATCATTCCCAATAGCCATGGCAGAAGTAGTAGGAGTCGTTTCCGCAGTGGAGCCTGGTATTGGTGATTCCCCTCTAGAGCCCGGAACACTCATTTGAGTCTGACCATTAAGATAACCGTTCTTCCCTTCGATAAACGCATTGGCCATCTTCTCGCTTAGATCATCTTGGGCCGTCAAAGAGTGCCGAAGTCTTAAATGTAAGAACGAAGGGCGATGTTTCTGTCTATGTCAACTATCACCAATGAACGAAGATGAGTTGAAGAAAACATACTTGATACAACTGATTTTGGATCTTTTCCAACTCGACCCAGCGACGTTTGAGATGTTCGGCATGAGCGTAAGATTGAGCGGTAGCATCTCGCAGCGCTAACAATTCATCGCGTAGAGTCAGATTCTTATCTGTCCATGTCAATAGAGGTAAAAGAGAAGAGATATGGAAGAAACAAACTTGCAAGATCGTGATTCTCCCTTCCGAGCCTCTCCACTTCCCCCGCAAGTTCTTGTACTTCTGGAAGGGTGAAGAGAAAAGCCTCTGTGAGCTGAGGAGAAGAGAGAAGATCTTTGAGGAATGCTGGTGGGTACACAGCGAGTGAGGGGAATTGCTGTAAGAGAGGAGTGGACATTTGCCCCCAGGCCAGAAGAAAGGTAACGTCAATAGAGAGAGATAGAGAGAGAGAGAGAGACCGCCGGAACGAGCCGAGTTTAAGCGATCAAAATCCCATTTCGATCACTTTAAATCCCAACATCTGTCTACTTCTCCCCAAAACAATCAACTTACTCCTTTCACTTCTTGCCATCTTACTGATCATCGTGCACAGTAATAGGCAACAAAAGCCCGTCACCAGAAGTCATCTTCCGTGCTCTCGGACATGCGAGCCATCAACCCATAATCCAGCATCAGCGCCCTCGGCATCACCTCAACTCCGCAATTTATTTGATACAGCCATCGTCATAAAAGTTGCCACCCCTCAAAATCATCAACATGTCTTCAGCACAACGTGATCCATGGAACATTGACTATGTCAACCAGAGGTATGTATCTTATAGTCTATGCTCTCTCTCTCGCTCTCCCCTCCCCCCACGCTCAGACAGATGTCTCGCTTACCACCAGTCACTTGGAGGCTTTCGCACAGGCCCTCAACCTTCCCGATAATCCCGTCGACGGCACAGAATCACCTTTCAGTCCCAAAAGTCCCAGATCACCAACTCTGACAGATCCTTTCGACAAAACTCAAACGTGGAATTTCGGTCCAGCAGGAGACGATGCAAATGGAGGTGGGGAAGTACCCATCGTCGAATCGGGTGATACTAGCGGGAGGGTGGAAAAGCTCACTGCTACATCTGATTTTGCGGTGAGTCTACTTCTCACCACTTCGGATCTGGCTGACTTGCGTAGCCTGTTCATCACGAGATCCTAAGGTATGTGAATAGCCGATTGTGCCGGGGAGTATTCGCTGATCGCGATCAGTCCCGTCAGACATGCCGAGGGTTTATCCTACCAACTCTTCCGCTGGCCTCTCCTCGTGAGTCCTCGTCTTTTTTTTTTAATGGATCGGGCTGATATGGAAGAGCGTCTTCCTTTTCTTCATCGCTGTGGAATTCTACTTCTATGTCTTTGTACGCCAGCTCGTCAATGTTTGGGAATACCTCGCCACGTGGCGGGGTAAGAGAGGAAAGCTACGTGCGAAAATGCGCAAATCTCAGACGTACGAAGAATGGGTGACCATCGCCAAAGAACTGGACGCACTACTTGGTTTTGATAAGTGGAAGGAGCAAGAAGAAGACGTTTATTTCGATTGGTCTTTGGTAAGGCATATATTTCGAGTACGATTTCAAGTGCTCACTTACAGGTGAAAAGAGTAAGGAGACGATTGTACAAGGAGAGGACTGGAGGAGATGTCAAGGCGCTCATGGGAGACCTGCAGACTATAGTCAGACCCAACTATGCCGCCACTCAGGATCCCAAGATGTACAGCGAGGTAAGCTTTTTGATTTCCACATATTCGAGCTGACTTAAAGACATTCTACGGCACCAAGACACTGGTAGAGAGCCATGTAAGGGAGGTAGTCGCCGACTTGGAGTCTGTTCGACTTTCCAATGAAGTACCCTTGGATCAGAAGAGAAAGTTTTTCAGACAGCTCAATCGTAATTATGGAGCCAGTGCACTTTGTCTCTCCGGAGGGGCTTATTTTGGGTATTATCAGTGCGTCAACCTAACATATATTGAGCTTACTGACGTGATAGCTTTGGCGTCGTGAGGGCATTGCTGGATGCCGATCTGCTTCCTAGAGTTATCACAGGTACTTCAGCTGGAGGCATCGTTGCTGCTTTGGTCTGCACTCGCACCGATGCCGAGCTCAAAGAACTTCTGATTCCCAAACTTGCGGATAAAATCACAGCTTGCGAGGATCCTTTCCGAGTATGGATCAAGCGGTGGTGGCAGACGGGTGCACGGTTCTCAGCTGTAGATTGGGCAAGAAAGGTAAGATTAAGCGTCTTAGTCGGAGCTGATGTATAGTCCATGTGGTTCACTCGCGGTTCTCTCACTTTCCGTGAAGCTTATGAACGGACGGGTCGGATCATGAATGTGTCAGTCGTGCCTCATGACAGACATTCGTAAGTCAATCCCTTCCAAATTGGCATGGCTAAGTATGTAGCCCTACTATTCTACTCAATTACATTACCGCCCCCAACTGTGTCATCTGGTCAGCCATTTTGGCTTCTGCCGCTGTGCCCGGAATCCTCAATCCAGTCGTACTCATGTCCAAGGCTGCCGACGGACGAATACATCCTCACAACATCGGCGGATCTCGTTTCAAGGACGGCAGTCTACGAGAAGATATTCCCCTAGCAGGTCTACATACACATTTCAACAGCAACTTCTCCATTGTTAGCCAAGTCAATCCTCATGTCCATCTTTTCTTCTTCTCTCCCAGGGGCAATGTGGGTCGGCCAGTCTCACATCGACGTGGCAAGGGCTGGAGAGGAGGATTCGTACTGTCAGCTCTGGAATCGTACATCAAGCTGGATATGAACAAGCATTTCAAAGTGAGCTCAGATGTCTTACCCTTCAGTATAGAGCAGCTGACGTTATAGGTAATCAGGGACTTGGATCTGATGCCACAACTTTTGCAGAGTGATTGGAGTGGCGTTTTCACCCAACGTTTCTCTGGCACATTGACCCTCACCCCTCGAAGTACCATAGGCGTAAGCTTGTTGCCACTGGATGGTATCTCAAGCTGACGAGAAAGGACTGGTTCCGGATTCTATCTGACCCCTCTCAGGTCCAGTTGGCACGGATGATGCAAGTCGGTCAACGAGTTACCTGGCCTGCTTTACGTATGGTCCGTAATCGTATACTTATCGAAGTGAGTCTTTAATCTGTCAGGTATCTTTTGACTGATGGGTTAGCGTGCCATCGCCAGAGGTCGTGCTGAGGTCCGAACCAACATGGCGAGAGAAAAGACAACCAATGATCGATCGCCTCCAAAAGGAGTGGACACTGTGGTACCTTCTTTACAACTCCCCTTGGAGTCGGACAACGAGACAGACGTCGCTCTACGTGCCAAAAGGGCAAAGTCGACACCTGTATCATTGTTACAAGATGGAAGTGCTAGAAGACGAAGATTATCTTCTCGTCAATTCCGTCGATCTGGATCCGATAATCAAGGTTCTACTTCTCAATTTGCTTCCTACGTACCTAGCGGTCTGAGCGGCTTGGCTTCCAGGCGGTATATAGGACAAACACTTCGTACACTCCCCACAATCCCTTCGCCTTTCCGCACTCGTCCTTTTTCTCAGCCAGTATCACAATCACCGTCTCAATCAGAATTTCCGGCTCCACCTGCATATTCAGACTCTCAGGATAGACGTCAAAACTCATTTTCGAGATGGTGGAATAACGCCTCTGACTCTAGTTCATCTGGGGACGAATTCGCAGTCGGGGTTGCAAATGTGGATTCTGGGTCAGAGGATGAAGAGGAGGAATTGAGACGAAGATTTGGAGAAGCCGTTGAGTTGGAAGATGCGGATTCGGTGCAAGGTGAAGAAGAGAGATATAAGTCGGACGGGCAGGAGGAAGTTGGGTTAGGTTTGAACATGGGTGAAGGAGTTGCTGGAAAGGGTAAAGAGAGGGAAGAAGTGTCGACTCCGCAAGGGGAGGGTGTGGTGGATGGACCATAGGTGAAGATCATTTGCATGGCCTGCGAGGTGAATCAAGTTATAGTAGTTAGTGGAATATTTTCATGTTGTACAGATGCAAGTCCTGTCGTCTTCCTGTCGGTTGTGGATGTTCTCAAAGTAGTCTTCAGTATGGGGCCCCGCTTGGTGCAAACTCAATCGTTGGACACGGACCTCTTTGTCAACCCTCGTCTGTCTGTCTTCACTATCACTCAGGCGGAGGCCAATTGGGCCAATAGAGGTCAAATATGGTCCCCTCTACTCCCTCAACGGCACTATACGAACATCTCTTTCATACGGCGTCGGCGGAACTTGTTGTTCCTGATGTCTCGAAGCTTAGCGAAATACCTTCAGATGGGGTTGATAGAGCTGAGTGGTGGGCTGGGGTACGTGAGGTAGAGACGAGACAAGTTGCTTTTCTGGGTGAGTCAAGAGTCAGGCGTGAAAGATGCCTTACTCCTCAATTCGAAATCTTCCCATGTGAAGGTGGAGATACGGTCAAGCATGGTCACATGGTGATTCACGGCTTTACCTAGATCTCCCCCTTCCATTGACATCCCTCGCTAGGGTTGCTTCCAGGATAGAGGTTATGTATACATTATGACAACGTGAGACTGAAAAGACGTGACTGTATAGTGTCCAATGGTAGGTAGCCACCATGCTGACTGGTAGATGAAAAGGTTACATATCTCTTCGCTGTGACTATACCCAACCATGCAATCTCCGATTCATCTCTCACACCTGGTGTTCACACCCCTGGGGAAGTACAGCGTTTCGTTTCTCGCCTTCAAGTAGGTCGTTTTTCTTTCTTTGAGTCCCCTCCCTCCCTGTCCGTTCTTTCTTCCCATCTTTCGATGCAGCAGTCGCTCCTGTGCGTTGCAATGACGACATCAGGAGGTGAATACAACATGGGTGCGTGGTGAAGCAGGTTGATGAGAGAAAGAATCCGGATCTGATGTGATAGGCCACTATGACAGCCTCTTTCATCCCACCCCTTCCATCTTCTTCTCCTCGCCATGATCTTCCTCCCCCTAGCACAGCAACCCTCGCTCCTCCATCCGCTCATACTCCCCGTTTCCCAACTTCAAGCGCTGAATCAAGTACACAAGATTCACAACCACCCATCACCCCAAACCCTTTCCCCATCACCACAGCAGCCGAGTCACAGTATGCCGATGTAGAAGGAGTAGTGATATGGGAAGGTCCTATCGAACTTCAACTTCCTCAATCATCATCCCCACAGACTGTTCTTTCTCTGACGGAAGGGAAGAAACAACCGATCGTGTTTGAAAACGAATCCGGTTGGGTGATAGTTTGGGAAGGTGAAGTTCCCATAGGTAAATTTAGCATTCCATGATTGTATTAGAAAAAAAGTTGACAGGTTTTAGCATATGTACGAACTCAAATACCGAACCCATTATTATCCCTTACTGCCAGTATCACCCTTCGAGAAAATCCTCAAATGAAGAATCGTAAACGAGCATTCAGCATCTCTACCTCTTCGATTCGTTCTGGATTCTCCGACGGTTTTCCAGAGCCTGAAATTGAAGATGAAGATGAAGATTTAGCTGGAATGGAAGAAATTGACCTTCTTGGTGGTTTAGTCCCAGGAGAAATTATGCCCATAACTCGATTAGCTCCTTCACTTCAACAAGATCTTTCAATCTCAATACCTCCTTTCTCTTCACCTTTACCAGAATCAGCTTTCACACCAGCTACAACATCATCTTCAGAAATTCCTTCATCCACACCCTCTTCTACTTTATCAAGAGAGAAAGGTCACTTACCTTCGAATTTGAACATGCCTCAACAGACAGGGACGACACTCAGAAAAGCTTATCGTAGAATATTAGATCTCAGTCCTGGATTAAGAGTGAGAATGAGAACTTTGTTCTTACCTCAATTATTGGAACTTGGTTCAGAGAAGAATGAAGAGATAGGAGGTCAAAAGAAAATTGTGTTATGTGTCGAAGTGGAAAATCCACCAGATGCAGGTTCACATGGGTTTGAAGTTTTAGGTGTTATGGTTGAGGTTGGTGGGAAAGGTGGGAAAGCAACTACAGAATTATGTTGTGTTCCTTCTTCTACAACCTCCGAACAGAAAGATTATCAAAAGGCGAAAGTGGAAGTTTTTCCTCTACGTTTAAGACCAATGGAACAATACAATTTGTTATACACTATAACTTTACCATTTATGGAAACTTCTCCTACTCCCGATCAACCACAAAGACCAGTATCGATAATCGTAACTTCTCAACCATATTCCATTCCCGACCAATCCAAATCATCCATTCCTTCCATCTCTTCTCCACTTTCTGACGAATCTCATCTTATTGAACAGGTCGAATTTGGAATATCAAAAAGTTCTACTCGAGCATTTCAAAGTAGATGGAATTGTACACTCGACTTGAGTTCATATAAACCTTCTCCATCTCCTTCCCCTTCTTTTCCATCTAATCGGACGGAGATAAACAAACAGCCTTCAAATGCAATAACAGGTGATAAACGATATTCCTTAGCTAGTATGTTATCTGATAAAGAACGTGATCCAAATCTCACACATCATCGTAATTCCACTATACAAGGTGGGAAACCTATGATGCCAAGTCAAATACAAAAACAAACCATATTGAATCGACGTGTGACGCAAACGCCTCTAGTGGAGAAGAAAGATAGAGGGTTGTTGTTATCTGCGAAGATCCTGACTTCGAGTAATAATGAAGGAGGGGAAGATAGAATTAGACGGTTGGAAATGTTCACAATGGAAGTTTTTGTACATAATCGTTCGGAGGAAATTAGAAGGTTCAGGTTGTCGATACCTGGTAGAAATGGTTTGGTTAAAGGAGAAAAAGTAATGCAGGATGGGTTGTGGGGTATTTCGGAGAGAGGTGAGTTTCACACGTTTCTTTTACACCTCACATAGTAGTATTACATCAACAACACAAAATACACAAACTCAAAGTGATGGACGGAAAAAACCCAAAGTCGAATGATGCAGATAAAACATCACTGAGTAGTGTGTATGTTATAATGTGACTGATGTCAGATCTCAAACAAGCTTTACAGACTCATTTAGCAACATCACCAGCTTTGTTACCTTTAGAGAACGACATCAGATGTGGACCTCTTTTACCAGGCGCAAGTTTATCCGCACGGATAAGATTTCTCGCCCTTCGAGATGGAGTGCATAGGATCGACCGGCTCAAAGTGATAGGGGTAGGGGAAGAATGGGAATGGACCGTGGAACCGGTATTAGATGTTGTGGTGGGATGAATTATCTTTTGGTCTTTCTTGATATCAGCTTTTCCATCAAACTTGTGTGAAGATCTCAGCTAAGATATCCCGCATTAGGACACATTACATGAATATACTGTAGTCACATAACAGGTGACTCGATGGATCACATGAAATGCATAATCATTTCTATCTACACAATGAATTCCACAAACATATCTTTGTCGAAATTTATTTTAAGGAGTGGCACGACCCATCCAACGAGGATAAAGAGAACATTCCCTAACTGTATATCTTTTCAATAACCAAGCTAAGAATCTCTGTTCCTTCGTCAGTAGAGTCCTGATACCATTCCCATTACCCGATCAAAAAAGGAAAGAAGAAAAAAAAACTCAAACTCACCTCAACTCCTAATCCATATCCACCATGTTCGGTAGTACCATACTTTCTCTGATCAGTAAACCAATAATAAGGTTCCATAGGTATACCTTCCCTTTTATACCCAGCGATTAATTCTTCTAAATCGCTGATCCTCATACTACCACCCACTACTTCCCCAACACCAGGAACCAGAACATCCACACTTTCCGTGAATTCCGGTGCGTCGGAAAGAGCTTTCATATAGAAACTCTTCAAGATTTTCGGGAAATGAATGAGCATGATAGGTCTACCTATTTGATCCGTCATTTTACGTTCTGCGGCCTCTGCGATATCGTCACCGATCACATGAGGAGTACCATCTTCTTTTGTGATATCATGTTCGTTAAGATAAGTGATAGCGTCACGATAATCTAATCGCATGAATGGACGTTGAGGAGGTTTGAATTCTGGGTGAAGAGTGTGAATGATTTCGGCTGTTGAAGGGTCGGCTAAAAGGACGTCTACGACTTCGCATATCTAATATTTAGTGTTTGGCAATGAACACTATTGAGAATGAATCCATAGTTTGTGCTCCAAATATTGAACATGGGTTTGTAACATTGGTTCAAGATGGATGATGAGAAAAAGCAGAGAGTACGAAATGGTGGAAGTTTAGGTGAGAAGATATAAGGAGATAAAAAAGACAACTCACCATTCCTTCAATATGATCAAGCAAATCTTTGAATTTGATAAAAACCAATTCAGCTTCCAAATGCGTATACTCTGATAAATGTCTTCTGGTCAAACTCTTCTCAGCTCGGAAAGATTCTTGAATACAATACACATCACCCAAACTCGGTAATACAGTCTCGAGGTACAATTGAGAACTTTGAGTAAGGTACGCTTTTGCACCGTAATAGTCAAATTCGAATAAAGTCGATCCGCCTTCCACGGAAGTTTGGACCATACAAGGTGGAGTGACTTCTATCACTCGACGAGCGTGGAAACGATCTCGGAAAGCACGGAGAAGAGCAGCACGAACACGCATGACCGAGGTGGCTGTTTCTCCACGGAGTTCGAGATGACGGAGGTCGGCTCGGATAGAGGGGTCGGTGTCCTGTTTGTCAATGTAGAGCTCTAGCCAAAAAGCTCCCCCCTCATGCTTCTCGTTGACGGTACATCACAGTTGAAGAGACATTTGCAGCGAGAAGAGGAAGTTGTATACGTAGCATGGTATCCGATGAGCTTGTCAGAGGTGAAGAAACAAAATCTCACAATCCTCAACCTTCCCTCAAAAGCATCATCTCCACCAGGAGCCAAACCGATGATTTTCCAATAATCAACAACCACTTCAATTCCACCTGGGGCCGATTGACCCTCTTTGACCTTTTCCACTTTCCCCGAAATTTCCACTGTGCTCTCTACTGTTAAATCCAATGCGTCGGTAGTTCGAATACAATCTCCAGTCAAGATACATTGAACGAATCCTGTACCATCACGGATTACGAGAAAGTAGTTGGTTTTCTGAGGTCTGTAACGATGTACCCAACCTTGGAATCGAACTCGTTTACCGATGAGATCTGGAAGAGCGAAGATTTTACTCTGTCCGTTAGCCGTTAGGTCACTACCAGAGATATACCCCTGAGGACCGATATGGTCCGGATTCCTCGTCTACTTTGCGAGGCCAAACATGCGAATGTGGGTAGCAGGATTGTGAGGGAATATAAGCGATCAAAAAGATTTGAGAGAGAGATAGGAGAAGTAAGGGGCCTACAGGGTGATAGGAGGGGGGTAGAAGAATGAGGATGGTATAAGACTAAAAGGAAAGACTACACACCTTGGTAGCATCCCCACTATCAACTAAAACCACTCCTTTTGCCTCTTCCCTCCTCTTCTTCTCTCTCTCCGCAGCTTCCGCTTTCTCCCTCTCAGCCTTCTCTCCCTCTTGAGCCCTCTTAGCTTCTTTGGCTCTTACACCCTGAACACCCTTGACCAACTTTTTCTTCGCACTAGCACTCAATTCAACCCATTCGTTGTGTACCGCAGAGTCAACTTTCCTCACTAGAAGAATGACGGCTGACGTGGGGTCTGCGTCCGTGCTTGGAGCTGGAGAGATGGACAAGTAGGCATGAAGAGGTGTTGCGAAAGGAGACAGCTCTGTACCGTTTCCAGTTGTGTCTGAACCGGTCTTTTCGTCTATGTAGAGTACTGGCAGGTCTGTGCGTTAGTCATCCGATATCTCATTTTCACATTTGTGTTCCAGATGAGCAGAATGAGGTTGGAGTACGAGAGGGTCGAAATTAGGGTGGCTAGATATCTGTAGAAAAAGACCGAAGGCAGAGACACATACCTGGGCGTGCAGGGGAAGGCTTATCATCCAGTTTGAGAGTTTCGGTGACGGCTGTGGCAAGTTTCGTCGCCGTTTCTTGAGCTTTGTCCACGATGGATTGCGTTGGGAGTGACATGTTATTGTGAGACTGGATGGCAAGTTGGCACAAATTGCGTAAAATGTAATGTAGAAAGGGTATCGTCTCCTTAGCCAGGCAGTCTCGTCAATGTTATATGGTGGTCGCTGTCTACTACCCTCTGGTCACAATGTCAAAGGGAGGAATGAATTTCGACTCGTCCTCGTATCGTAGCGTTTCAGGTTGCAGCCGATGATAGTGCATATTACGTAATATATGTGATCATCCGCTCGTCGGAAGTCGTCCCTCTGCTAAACACTGCACAGACTGTACATACCTCCTCGACTATACTTTCTTCTCTTTCCTATCTCTTCTCGCTGGGGCTCCAGAGTTCCTCTTTGCCCATCTCAAACCGCAAGCCTAGCCAAGTCAGCTTGTCTCATTACGGTCTTGGAGAAGTTTACATTGCACAACGTCTTTGGCCCTAGAGGACCTTTCCTCCACTCTGGACTGTCCGTCCTTCCGCACGTCACACACACATGCAAACCTTCCCCGGCGGTGTCACCCAGTCTCGCTGGGGCAGTCACAATGCTAGCCCTCTTCAACTTTTTCTCCCTCTTCATCCGCTTCATCTCTGGAGAACTGTCATCGTGTTGAGAAGAAGCGGACGAATCGGATTCCGAGTCAGTCAAGTCGGGATGGTAGGCAGCTTTGACAGGTGATAAATCCGCGAAGGACCCTCTTGAAGAAGCAAGTGTAGGGTGTATTGAGGATTGTTCGGAATCGTCCATATCTGCTTGAAGCTCACGAAGCTCTGCACGTAGACGCTCGTTCTCCAACTTGAGCTCCAAGAATGCGTCCAACCTGTCCACCGTCAGCAGACTTGAATAGTGAGTTGACATTATGATTTTTCTAGGTATGGTAAGACTCACGATTGACTATTGGCAGTATCATTATCCGAAACGACCTCACCTACACGTCGACCCATCACCCATACCCCACGTCCCTTGAGTCCATCCCCGTCCTTCCCTTGTCCGGGAGGGATTATTGCCCCTGGGCCACCAAACGTAAAGCTACCACTCCCCTGAGGTTCGCTGTAGGAAGCATGTGCTCTCAGTTCCCAAATGACGGCACGTTCGTTGGCACCCTTCGAATCGGCACACAACATGCGGACGTGCATTGTCTCGGATTTGCCCATGATAGTGGATGAACCAGTCAAGGTGGTGGAACTCGAAGTAGCAGTGGAACTGGATGAAGGGTAGTGAGGGAGTGATGGTGGTGTGGGTTTGAGTAGAGAAGTGAGGAAAGAGAGGATTTGTTGATGATCGGGATCTGAAATGAGCGATATAACCTTTACTGCGTTCACTCGTACACCGCCTCACCACTCAAGGTCTACAGTGGTGATTCACTACTGAATGGTATGGAAGTGAAGAACAAACATACGATAAACAAGATCCAAGAAATCTCTGCCGGGTAAAGAGTCGGCCTTATGACCTAGCATAACGTCCAAGCTGCTGGTGGCGTACACGATCTTCCATGAGCTTGAGCATCCGGTATGTGATTCGACTCACCTTGTAGGAATACGGTCCTCGGGTCGATTGAGAAGTATTGACAGGCTTGAGACAAAACAAAGCCGTCCCGATCAACTCCTTCAGTAGGAGCTGTGGCCATTTCTTCCGTCTGGTGAACTAAACTTAGCGCATAAACGGCAAGAAGGGGGCGTAAGAGACACACCTCGAAGCCGCCGTTCAGGTCTTTATCATCGGGGACGCCTAAAGCGTAACCTGCTCCTGTGACGGGGGTAGATAATGTCATTCCTATATAATCTTGAGTTCTGCAATGACAGTGGTGAGTGCAGGAGATGAGGTAAATGTAAGAGTAGTGTGAGGAGGAAAGGTCTTAATTACGCTTTTCGGAACGTTTTTGGACTTAAATACGCCTTTTCCGAGATCTGGGTCTTAACTACGTCTTTTGGCTGGAGGAAGGGTCCTTTTTACTGCCCCCCAGTTAGGGTGGACTATGGGCACCAAGTTAGGGGGGGTATTGACCATACATAACGACGTTAGGGGGTTAGGGGAAGTTAGGGGGTTAGGGGGTTAGGTGGTTAGGGGTGGAGGAGAGTGTTTTTAATGCATGCAAAGCATGCATTGGGGGTCCAGGGAGGGTGGTGTAATTAAGTCCTTTTTTTTGAGATGGGTGTAATTAAGTCCAAAAACGTTTGAAAAGGCGTAATTAAGACCTTTCCTGGTAGTGTGAGGGGTTACTCACGACTGTACGATCGATCCCCGTCCGCCCTCCGCCAGCCAGATTTCCCACGGTAGTTAAAGAAAGTGGGGGATGATGCCACGTGGTTGCCAAGCGATCCGAGCCACGGACAGGACAGGCCGAAGCGGTCTCTGGGCTGTGTTGCTATTTGGTTCCCCCTCCTTCCTTCCTTCCTTCTTCCTTACTTCTCTTTGTCAGCTCACAGCCACACAAAAAGTTATAAAAGTGTCCTCTCACTGATCCGAGTGCTGTTCGGCCTATACTGCATTCAGATCAAGTGGCGAATATTCAAACTCCGACACGACAAGACATGATGACACCTATCAACCCCGACTCTCGGTCCTTGCCTGATGGTTGGATTCAGCAGTAGGTCTCTCTTGTCCTCACAACGGGTGGTGTTGATGGTCGCAGGTTCGATGAGAATCACAAGGCTTGGTTCTACGTGAACAAAAACTCTCCTGGTGGACCAAAGTCTCAATGGACGCAGTGAGTTCACCTCCTCGTTTCGATATCCTTTCCTAATCTCTCTCGAATGATGGCAAACAGCTTACACGATAGTCCCGCGGATGATGCCCCTGTCTACGCTCCGCCCCCAGGACCACCACCTCCTAAGAATACCACACCACTTCCTCAGCCTCAATTCCAGCAGTCAGTTTCTCCCATCGACCAGAAACGTGGAGAAGCTTCATCTTTCTATAACAATAACAATGGGTCATCATCTTCGACCCCTCAGCCGCCTTATCAATCTACGTCTCCCGCTCCTCAACCTGAAAAGAGGGGATTAGGAGGGTTCTTGAGTAAATTAGGTGGGAAATCCAATATGCAACCTCAACCGCAATACGGAGGATACAATCAACAGCCTTACGGGGGTTATCAGCAAGGTTATGCGCGTCCGCCATATGGTGGATACCCACAACAAGGATATGGTCCTCCTCCCCCTGGTCAGTACTATGGGCAACAGCAGCAATATCAGCAGGCTCCCGCTAGATCGGGAGGACTGGGGACGGGTGGTGCTGTAAGTCAATTTTCGTATTATTGTCGACTAAAGCTGATGATTTAGCTTGCTTTGGGTGCCGGTGGCGGTCTTCTTGGTGGACTCCTCATTGGAGAAGCTCTTGACAATGTAAGTGGTTCCACCGTGCATTACTCTGGGCTGACGAAAAAGAGCCAGGAAGATGCGTATCAGGATGGGTATCAAGATGGTGCGGATAATGATTATGGTGGTGGTGGTGGTGGTGGTGGCGACGACTTTGGTGGGGGCGACTTTTGAGAGACACCAAAACCATTGTTTGCTCGATTCAGCGGTTGTTGGCTCTGGACGAGTGTGAAGCGTATCTTGACGAGTGTGAACATGCTTTGATCCACCTACTTGGAATAGACATGCCCTTTGAGAAGTTCGTAGATGATGTAAATTACTCTACAGTAGAGTACTTAGAGAGCAGTCTCCAACGCGGTTCCATCTCGAGCAAATTTTTCTTGTGAACGGTGACAACCCTCCTTCTTCCTTTACCAACGTTACTGAACTACACAACCATTTGTACTGTGATCTGCTTTATTCATAATATTCCTTCATGCCTGCAAACTCATCTTCATGTCCTCCCCTAGATCCCCTCACCATATCCGTCGTCCTTCCACCACCTCCCTTCTCCCCTCCCCCACCTGGCGTCGTCTCCTCCTCCCTCTTTCCATCCTCCTTCTCGTCGTTGTCGCCTCGGCTATCGAAACTGAGCTCGCATATTACACCACCACAGTCTTCGCATACAACCAACCATACTTTACATTCTTCCTAACTCACGTAACTTTTATCTTCATCTTTCCAGTCCATCTACTCCTGCTCACTCTGTTCCAACCAACACCATGGAGACAACATCTCCGAGGAATTCGTACTATCTTATCTACCCAACTAAAGGTTGAAGATACTTGGAAAGCAATTTTCAAACCATGGACAATCAGAGTGATATGGTTGACAATACTGGTAAGTGTACCAAGTATAAGTTGGTTCATCGCTATGGTCTATACAACAGCTATGGATATTACTGCCATTTACGCCACTAGCAGTGAGTCTTATTTCTACTACTGACAGATGGAGTAAGTATTGATATAGAACAGGTTTCCACGCGTATTTTTTCAGTATGTTATTGTTGAAAGAATCGCTTAGTAGGATCACTATGGCTAGTATTGGGTTAGCTTCTTTAGGTGTGGTCGTGATTGCTTTGGCTGGGAAAGGAGACGGTATCTCTGATGAAGAGATGGGTATAGAAGGTAAGGATAGAGTGTTGGGTGATGTTATCATGGTAATTGGTGAGTGTCACAACACTCACTCTGATACTACTATATGTCTACCTGTTCGTCTGACTCTCACCAGTACCGCCTCTCTTCCCACTCCACCTTACTCCAATTTGATGTTGATGTTTCATCAACTTTGTCCTCGTCTACTTGATTTCGCCCGTGTTTGAGGTCATTTGGTCTCTCACATGGTTTTGGGGAGATGAACAGAAAGCTGAACAATAGGCGCCGTCCTCTTAGGATTATACGAAGTGATCTACAAGATGCTTCTCCCCGAAACACATGACCACAACTCTCCCAGTTCTACTATAGCATATTCATCTCTACCAAGCCATCACGCTCCCATCAATATATCTCCTCCTCTTATGAACTCACAACAATTCATACCTCTTTCACCTTCTCATAACAATCGTCAAATCTCTAACTTCAGTGACACAGAAGATCTTCCCACCAAAATCTCTTCGCGAAGTTCCCCATCTGACCTATCTCCAGAATACGAAGTCCCAACCGACGAGACCATCTCAGAGGATGGAGATTTCGAACGGGCGGCAAAGATCTTAAATGTAGCGACGCCGCAACTCCCTCCCGCTCTCCACGCGAATTTCCTCACGAGCTGTTTGGGTCTTGCAACGCTATTATTACTCTGGATCCCGATCGTCATACTGGACTACACAGGTGTGGAGAAGTTCAGATCACCAGGAAGTACGGAGAGAGGATGGGAGGTCTGGTTAGTTTTGAGTATCGTCTGTTGGGGAGGTGCGATTTACGTGAGTGAGATGTTTTCTATTGCACTTCATCTCAAACCCGTGCGGTCGTATTATCCGATGTTGTACTGTCTCCACGATTCCTAATGCTCACCTCTGTTCAAGAGTGTAGAGTCGGCAAGGAAAACAATTTGGTAAAATACTAGTAGAGTACTCGGAGCAAACCCATCCTGACGACCAGAACGCAGGTCTCATGATCCTCATTGGAATATGGGGACCCACAACTTCATCAGTAGCCAACCTTCTCACTATTGGGTTGGTCGCTGTATTGGACGCAGTATGGATGGGTAACATTCCTAGCTTTCAAACCCTTTTAGGGGTGGGAATGATCTGCGTTGGGTTTGGTGTTTTGTTATATGAGGGAGAGACATGATAAATTATGTTTACATTCCCAAATTGACTTTTACAAATAAACACCTTTCGGTGCTCTCAACACTATGTTCCATCTACTCGGATTCCTTTTCTCGCCGCTTGATCTGATCATATTGATTCTATCACTTCTGCCACCTCTTATGTCCTACCTGGTATGCTACCTACCACCGGGTTGGTAGAAGAGTAGTAGGTCCACGTTGTGAGGAAAGATCTTGACGACCGAGTCCCTTTCCCGAGTTTCACGTATTTTGTCCAGAATCACACGACTCCTGGAAACCCGCACTTAGAGCACTTGACGACGGACCTGGTGGGACTGACGACGATTTCTATATTGACTTAAGTGAGACTACTGATATGAGGCATATAAGTGAATTCGCTCATCATCCTTCCTCCGTCTTACATTCACCCTACTTCCTGCTTCCCAACCTCTTTCCTGTATCACTCACTGTTCACCTTCATCCTTCCGTCAGTAAACGAATATCCACTCTTCTTCCTGACTCTTACTCTCCTGCGATTTCCCACTCATCGAAGGTGGAGGCACAATGGGAAGCAGAAGTAATTATCTAGGCTTGACGACGGGTCGGTCTCCCATTTATTCCCGATCCAACTTTTCTCCACTCACATTGGAGAACACCACTCCCATCTCCCAGATCACTTCATATTCTTCAATCCCTTCACATTCCCCAATATCAGACTTGGACATGTCACCAGCATGCGAACAAAACGTCATTATGCTCCGTACCAGACCACGATCCAGAAGACAATTAAGTATAACAGTTCCACCTTTACCCAAAAGAGATTATCTAGTGGTCCCTTCTGTCGATGCCACAGGTAGAGCAACTCCTCTTGTCCCCACTCCCAAAGCTCATGAAGTAGTCCAGGCTTCGAGAAAGGTAGATGACTTGACCGGTAGGATCAAAGTCAAAGTCGATTGGTGGAACGGTAGAGAGACGAAAAGAGAAGACAAGTTGAATGAGGGAGAAGTGAGGGAATCAAAATTGGAAAGAACAGAAATAAAAGAAAGATGTTTGAAATCACCATTTTCTTTGAGAGCGACTTTACATACTCCTAGAAATCGTTTAAGAGAAAGAAGGATATTGGATCCGGAAAGAATACCAACCTCGGCTACTTTACCTAGTGGAGCAAGGAGATTGAGGGGGTTGCACATCTTATTATGGACGATTTTCGGAATGGTGGTTATGTTGAGTGTGGTCTACGTTTTCTTATCTCCTGGTGAGTTTGTGTCAAATTCTCAACCATCCCTCCGCCCTCGATCATGATTGTTTCCCCTTGCATATCCCCTTAGTGTAGCGTGTTGGAATTTGTTCAAAGGCTTGTACGCGTTATCATTTGGGTTTCTGGTGTGATGAATGGGAATGAGATGATTAAAGTTGTCGATAATAAAGAGAAGAGCATGCTCACTGATACAGTCGATTATGTCATTTATACCCTTCTGTAAAACCGATCCATCCTTTGAACATGTACGATATGATAGTCTGCGTACGACCAAGTTTGAGTCATGTGGGGGTATTGTTACCTTCGTGCGATATGGGTAATCGAACAGATCATACGAATCATCGACCTGCGACAGTGGAAGTAGTTATGGACTCTGTGGGAATGGAAATGTACGAAGAAGGGTCGGACGATGACGAAAATATGAATTTGGAGAATCATGAAGAGACGATCATCAGTATTATGAACGATGGGACAGAGGTTAGTGGAACCAAGGTAGGAGATGTTATGGAAAATGGAAATTTGGGACTTATCAGTGCTGAAGAAGTGGCTGATTTTTTGCAAGAAGGTTGGTAGTTTTGTTTGTACTTGACGACTCATGGTATGTAAGATCATTCGTGGCTTTCCAATGCGACGAGTGGAAATTAAACGATAAGCATCGATAGACGTTGATGATGATACATGTGAAGGGTCAAGTATGACTACCCATTGACTTTCTTGGTCCTTCCTAATCTCTACTTCATCAGTATATCAGAGTATAGTGTATGAAAAAACGAAACGCACTTTCTTCATCCTCTGTAATTTTTTAGCACTCATTTTAGCTCTTAACTGTTCTTGCCTTTCCTTCTCCGCTTGTCTTTCTCTTCTTTCGCGAATGGCAGTGCGTTTTCTACTTCGTCAGCGACCCTCCACTCTTTTCACTTCCCCACACCCCCGGTTTTCTTATGTTCGAACATGCCGATACGGATCCCCAGGGTCGAAAGTGATCCAGGAGCGATGACCATTTTAGTCAAGGGTGTTATTAACGAATTGGTGGGTAGTAGTCATGTTGGAGTTGGAAACCCAGGAATGTTGTAGACGGAAATAAACCCACCGTTCATCCTCCGTAGCTTTTTCTTCCTTCATCTCCCTCTCGATGTCTCTCACGGCTTGTCTGGTCTTTTCCAACTCCTTCCTTTTCGCAAATGAAGTTTTTATAGATGGACTGATATACGATCTCCTCACCGCTGTCTCTTTTGGAGCTTTCCATCCTTTCCCATTGGTTCTACCGAGTTTACTACTCGCCAATGGCTTTGGATCTAAACTGCTCGTCTCGCTTATCTGTACTTGTTCGACTTGCATGATGTCTATTGTAGAGTTAAGTCGTTTGGACCCAAAATCTAGTTAGGTGGACTGGGAGTGAAGAAGCGGCGATTCCCGCTTTACATTTCCGTGCCTGAATCGACATCCTTCAACGCGTTCACCCCCCAGCCATTTCCGTCACCCGCTCTCGTCTCTTTTCCTCTTTCTTCCCTTCTTTCTTCCTTCCTTTCCACTTGTTTGCTTTTAGCTACTGGTAGCTTGTCCAGGTTTTCTGTCTTCTCACCGACTTGATCAAAAAAAAAAATCACAGCCTGGTAGCTTGTGTGTCATTTGTTTCAAGGAAACTTTATAATACGACCCAATCGAATCGGAGTTGGATAAATAATCAAGATGAATACCCAAGGTGTACAGGCGACACCCCGAAAGAGGAAAGCCGTGGATCCTCCCACTCCCAGTAGTGGTAGCAAGAGCAAGAGACGAGCGTGAGTTTATTTGATCGAAAAAAAGTGAAGATGTCATCTTGGCTGATGTCATTTTCAGTCCATCAACTCCTAACCCTCCCTTGGCACCTTTCCCAACACCCCCTGCTACCCGACATCGAAAATTCGAACTTGAACCATCTTCCTTATCCCTCGCATTCTCAGAGGAATCCTTCCTAGATGTACCTGCCGGTCGGGGGGTTGATCTTCCTACCCATCTACAGACACTTCTAACTTTACATCGATCATTCAACTTGGCCCTTTCCCTACACATGGCTACTCATCCACCCGTTTTACCTCCTCATTCTCCTTCAACCACTCGGATACCTTTACCAAACCTGACGAACTTCCTTAACATCCGTGAAACGGTAGAACGGACTTCTAATCGACGTTTCGGTATACCGGAATTACAAAGATTAGCTTGGGTATGGACTTGGGATGGAACTCCTCTTGCGGAGAAGAAAGTGGAAGAAAACCCTTTTCTCGTTTCTGGTTCAGAAGAAATACCTATGAGAGTTTCAGGAATGGGTTTTTTGATAACTCCCACTCGAACGTTGGATACGAATGGAAGGAGAGTATACACACATGGGATCGGTATTGAATTAGAGTTGAAAGTTGGTGAAACGAGACAGGTGTTACATGGTGGTAATGAAGGAGGTTTGGGGAATAAAGGTCAAGGAGGTGGGATGGGTGCTTTGGGAAGATGGAGTGGGAATGGGGAGATTAGAGAAGAAGAGTTTTTGAAAAAGTTGGAAAAGTGGATCGAGATACATGGAGGGGTTGAGGTGAGTCTCAATTGTTTCTTTCACTCTATGAAAAAAATCATCCTGCTCAAAGCTGAATGTATACTGGCTCATCAGGCGCTCGTGAGCATATTCGATAGCTGACATCTTAGCACCAAGAGAAAAATCAGCTACCCACTCCTTCAACGACCACCAACCAACGTTCGACAATACCTCCCATTCCTCTTTTACCACTTCCTCACCTTCCTTCATCAGCATTACTCCCATCTGCTAACTTATTCACCATCTCTTCATCCTCCCCTTCATCCGGTCCTTCGACTCCTCGGAAACCCCCAACGGTCGGACCATCCGGACTTGCAGATCCGTTCGTTTTGCAACCACGATCCACGCCTTTATCCTCAACCCTTGATCACCTCACCGAAGATCCCGAATCGTCAAATGCCACCTCCAAAACCAAATCAACCAATTCTAACTCTGTAGAAGCTCGTCGACAAGCAATGGCAGAACGTATAAAAGCACGTTCTCGTTCTTCTCAATCATCCCTCCCTCCTCTAGGTCAATCCCCCGGATATTCTCTTAAACCTATTTCAAACGTTTCTTCAACACAAGAAGAACTTCGTCGTCGATCTACATTGAGTCGACTGGAATCTATCGCTGAAGGTGTTTGGATGTTATTTTCACCTTCTCATTCTCAATCTACCAATAATTCAGGTCTTTCACCATCCCGAAAACGAAGAGCCATCTTGTTAACTGAAGCTGCTGAAATCGTTGTAAAATCTTCAAAAACGCCAATATCATTAGCAGAGGCACAATCATCTCTGACGATGTTATGCGAATTATGTCCTTTTTTCTTAACTACCAAAGTTATCGGAAGACAGGATTGGTTAGAGATGCCTTCATCGACTTTATGTCCTCCTAGTCCCAGTAATAATTTAGATAGGGTGGTTTTAAATCCTCCGGTCACTCCTCCTGGAAGTCCGAGTAGATCAGGGGGGAAGAAAGCCGAGCTGGCTGGACCGGCCAGTCTCGGAAGGGTGAGAAGGCAAGGCGGTTTGAGAGAAGTCAGAGAGAGGATAAGGAGAGAATTGGGCGAATGAGGGTCATTTCAGCAAATCTTATATCTTGTCAATTAAGGAACAAAGTACGAATAGTCAGTCATCTAGCCACGGAATTATCTTGATGCATCTTGTTAGTGCTTGCAAGATGGGTAGAGATCATTATATCCATGATAACCCCTGCTTCCAACTATTCATTTGTCCATACGCATCATTACTCACGTCTTGTAAATCTTACTCATGAAACGATCAAAACCCAGAAGATTGCTCTGTTACATTGTGGATGAGAGGCGATCGCTCCGACCTCATGAGAATTCGCAAGATACATCAGATCACTACACATATAATGCCAAAGTGACGGGATTGACCGAAAGCCAATTACCCTCCGTCAACCATTTCTCCTTCTGTTTCATATCAGCAAACCATACCAACAGGGTTTCAAACTTCCTTGGAGCTGGGCAAGGGGAACAGGGAGAATGATGAGATATTGGAATTTGACTAACAATACAAAAGTCAAGCGGCATGTCCACCAAATGTCCCCTGATCTTACTCAACTCATCTTTGACCTCTTTCAAACTCAAACTCTTGTTGGCCACATGACCCGTAGTGATACCCTCCTGCGGCTTGAGATACGCCTTGTATTCTTCCCAACTCTTGATATCGTCGTTCGGCACCGGACGAAAGACGTTTTCGAATGCAGCGCGGTTCGAACGTCCCGTATTCGTCCATAGGTTTTGAAAGTCATCCGAGAGAAAATCGGCGACGGCTTGATCTTCTGGAGAGTCAAAGTCGTATTCGTGAGGAACAGGGGCTGGGTGCATGGATGGAGTCGGTTGTGTCTTTGAATCGAACGCCGCCTGAGGTGGGAGAAGACCGAGGTGTTCTATGCCCATCAACACAACAAGGTAGACAAAGGTGAATCAACTTGCCTCGCATCAATGTTCGACGCCATGTAGCCGCCAATCGACTGGCTAGATACTTCTTCCCATCCATCACCGTTTCGATCATATCTTCGTCCTCTACTGATCAGCATATCTTTCCGGAGAAATAGTTGGCTGACCGATGACGATGGCGATCTCAGAATCACGGTCACCACATTGGCTTCTGTCGTTCAAATTTGCACTTCCACAAATGACCCTTCGGTCGTCGACGATCATAATTTTGCTATGAATGTAACACAGCTAGACGGTCAGCAACCACATGGTAACCAACAGATGACTCACCTCCGTCACAAAGCATCCAAGCTCCTCGTCCTCGGTACCATCCCATTGTTCGTCAGAAAGAGACGTTTTGTCTAGCATGGCATGCTGGCAGACTGTCCGTTAGATGAATGTCGTCTCGGAGAACCCACGGTTATCAGAGCTGTGTGTCAGCTTTTGTCACGTCAGACAACAGACTACGTACACGTTCTTATCGTCAGTCTGCGCCGCTCGCTCGAAACGTCGAATGATGTCCTTTGCCTATGATGTGAGCCACGCTTTTTCAAGGGACGGGGCACATACCTCGTCCACCGTTTTCGGCAGCGGGACCGCTTTCTCCACTGTGTCCTTTTTGCCAATCTGATCCACAGATGTTCCCTGATCATGGGCTTTCTCAATGTTGACGACTTCATCGACATCACCTTTCAAGTCGTCTGAGCCGACATAGATCCTGGAAAGGGCCACTTGTGCCTCGTGGAACGTGACCCCGGACTATAGGTCAGTCAATTTACATTGCAATCACATACTCTTTGCTCCATGTCCCTAATCAAGCCCCACGGGGAGTTGATTCGGTCATAACTCCGTAAATTCCAGAACTAGATTCGTCAGCTCTGCAAAACAGATCTAATCCAGCTCACGGAGATGTATTCGGTACTGCGGTTCAGCAAAGATCATAAAATGAACATGTCACGTACGGGTCGTAACCAGCCTTCCTGACCAGCTCGAAGATTGACTCCCCGCCTCGGTTGATTGTACGGTACTGTTGTCTGTCAGAGAGCACACACCAGGAATCAGAGCCAAACTTACCTGGGCTTCCATGATCGCCTTCAGGCCGGACTGACTCATAATATCACCAGGCTGTAGGGGTCAATTTTGTACTACGAAGAGGCTCGTGTTCTCTCACGAAAGCACTGACGGATCAGCGGGATCACTTTTGTAAAGACTTACGGTACTGCAGGAACCACCACGATGATTTTAAACTTGCGCCCGTCCTTCGCAGCCGATATGATTCGCTCCACGAGAGCTGTTGCGATTTGATTCTTCACTTGACCATCAGGGACGGCGCTGGAGATGCTGCTGTATGAGTGAAGGTCATCACCCAGGCTAATGTTCACGTACACTGTTATGTCAGCTCGACTTCTTCATATCACCTCAACTTACAGAACTGATTCTCAATATAGATGCAATGATTGGCCTCTCTGATCAACCCGATGTATGCTTCTGCTATGTCAGCCATATCTACCGAAGACGACCGACACGCACGCTGGATGCTGTCCTCTTTGAGAACGCCGTGACTCCAATCAGCGGCGGATCGGCACACTTGCACTCGGCATGTCCCAAAAGGGACCGCCTCAGACGCCCTGGGTGCATCTGAGGGGTGAAAGTGATATGGATGGACGAGCTGTCGCCCACGCTGCTCTGTGAGCGACTATCCGGGCAGCAAGTCTCCGAACCCACCTCTTTCCATTCTGCCATGTGAGGGTGTTCCTTGCGGAACTCATTCTCCTTGATCTTGTGTTCTTCATCCTTCCGGGCTCTGACATCGTCCCATGCTGCAGCTCAGTCCATCTATCACCCTACCGATGCATGCCTAGGGAGGGGAAAAACTCACGAGTGGGCAAAGCAAGCCACTCGAAGTGATGATCGTGCTTGTACCTACATGTCAGCCTGACGTCTCGGCTTGTGAGCGAGGTAATAGCTTACTTGAACTTCTTGACCTAGTCCATGTCAGTGTATCTATTATAGGATCTTGGTATGCTCACAAAATTCCATCTTTCACAGAAATGTTGTATTAGATCCACTACACTTGGTCCGATGAAAGTCAGAGAAGTATCATGCCACGCTTGAGGGTCAGCTGGATTCAATACACAGCTGAATACGACATACGCATTCTTGGAGCATCCTGTATGGCGATGGCATTAGAGGTGTACTTGTCTACGGTCTGAAAGTCCATGATACGAGAATTATTATAGTCTGCTCGTTAGATGAGTCAAATTCATAGCTGATTGACCCACCCTGCCCAGGAAACAAGCTCTTGTAAAACTGGGTAGGGTGCACATCGGAGAGAGGGTGGTTGCGGGTGTCCCATCGTCCGTAACATGCGTCTAGTCCGCCCATGGCGGCAATCTTGTTGTCGACGACGCATAGCTTCTCATGATGCGAGAAGTAATACACAAGCTCCCCTGATGACAGTCAGCTAACCTCCGCACATAGGCGCCCAAATTCACCTCCACTGTGGTCCGGATGACGCATGACAGAGATGTTCTCGTGCAAATCTTCCAGAGCATGCTTGGTGTGCTTGGAAGAGAGCGCCATGGAAGCGGTAACCTTGTGGTAAGTGACCACCTGCACAGTCACGACGAAGTGCTTACCTCTTTGTATACCATTACATATACCCTCACGCCTTCCTCGGCTTTGCGTTTGATCAGGCGATCGAGTCTCCATTCTGGAAATATGGCTGCTGGTCGACGAAGCTGCACGGTGAGCTCGGCCTAGGGGGTTCTCCTCGTCACGCTTGGAAGACGTGGTATCTCACCTGTAGCTCGGGAGACAACCACCAGTCCAGTATCATGATGGTCTCGCTTGTCAGTTGTATCACTCAATGTATGTAATCCACTCACATCCTTGGCTGAATCAATCATCTCAGACATGGCCCAAAAGTAATCTTGTAGTCAGTCACATTGTCTCGTGGAGAACAAGCGAGAGTACGAACCATGACCGTCGACATGCCATTTGACAAGGTTCCCTTGATGTCAGCTGTTCGTCTACGCACTCAGGCTAAAATTTAACCTTCTCTCTCCCCTGCAAAGCTTCTGAACCTATGCTGATCCCTTATCCTTTCCAGTTTGGCGTCTACTTCCTGCTCCCATGCTTCGTCGTGTCGATGATTGGGGTTGATACTTGTGCTCACGGCGACACCTAGACGGGATAAGTCTGATGCGAGATGATCAAATTTCGATCGTATCTTGGAGAACTGTAAACATGTGAGCCACGTACCGTATCCGGTATGTCCTGGCTTTGCGGGATTGTACACGAGCAGAAAGGAGGGACAGGACTTACAGGGTGAGCAGTGGGGTTGGGGTGTTTGGCGGCATCTGAAGCTGGGTGGGCCATGTTAGTTCAGTAGCACAAGGCAGCAAATGACAACTTTATACGATGGCCAAGGATTAAGGAAGAGATGAAGAAGGGGAGGGGGTTGACAAAGCTGAAAGACGAGTTGGCGAGCTGGTTCAAGCAGTCAAGTAGCCGGTGATAAGGAAGGGGGGTGACGCAATGACGCACGGCCCCGCTCCCACTCAGCTTGGCATCATAGGTGTCTCAATTACGTAAGACGCATACGGTACGACGCGAACCAAAGATCAAAAGTGAGCGCGTGTGTTTTTCCTTCGAGCCACATACCAATACATTCCCTTGTCTCTTTTACTATTTAAGACAGGAGCAACTTGCAGTCGTCCTCGATGCCTCTTCTACAACCCCCATCTCCCGATCTGAGACACGGAGAGCTCACATACACTCATGCCTACAACTCAATAGTCTCTCGGGTCCGTCGTAGCGGAGGGTCGGGGTCTGGCGGGGTGGTCATCTTCGTAGGAGTGGACGTGGTGGGTCCATATGTTGATTTCTGCTCCGTATCTACCGCTTACTTTCACCAGGACGGTCTGTTAGCAGCTCGCATACTTGCATCTCTTTTCAAGCAAGATGATGTTCCATATCGACTCGTGCCAGTAGGAGGTTATTCCGAGTTGGAACAAAGACGAGACGAAGCTTTCGCTTCAGAAGAGGTCAGCTCGCAGCCCACCTCCCAACTTAGCTGATGGCATAGCTACATACGCTTATATTGCTGTCTCTTGGCTCACTTCTTCCCTTATCGTCCTACTTTCCACTGCCCAACGGCTGTCATCTACATATCATCGACTCGCATCGTCCGTGGAACTTGCAAAATCTATTCGGTCTCGACGCCGACTTTGGTGATGACGGCGAGACTGGAGAACAGAGAGTATGGGTGTGGGGAGATGGAAGCGAGGTAGAGCTGGGTAACGTGAAGAAGAGCTGGGAGGCATTGGAGGTTAGCACATAGACGTTTTCCGATAAATCAAACTGATGAGATAGTATGAACCGTCTGATTCAGATTCGGACAGTGATAACTCAGATGAAACAGAAGTCGACGATGAAGGTAGTCAAGCCGAGAGTTCTGCGACTGGGGCGAAACGTACGCGAGCTGGATCTACAGGAGGACGAAAGAGACGGAAGGGGGATGGTGAGAAGGTAAGTCTCAAGATAGCTAGACTTATGCCAAATCTGATGGTGTAGCTAGGCGGGAGATTACCTAGAGCTGTCCGTCAAGCACATTACGAACGAGTACAACGGTACTACGAATCTGGTACTCATTGGGGTATGTCAGTAGCTCAAACTATTTATCTCCTTGCCACTGTATTAGAACGAGCGGACAATGATCTGTTATGGCTTGCCATTCTGGGTATCACTTTTCAATATACTTCGGCGCGGATAGATCGAGAAAAATACGACCTCTATCATGGGATATTCATGGACGAAGTGGCCCGATTGAACCACGAAGCGTTTGGCGGATTGAGAAGAGAACCGAATCCAGATGATCGGAGTATAACGAGGAGTGATGAATTGAGATTCATGCTATTCCGTCATTGGAATCTGTATGATGCGATGTTACATTCTGGTTATGTGGCTGGAAGGATGGGAATATGGAAAGAGAAAGGCAGGAAACGATTACAGGGATTGTTGGCTAAGATGGGGTAAGTCGATTTATATTTTGAACGTTTTTTCCCCGTTGAATACATCTGTTGACGAACAGATTTTCACTTCAACAGTGTCAACAAACTTGGACACACATGGATAGAGATTTGAAAAGACAACTACCTGATAAATTGGACGCTATCGCACCGGAATATGGTTTGGTAGAACTTTCCTACGCATCGTTCACTCGTGCATATGGATTTCAATTATCATCTCTTTCCGCTGCAGATGCAGTAGAGGGATTATGTGCTTTGTTGGAAGCTGCCAGAGGGGTCAGGATGGAAGTTGAAAAAGAAGGCGGGAAAGGTGGAGGTGAATGGTTTGGTGGAACCAGAATGTGGAACGTAGGCGGTGGATCTGTTTCTCGTGATAATGGACGTGGGTTGCAAGACAAAGAAAATATCGATCCTAGGGATAATGGTGTTTCTAACGTCGGAGAAGAAGGGGAGTCACAGGAAGGAAAGAAAGAACAAGTTTGGCATGTTGCGAATTTCTGGATCGCCTATGATGCGTGTGAAGAGTGAGTCGATCGTCTTTCATTTGCCATTTACCATTTGCCATTCGCCGTTCACCATTCACCACTTATTATTCCTCCTAACAGTCTATGATTTACTCCTTATATTCCAACGCCCGTCTTCCATGACGTACTCCTGAATCCGACAATTGGCTCCAAGTACATGTAAACCATAAAGTCAAGGATCCCAAAAATCCGAAATATCTCTCACAAGAAATGTTATTTTGAACGACAAGTCGAGTGGAGAATGATCACTTACACCTGACAGTATAAACCTTCTACGTAAATCCCTCCCACTCGCAATGTCCCTACATAAAGCAATCATCAGACAAGGTTCTTCCCTTCTTGATAAATCCACCATCAGAGCCCTCCGAACATTCCGTTTCGCAGCAATGAAAGAAGGTCCAGATTTACGTCTTTTTTGTCATCCTTCCACTTTATCCAGATTAGCACTATGGTTAGTGGATGCTACTCGTGATCGATGGTCGGAAAAAGATTCTAAAAAGGGACAAGTAGTCAAGAGTTTACCATTTGTCGTGGCATGTTTGAATGAGGAAAAAGGAACTTTTTTGGTTGTGGGTGTAACGGGTAGTCCGGAATATGGTGATGTGAGGAAAAAGTGAGTGAAGGGTTTCATTTACTTCGGACTTCCCCCCCCCCTTCAAGCAACATTGATACTTGTGACCCCGCATCCTCACCTGTTCCCTTGCTCGTCTTTCTAAATAATCACCTCATCATCCTCGACGAAATCAGTGCCGAAAAGGAAGTGAGCTTTCTCACGGATCATCATGACACTTTTTTCGATCTCGATGTGTTATGTAGAAGGAAAACCCTGGGATGTTATTCATAAATTGGGTCGGTGATGAGTTGAGATAAAAGGGAAAGGGGAGAGGAAAGAGAGAAAAAGATGATATACTAACCCAAAGTAAATTCGGTTTGGCATTTCAACAAGCAGCAGAAGAAAGTGGAGCAGGGGCGAAACATGATATGTTTGATACTTCTGTGGTTGAAGTTCGTTCGGAAGATTTACAAAATTTCATAGAGAGTTTACATCTGAGAAGTGTATGATGTCTTTTTCTTCGGAACGGATCATCCCCTTCTATAACATCTTGATTTCATCGTACTTAGTTGTTGTAGGTCATGCTAGGAGTATGTTGCTACTTACCGTTCAGCTGCATTTGAACCATTCTCACACTTCAACAAATCAACGTGGACTCACTTTCTATTACATGTGCAGACTTACACGTTTGCGCTGACACAACTGACAAATGACCCTGATGTGTCGATTGGAATACTGTAGAGTATAGTAGTGAGGGTTATGATGCTATGAGTAATTATTTGTATATCAACAATTCCACAGGTCTACAAGACCATGCATGCAAAACAAAGGATAAGCGACTACATCCCCTTCAATCCTTCCATTATCCCAATTTCATCCCAAAAAATGAATCTCACCAGTGAGATCCAGAAAAAAAACACCACGGATCATCAAGATCCTTTCCTAACCAAATCGACCACTGATCGATTTGAATCAGACTACGAAGAAGAAGCAGACCAGCCGCAAAAGACAAGATACGGATAAAAGTCGACTATGCACCTAAGAACCTGATAAAGAGAGAATTGGGTTTTGGAAATCACCTCCAAGGTGAGAAATATGAATATGATTGATGATATGAAGACAAAAGACATGAGAGGTCGTAAGGGCATGACACGATATGAGAAGGATTACCAAGCGATGGACTGGATTTCCATCTGAATCGTCAGCCGATCCTGAAGATGACCATAAGAGGAGTTGGCCAAACGATGGGTATCTCAAGGTGATGGACGAAAGAAAGTTGGACAAACATTATTTGGCCATTCCCAAAACATGACTCCGCCTTCCCAACCTTGATTCCGAGCTTGTTTTACGCAATCTTCCAATTCGTCTGATGAGAGATATCTATATATGTCAGCACACATCACATCTTATCAAATCGCCCGATTCAAAGTAGAGACCGAAACGAACATTGAGTAAATAAGCCCAGTGGTAGAATCTACCGGTGATGCTATATGAAGAAGGGGAGAAGAAAATAGGGGGAGGCAAGATCGCTCACCCATTCGCAGCAGCATCCTTAGTCATAGGTTTTCCAATGAGAATCTTGTTCAGAGCTACATTCGCATACTTGTTCAATTCAAACACGGATGTATGTGGCCATGCACTACCCGACTTGTTAATCAAACCGTCACATGTAGTGTACATATTTGCTCCTTGGTTATAGAATTGAATATTGTACCAATCGATCGAATTTCCAACTTCCGCATTGACCTTGGTGTATCCACCGTTTTTGTAAACGTTACCGTCTGTGAACCAAGGTGCTACGGGGGCGTGAGAGATGATGTATTGACCTTGTGGAAGAAGAGCTCGTAGTTCGGTTTGTAATTCAATGAGCCATGCTTCTGATTTACCAGCATTGAATGCGTCAAAGTCTGACATGAGCATGTTATTCTCTTGGGTTCTAAGTATTTGAAAGAGGGTCAAGAGGAATGGATGAGAATGACTCACCCTCGTAATCAATATCCACACCATCAAGTTTATACTTTTTGACCCATGCGGCTAAATCCTGTGCGATAGTTTTCGGATCATGACCAGACGTGGTGGGTGTATCGGTGGACCCAAAAGCAGAAACCATCAAAGCGATACCATTGGCATGATATTCTGCCAGGATTTTCTCACGATAATCCTCCTCGAATTGTTCCCACGCTTCGGCATCATCCGAAGCACCGCGGTCAGACAACCAAAAAGCAAGAACAAAAGTGTTGTATCCATTCAAAGCGCTAACATCAGGCATGGTGTTCAACCAATTATCGGCGTAAACGACAAAACGGGGTCCATCGAAATTGACATTGCCACCGCCATTGTTCGTAGAGTTGGAGGGTTTGGTAGGTTGACCACTAGTCGATGAAGGTGCAGCAGACGTATGGGTGGGAGTGCAAACTGAACTGGAGGCAGAAGTGGAATGGAGTCCTTTTCCATGAGGTGCACGGCTAGAGACGGACGATGAGGTATGGTTCGAACCGTCGTCAGAGGGTACGATCACCGTGTCATTGTTGGTCGAGTTGGTTGGAAAGAATTCTTTATTCGGGTTGGAGGTGATGGAAGGTAATGCTGATGAAACGGAAGAAGAGATCGATGGGTTGGAAGAATTGTCAGGTGGTTCGGTCGTTCCGGAGGTCGAGTTGGAGTCGGATAATGACCAAGTCCAGATACAACCAATGGCAGATTCGTCGGCACTGCGAATTAGCTGAAATGTTCCCTAGGTTCGATTGAAATCGACAAGATATCCCGCATGCACCCCCTCTCGGGGGAGGGGCAAAGAGGGGGGACCGTGAGAAGAAGAAGGAGGCAAGGGCTGGGGGGCAGAGAGAAGACAAAGGGGTTCTAGCACGGAATGGAATGCTAAAGGATAGCCGGTATCTTTTCTCAAAAGAATCTCATCCCACCCCACCCCGTTCACCCTGAACTCAATATGATGGATCGCGTGGGTTTCATCAACAAAGAACAGAGCTCTTTTTCCACTTGTACTGAGTTCTCATAGAGGTGATCATGATGAACACGAATAGATGAAGTAAAACTCACGAGCACATGACATCAGCACCGGTACAATCTTGAACAGTGTTCCATTTGTCATTATAACATCCTATATACCCTTAGCACTTTTCCCTCCCATGACATGCTGATGCGAAGAGAAAGATCATCGTGTACAACTCACGTTGTAGTTCAGTTCCTTGACATTGCCAAGCACCATAGGTACAACTATCAGAGATATCTCTCGTATCGCAAGAAGCTCTCTTGTCTATTGTCGTTAAACCATGAGCGTTTCTAGCGTGATGTCGTCGATGATGAACAGTCCTAACTGAACTACCATGATTATGAAAAGCGTGCGGACCGGCCGCGACGAGTGAAAGAGTGACTAAAGTTAGAATGGTTGATGATAACATCGTTTGGTCGTTTCGTGAATGTCGAGCGTGTCTTGCGAAATGTCGAGTGTTGATAACAGTAGAGAAAAGATATCAAATCTTAAGTTTTTTATCTCTTTGTTTTCGAAGGTTTTAACGTAAATAGTGAAAGGAGACGAGAGATACCGAATCAATCGGCGAGTTTACAATAGTAGTCTGTTCGTACTACTACTATGAAAGATCGTCACGCGTCACTCGTCACTCGTCACGAATCGCAATGGCGTTAAGAGTGAATGAACAAGATTGTAATTGTCGGAAGATGAGAGAGAAAGTCGTAAAGAGGATAAAAGTCGATTGTGAGAAAGAAACGTAAAGAGAGAAGGATGGGGGGTTATTAAAAAGGGATGATGGCCGAATTTAACAATGGGGTGAAATTGAAAATGAAGCAAAGTGAAAAGTGAAGCGTGGATCAAACACTTTCCTTCCAACACATCAAAGGAAGGGTCTTAGTGTGGACAAAAAATCCAAATGTGTCAAAGCGTAGAGTACTGAAAGGCCAAAAAAGCCAAAGGGGGATTCAATCACATTGCGCTCTGGGCGGGAGGGCAAGGTGGACGAACATTGTGACGACGACGCGCTCTCCCTCCGACACGCGGGGTAAGGACAACAAGGAATTGTCACCAGAGGGAGAAGGGGAGGAGAGGGGAGCTCAGGCACGTACACCCCCCTTCTTCCTCTGCTTATCATACATACGTCCTCTGCGCAAGCCTACAAGAGACTTCCTTCATAGGAAAGAGGAGTAAGCAGTACGCAGCGATTCATGGAGATGGCAAGAACCCCGAAAGGTTGAAGAAGGACCGAGGTAAAGGATTAAACGTCATTCTCATCAAAAAATTTCAATCTTTGATTTGAAACGCGTCGGATGACCGTCTCATCCTTTACCCCGCCCATCACTCCGCAGGCCGCACTCTCCGCGCTCACCTTATCACTCTCTTGACGGCTTGGCTATAAGGTCAAAGTAAACATCTTGGACCGCACCCGCGGGATCATGTGGACATGTGGACTTGGCTTACACCTCATAACTTGAGACTTTCAAGAGAAACGTCTGTAAAATATCTTTATAATTGCAACCAGTCTCATACTTTGTGAAACGTTTGGTTCCGGTTATGGTCGGACATCTTGACGATCTTCTAATTATCAGTCTCGGCTAATCGTAGCCTTATACATCTAACTTTCCCTCTGTACCCTCCTTCTTGGCAGTATGCTCTACTCTTCTATGCTACGTAAAGCGTTCTCACACATAGTGAAACTATTTCCATTCCAAAGACCCCGAAATGGTTGTAAAACATGAGTTTCAAGAGCGTTTCATTAGGTGTGGATTACCTCAGTCCTGAGTGACTCGCTTGACTATCTGTCGCTACATGCCTCCATGCTTTGTGCCAGATACCACAGCATGTACAGTGTAACTCTATCTCAATCGAACATAGCATGGAACATTGCAACGCGAAGCAGGCACCGATCGCACTGACGCGTCGGAGATCGACAACTGATTTACCCGGTCCCTGATACTTCTCTTTAGTTCTCAGCGCCGCCGGCCGCCGCGCCGCACAGTCTCAAGGTCAGATATTCCCCAATCCCGATATACTTGGAAACCATGCCATGAATCTCCATCCACATGCAAGAATGTTCATGCAAGTACGTACATGTATGAACCAACCAAATGTCCATCAAAAAATGACATTGACAAAAGTATCATAAAGAAAACCTCATTATTATACGTGAAAATGTATCGTACGTAAATTATTTAAAAGTCCATCTATGTTATCAAGTTCGTACTAGTAAAGGTGAAACTGCTTCTTCAGCCGGAGAAGCAGGTTCTCTTTCCCTCCTCTCTTCTTCTCCGACATCTTCGTGTATGATTCTCCGTCTGGAAGATCTACTACCTCTCGTATCGCTTCTCCTAGGAGTTCGAGGCTCGTTCCTTGACACAGTTAAATGTGATTGGTGGATGTCAAGTGAAGTGGGACCGGTAGGATCGGAAATACGTTTCTCTGATTCAGAATAATGTCTCGAAGGATGTTGATGAGAAGGATCGACAATAGCTACCAAACCTTGTCTCATCAATTCGTTCGCTTGAGTTTCTCCGCCTCTTCCATTCGGTAACCAAATCACCGGTGTGGGAGCGACGAGTTCAGGTGGGTAGACGAGTCCTCGTAATGACTCCGAGGGGTCGTATAGGAACCTATCCTGCGCAACAGTGGGCGATCGAGATTGGGGTGGTGTGTGAGATGTAGGAGATGAAGACGAGGCGTGTGGAGGAGGCGAAGAGGTATGAGGGTGAGAATGAACATTTGATGAAGATTTTGAATGATGTGAAGAGAAATCTGGAGAAGCATAGGAAGCTTTTTCAGTGCGAAAGATATCATCTATCCATTCCGTCTTCAGAGGGACCGGACAATCTTCCGGTAGTCTAGAATACCCAGGAAGTAGAGCTGCGACTCGTTGTAACATTGATGAATCGGAAATCCTATGTTGTATCGTTTTCTCCGGTGAAGCCGTCATCGAAACCATTGACCTTGATACATCTTCTATAGCAGCGGAAACTCCAGGAGAGGTTCTTCGTTTGTGGGAATGAAGTCCGACGGTGACGATTTCGGAAATGATGATGGTGAGAAGAGCACAACCGAGTGAGACGCCCCCGATGGCCCATTCACGGCGTGAGACAAGTATGAGACCGTATATGAGAGGTTGGATGGCGAGAGTCCAGCCAAATCGCCGGAGGGTCCACAGTAATAGTCGCGCAAAGGCGTAGGTTCCGGTACGGTCTACGTTCACATACTCACTCGAGTGTCGAATAGCGATGAAAGAGAGGAAAAGAAGCAAAATTATTGGGATAGAGAGTAGAGGAAAGAGGAAGAGAAGAGAATTGGCATAAAACACAGCGAGGAAGATGGGAGCAAAGGCGTAAGATGGGTTGAAAGATGACGGAAGATTTACTGTACGTCAGATGGTCCGTCTCTGCTGGATATACAGACCGTTCGAGATGAGATCGGAGGTGCTTTTCTACTACGGCCCAGTTGATGACTGTTCACTTGTAGATCGCAAGGAGGAGGAGGAAGAAGCACAAAGTAGAGGAAGGACTGACATCTGAATTTCTCACGCGGGGTCCGAGCGGAACGACGTTTTGACAAGTATCGAATTAATTGATAAGGTCGGAGGAGGTAGATGGCAGGAACGATTATAGCGACATCTAGTAATAAAACGAATATGAACCAAGCTGCCTGTCAGCTTACCCAGCACATAGACCTGGGAACTGACTGGAGAAAATAGCCCCATCACCGACTGTTCTCCCCTCCTGAACATGGGAAACAAACCCCTGAACAGAATATTCCAACGAGGCAACAGTCACCAGCCAGATCACGGACCACAATAAGAGATAGAATGTGCCTTTGAAGGCTAGTTCGGTCTGCCTTGTACGAGATACAGCATAAACTTTTTTTGCGAAGCCTAACCCTTATCAGCTCAACATTCAGTAGGTCAAGAGAATGAGACGCACGGTTCGTGGTAAAGATAGCCAGACTAACAGCCAAAAATAATGCCATGGCTGGCGCCAACCCCTCCGCCAGCCCAGAACCCAGCCCGTCGATCCTCTCCAGAGGCCGCAACAGTCCCAGATAATGTGAGAAGCCTGGAGCTGTCCCAACCGACAATGCTATGAATGGTACCACTGCGCCCGTCAGCTGGAAAACGGCTCTTCGACGAAGCAAACTCACTTATGATAGATAGCACCGCTCCAATCAGACCGATCTTTATCCAGTACCAGAGCAAACTTCCTCGCGACTGTTTAGACAGTTTCTCCCACAATATATCCTCTGTAGTCCTTCCCTCGATAACCCACGCATGAGGGAACGACCTCACACCGTGGCCAACGAGAATCCAACCCTCCACATGCGCCCCAGAGGCGGTAGCTGAGAAAGTTCGTTGCTGCAGGCCAACTACCTCGGTGTCGAGATCTTTGAACCGTTTTCTACTTTGCAGTAAATCCGACCCGGGGTCAAGGAGGACCGATTCGGGCACAGACCCTCCTAGAGGACTCTCGGATGAAGATTGGGGTATACTTCTGGCACTAGCACTTCGTTGTACGCTCCGTTCCTCTGACCGCCGATTCTGAGATGCACCACCTTCGGCCGTACCCACCGCCCAACGCACGTTTTCACCAGACTTCCGAGAAGGACCGATATTCTCGTCACTGACGGGGGGACTCTCGTACTCTGGACTAGCATGCGATTCCGCGCTCCGCCCTGACCCCAAGGGATTCGTCGACTCGCTATCTGGCGAAGGATCCGATACCCATTCTCCTTGTTCATTCCTTTTGATTCGCTGTCCTATCTCGAAACGTCCCCCATAAACAGCAGAATCCCGATTGATTTCGTGGAACCGGGTTTCGATGCCAAGGTTCTGAGGTCTGGGGGAGGTGGGGGAAGCGGGGTCAAGCTGCGAGCTCCGTCGTCCGGTAGACAGCCTGTGATATCCTCTTGGAGACGCTGTAAGGTTTTCTTCTGGGGACGGTTCGGAGATAGTTGGAGGGATCGGACGGGCAGGCGAAGATCCGGACGCCCACCAGACGGCTTCTCTGGGCTCGGTCACAGGTTGCGCGGGGTCGATGTCAAGTTTATGGGTCTTGATGTAAACGCTTTCACTGGTTTCGAGCTCGAGTAGGGCCTTCTCTCTCTCCGCGACTTTGAGACGCAGATCGGTAGTGTCACTGCGAAATGTCAGCTCCATGGTCATGAGGGGCTTAGACGCTTACGGAACGGCAAAAACCCCAATAACATCGAGATCCTTGCTATTGTCACCTTCTCCGACGGTTGCGTTGTCTCGAAACCACCGTTTGAGCCTTTCTTCAGACTTTCCCAACCATCCAGGAGCGTCGCGTGACGAGATGAATACCATGTCTAGTCCATTGCAGATGTCATTTTCGAAATGTCTCCGATAGCGAGCAAGTGATCTGTAAGTCCTGAAGATGACAAAAAGGCCCCCGCCGACTGCTAGGACAACGATAATGACGAGCAGCACGATTAGTCGAGCGCGTGCAGAATCTACGACCGGTCGTATGGTCGACGGCAAGGCGCGTCGTACTGGGGGAAGGTGGAGGAGAGAGGATATGCTAGGTGAGTCGGGACTGGGATCAAGAGCATTGAGTAGGCTAAGGAGCGAAAGGTCGGTGAGGGTACCCAGTCGTCCGCCGAGGGGGTTTTGGGGTGATGTTTGAGATAGACAAGGGACGCCGGCGGAAATCAAGGGTAACCCAGCTGCCAAAGCGAGGAGAGAAGCTAAAGCGGTGAGTTTGAGTGCAGTGAAGATTGAAGGGAGAGAGGCGGAAGCGGCGGAAAGAGGGCCATCGGAGGAAAGCGAGGGCATATGCAAGAAAGGCAACACAAAGCCTGTGAATGACCATGTTCGAGACGGACGAGCGCTATTCACTTCAGCTGAATCCCGTAACAACAATACAAAACACCGACCTAGGATCTACGAACCACGTCCGTGGGGAGTACAATGCGGGCAAGCGCAGCCGTAGCAATCCCCACAGGAGCCATAGTAGGCCTCCAATGACTGCTCCAAAGATGAGAGCTGAGATAGCACCCCATGCCTGCCAATCCCAGTCTCCCGCACATCGATTTAGAGAAGTAGCCGCCTGCGCTACTCTGGCTACTGAGCTGGTGCTGACTGACTGGATTGACGCGCTGGTCGGGCTGACTAGAGAGGCCGAAAAGGAAGAGGTAGGTGTCGAGGAGCTCGAGCGTAGACTTGAAGCTGAGATGATACGGGACGATCGTGCTGCTGTTGAGGTAGCTTGGCTGATCGGAGCACGAGTTGCAGTGGCTGGTATGATACCTGGAATTATGCTACTTGTGGTCGTTACGGCGCTTTGAGCGCTCAAAGACGAGCGAGCGACTGAGAGTATACTCGAAAACGCCAAAGCTTCCGAACAGGCTGGTACC